GGCTTGAAGCTGAAGAGCTGCCATAAGGCAGATATTGTATAAAGGAATAGCACAAGACTAAACTGAATAGAAACATTTGATCATCAGATAAATTCCAGAGGAGTCAAAAATGTCAGTGATAGTTGATCCACACAAAGAAACTTTATAGTAGAAGGTCTCATTAATTATTTCAGTTGACTTGTCTTATCATCCAGAGGATGATGCAAAGCACAAGATACATACTTCATGAAGGTACAAGATAAAAGATCTAAATTATATAAATGCCACAAGTTACACAGTACCACAACTTTAATGATAGCATCCTTAGTCTTGTAGCTACAAATCTGTCTTATGCATATGGTAAATATAAAATGGACAATACTCTTGATCACTTTGTCAGTTGCATAAAGTGTCATGCTCAGTTGAGAGGGAATTGATTGAAAATGTGTACCACTTATGTATATCTTTTTAAACACTTGGTGGACCCAATAAAAAGCATGTCCCAGCTCTTGCCCTTAAATTTGAAACACTGAGCCTAAAAGATTCTTTGATGAAGTGATCTATAGGCTGCCAAAGCTTGTGCCAAGGAAAAGTACTTAGTCTTTAAGGTGCTCCAAGATTTTTGGCATTCTTGCTGCCCATCTCAACATCACCTGATGGAAAATGTTACAAATACCAGATTTGCAGTATATGCCATAACTGTATTAAAAGTTGAAATGTGTAGAAAGTCAGTATGTATATAAATAACCAGATTGTAGAAAGTAAGCTTAGTGACTGTGAAGTGGAATTGAGATACATTCAATGTGCAGTAAACCAAAACTCAAGCAACTAGAACTCTCAAGCAACTGGCAAAAAAATTGAAGAAATAATATTTAAATAAAATAGCTTTTTTATAATACAGAAAAACAGTAAAACTTTAAGTTAAGTTTGTCTTTATTTCTCTTAAATTGCTTTTAATTACTGTATTTCAATACGAATATCAAGTAAATACAGAGTTTATAGTATGGTATAGTATGGAGTATATTATTCGTTCAGTTTAAAATTAACTCTCAAGCAACTAGATACTACATTTATCTAGCATCTAACAATGCCCATGGATGCCAATTTGGGAGTCCATTGTATAAAATATCTGTAGAAATTTTGTGGAGTGAAATACAAAGGAAAAATGAAAGCAAGACCATCCAATGAAGTTTTGCTTGTTTTTCCTCTGTTATTTTCTTTTTCATTTCTCTTTCCTTTTATTTTCCCTTTATCCTACCTCCCAACATATTTAACTGATTATTAAGTCTTTTGCTGTATGTCCCACAAGTGTACATCGCTTTGGCAAGTAACTGGCTGTATTGCATATTCACAACACAATCCAAAATCTAATAATTATTTACATGGAAAATGTTGATTTTAAAAAATAGTTTTTACATTATTTTTATTGATACACAAAGATACAATAAAATTAAAAAGTAAGGTTGTTTTTGTTTTGTTTTTTACAATAGGTGAGAAAATAAAAGGGCTAAAATAGCATTGCCTCATCCCTCAGCTCAGGTTATGGCTTCTAAGTTAGGCTATTGGTTGCTTTGATTGTTGATTGTTAATGGTTGTGTTTTTATGATGCTTTGTATTTGAATTTTATTGTGTTCTATTTTAATTTCTGTCCATGAAAATCCATGAAAATTCACTGAATGACACTTTAGGTCTCAGACGAAGGCAACAACAAACCTCTTATGAACACATCTTGCCAAGAAAACCCATGATAGATTTGCTTTAGGTTCACCATAAGCCAAAAATGATTTGAAGGCACACAACAACAACAACAACAACAACAACAACAACAACAACAACATGGGGAAAGGGACATGACAAGGCTGGTTCTTTATCTTTTCCTCACTACTGTCACATTTTGTTTATCCTCCCGCAACATGGAGGCTGGGGAGTAAAACAGCCAACATCTGCTCACTTTCTTGCTCGCAGTTTTAAAAAGTTGTTAAGGAGACAATGAGAATAATGAGGTGTTGGAAAAGGTCAGCATTGGAAAAGGTCAGAACAGGATTTCTTGCATGCCCAATACTTCTGTTTATTTTTCTCATCTAACCCCATACATTGGATCTTACAAACCTTTGAAACGTATGATCATAAAAACCTTGTAATTAGACCTGGTCTCTTTCTTAGGAGCTTTGGTTCTGTCTCCCTCTTCTTAGCCTTGTCTCACTTCTGCTTCCTCTCTCCTCTCATCTCCAGCATGTTTCACTCCTCCATCAGTCATGCCTATGTCAGTGCAAAGCTACTAGTGCACTTTTAAGTTTGTAATCTACAACTGCCTACCTAATTTTTTTTGGAGTTCGCAAGGGAACTCCAAAAACACAGAGTAATTGTGGAATGCTTTGTTGGCTATTTTGCTAAATGAAGATGAATTCCTAACAGTTTTAGTTTTCATACTTTTTAGGGGGGGGGGGGGGCTAACACCCTGTGAAACACTAATCCTCAACATGAAGGACCTCAGAGGCAATGTGGTGCAGTGGTCCGAGAGTTGGACTTGAACTCCAAGAGACCATGGTAAATCGGAAGCCCATCCACCCAGGCTTTATGGACTCCCAAAAATCCATAAGGACTCCACCCCACTCAGACCCATCGTGAGTGCCATTGGATCCCCCACATACGACCTAGCAAAATTTCTTGCTGCACAGTTACAAAGCCATATTGGGCTCACTACACATTACATCGAGGACTCAGCCCACTTCATAGAAAAAATCAGCAATCTCAAGCTAAATACCAACGACAAACTGATCAGCTTCGATGTGGTATCTCTATTTACCATGGTCCCAGTAGCAGACACCATGGCACTCATCAACCAGAGGTTCCCAGAAGACATCACGGCTCTGTTTCACCATTGCCTCACCACCAGTTACTTTCAGTGGGACAATGAATTCTACGAACAGAAAGATGGAGTAGCTATGGGGAGCCCTCTCAGCCCGGTCATAGCTAACTTTTACATGGAACACTTTGAAGAACAAGCCCTGGAAACAGCAACCAAAAAGCCCACGATGTGGTTCAGATATGTGGATGACACCTTCACCATTTGGAGCCATGGAGAAGAAGAACTCAACAGGTTCCTGGACCATCTTAACAGCATCCACCCAAACATCCAGTTCACCATGGAAAAAGAAAATGAAGGAAGACTGCCTTTTCTAGATGTCCTCGTCATCCGCAAACCAGATCAACAATTGGGTCACACCGTCTACAGAAAACCCACACACACAGATAGATATCTACATAAAAACTCCAACCATCACCCAAGTCAAAAAAGAAGCACCATTAAAGCCTTGGCAGACCGTGCAAAAAGAATCTGCGAACCCCACCTCCTCCAAGATGAACTGAACCACCTCAACTGGGCTCTCCAGGCCAATGGAGACTCCACCTCAGACATCAGAAGAGCTGCAAGACCAAGAACAAGCCACGAGAGTAAAGATGAAGATCCACCCAGAGGAAAAGTGTTCCTGCCATACATCAAGGGAACCACTGACCGCATAGGGAAGCTGATGAGGAAACACAACATACAAACAATCTACAAACCCACCAAGAAAATCCAACAAATGCTACGTTCAGCAAAGGACAAGAGGGATCCTCTCACCTCTGCAGGAGTCTACCGGATACCATGCAGCTGTGGACAAGTCTACATAGGGACCACCAAACGCAGCGCCCAGACACGCATCAAGGAACATGAAAGGCACTGCAGACTACTTCAACCAGAGAAGTCAGCCATAGCAGAGCACCTGATGAACCAGCCTGGACAGAGCATATTATTTCAGAACACAGAAATGCTGGACCACACCAACAACCACCATGTCAGACTACACAGAGAAGCCATTGAAATCCACAAGCATGTGGACAATTTCAACAGAAAGGAAGAGACCATGAAAATGAACAAAATCTGGCTACCAGTATTAAAAAACTCTAAAATTACAACAGCAAAACAACAGAGAGGAAACAACCAGGCACAGATTAACACCTCCCAGCAAGAGATTTTCCCAGGCTCAGGCAGGCCTTCAAATGCTAATGAAGGTGATCAGCTGAAACATTCACACCTAACTGCAGCAGGGAAGAGCTCCTTGCCCCACCCCAGCCATTCCACAGATATATAAACCCATTGTCCTAATTCCAACAGACCTCACTACCTCTGAGGATGCTTGCCATAGATGCAGGCGAAACGTCAGGAGAAATGCCTCTAGAACATGGCTCTATAGCCCGAAAAAACCCACAAGAACCTAGTGATTCCAGCCATGAAAGCCTTCGACAATACATGGTTCAAATACTTTCTTGGCCATGAACTTTTCCTAAACTATTACATTTTGCAACCTGGGAGCAAATCCCCTCTGAAGAAATCCTGCCAAGAAAACCCTATGATAGGGTGGCTATAAGCTGAAGTCAATAGCAAAGCAGCTATTGTCTTCTAACTGGCCAGAAACAGAATCCTGAGGTGCCTAGCAGTGCAACTAGCCGTGCAACTTGAGCAGAATCTTAGGGCTAAAGTCTAGTACTCACAGCTCAGAGGGGACCAAATGATCATCTAGAGAGTAGTGATGAAGGTAGAAGTAGAGAGACCTGGCACGAGCACTTGGGCTCGGGGGGGAGGGGCATGGCAAAACTTACCCTGCTTTCTACACCATCCCGCTTTTGTTCTTATTTTTAAAAATACTTAATTGTTACGAAGTTGCTGTTTGACCACGTGTCTCGTTACAGATACAGCATTGTTTTGTGTGTTCTTTTCCCATTGCAAAATAAATGACCCTTTCTTTCCACAAAATGGTGCTTATATTTAAATATGGGGTGGCAGTAATAGAAAAATTAATTCTGTAAATGAAATAGTACTAAACTATCAAAATCCACGTGGGTCTAAAATGGCCAAGCAGCACAAATTCTCATCTATGGCCCCTACAATAACACAAGTCAGTAAGTAAAATACAGTGTAATGCAGATAACAACAGTTTTATATCACACCCATTTACTTCTCTTATGCTGTGATTTCAGTCCTTTCCACGAATATCTCTTAAACATTGAGCTGAACTGTCATGAACATCTAGCTTGAATTTTAATATCATCTGCAGGACCTGAACTCAAGAAGATGGCAAATCGTTTTGGCCATAGGGATGACATTTATTACAGGTAAGTCCATGCAGTTCTAAGGAGCCATCTGATTATTGTTTTTTATTGTAGTATGACTGTTTTGAGAAGATTTTTAACAATTGATTTTAAAGTGGATACAACTGATTTTAATATTTGTGTATATTTATAGTTTGTTTTATATTCCGGCATTGAATGTTTGCCGTATACAGGGGCGGCTCGTCCATTACGCGAAGTAAGTGGCCGCAGAACACTTTTTTTTGCCAGGGGCACAGAGGCGCCTCTGTAAATGCCCCTCGACTGCCATTTGAGGAGCGCCCCCTCAGCTCACAACAGCCGGGGGGGAGCCTCGGCTTTCTTGCCTCGCTGCTGGGTGATCTTCTTCCCAAAGGGGCCGGGCCCTTGAGCCTCACCTAGCCCCTCTCATTCCTGCTCCACCCGGCCACTGGGTGCGTGAGCAGAGCAAGCACTCAATCGTTCTCCGTATTCGATCCCTTCCCCATGACCGGCTCCCTTTCCCGATCCCCCGGCTCTCCACCCGCCTCCTCTCCTCTCCCCAATCTGCGGGTGGGCCAAGGGGTGGAGCAACCGCACGTGGCCCGCTTTGGGTCCGGAGGCATGTTTGAAAGTCAGGAGAAGAGGCAACTTTTGGTCGGGGTCTTCAGGCATGCCTCCGGATCCAAAACGAGCCAGGCAAGGGAGCAAATGTGGCAAGTGTAGTTACTGGGATGTATAGTTCACCTACAATCAAAGAGCATTCTGAACTCCACCAATGATGAAATTGAACCAAATATGGCACACAGAACTCTCACGACAAACAGAAAATATATATCAATGATTGGTTGGGGGTGGGGCGCCAAAATACTGTTTGCTTACCATTGAAAATTACCTAGGGCCGCCTCTGGCCGTATACATACATGTTGTGCTCTGCCCTGAGTCCCCTTTGGGGTGAGAAGGGTGGAATATAAATGCTTTAAATAAATAATAAATAAATACTATTGTAGAGGACACTACTTAATACAATAAACTGTTCTTCAGATTGTAGCCTTCTTTGCATGTGGCTTCTTTCCTTTTCAAAAGATTTTTATTCTGCCAACATCAGGCTTTTGATTACTCATCCTGGATTGTTCTCATTTCTTGGCATTTACTTTAGGTGGTCTCATTCTGTCAGAATCATACATCATCATGTTTGTAGAAGTTTTCATTCTCAGGTTCAGGGCTTTCATTTAAAACAGCACTTTTTGTTGCACTAGAATGTGCATTGCAGTTAATTATGACTTGCATAATATACAATCTGAACTTCAGCTTTGAATGTAAAGAAGAATCCTCTTACAGACTAGTAGGGTTATTCTATTTTACTTGAGGGTAAGTCTCTGGGTCTAACAATAGAGGCAACTGAGAGGATCATTGAAATATTTGCTTTTGTAGGTAAGAGTCATCTGCCAACGTAGAGTTATGCTTGAAAAAGTTTTAACACCCAGTGATTTGGCTGTCACATAACTCTGTTACTTTTGAGTATTAATACAGATTCAAATAGCTGGTACTCAACTATGGCATTCATCCAGCTGGTGATGTCACTGCCTACTGATCGAATCATACGATCTGTGCATGACAAAAGTAAGAAAAGAACTTCAAAAACTTAAAGAGATTTTAAAGATTCTACTTATGTCCTATGAAAGCTTGAATAGTTTATATTTTCAGTGCTAAAATTAGTTAATCATAGAATTATAGAGGTATAAGAGACCACAAAGGTCACCAGGCCTAAACCCATTCTTCCATGTAGGAATACACAATCAAAGGACTCCTGACAGATTGCCATCCAGCATATGTTTAAAAACCTCCAGAGAATAAAATTCCTCCATGCTCTGAGGCAGCATCTTCTAGTCTAACAGCTCTTACCATCAGGAAGCTCTTCCGGATGTTTAGGTGGAATCTCTTTTCCTGTAGTTTGAACCCATTGCTCTGTGTCCTACTCTCTGGAGCAGAAGAAAACAAACTTGCTCCTGCTTCATTAGGGCATCATTTTAAATATTTAAACATGGTAATCATGCCACCTATGAACCTTTTCTTCTTTTGCTTTAACATATCCAACTCTCTAATATGCTTCTCATAGGAGTTTCTTGCAAACCATCTTTCAACCAACAAGCTCAAAGCATGTCTCTTTTCCCTCACATTTTAATCTTTACAATAGCCTGTGAGGTACATTAAGTAGTGTGATGACAACTTTACATCACTTTCATTTTATGAGGCTCCCAACTGAGTAGAGGTTGAGTAAAAGGCAGGCCCGTAGCCAGGATTTTGTTTCCGGGGGGGGGGGGGGGGCAATTTTTTTAAGGGGGGGGGGGGGGGGGGGGGGGGGGCTGAGTCTGAATGAGAGAGGATCTGCCCTAGTAAACCTTTTGTATTGTTATCCCAATGCCCGCATGCATATGGGATATATTGAGCATGGTGATCAGATCATGATATGAATAAACATAACAGTTTAAATAATGCACCAGTAAGGCCTTTTCGCGACCCACCATGAATTTGGGGGGGGGGGGCTGAAGTCCCTCAAGCACACCCCCACCCCCCCCGGCTACATGCCTGGTAAAAGGTATAATAGTTTGGTACAAGGGTTCCAACTTACACAAGCCACCCCTTTGCTGATTCTGTTTCCAAAACCTGGAGCCAGTCTGAGAAAAATAGGACAGGTGCAGTTCAAGACAGAAGTTGTGATCAGTATGCATTACACCCCAGGACATCTACATCGAAGGGATACATTAATTTCTCCAGAGCTTGAAAAGTTATTGTTTTGGATCACAATCCCAATAATTCTACAGTCAGCATGGATTGTAATCATGATGGCTGAGATATGAGTCCCTAGGTCTGAAAATTTGTAAAATATTTCAAAAACTTGGAGGCATATCAGACTGATGTATCTGTTTGCATTTTCACAGTGAAAGTGAAAGCAACTCCAAGAGAACCAACAGCATGTCCAGGCCAAGTGGAAAGTCCATATACCGTAAGGCCAATCTTTTTCCTTTTCTTTTGTTCCATGTTTCTAGTGTTTCTGGTTTATCAAACTGTAATTTCATCATCTCAAAGTTTTCATCAGTGTTGTTGCTTGTTCTTTGCCCAGAATTTTCATCCAGGAAGAAGAGGAGAAGGAGGAGATTGGGAGGTGGGGGTGTCAATCTTCACTGCCATATAATGCAATTTGAAACTGCATTATATGGTCAGTGTATTATTATTATTATTATTATTATTATTATTATTATTATTAAACTTTATTTATACCCCGCCACCATCTCCCCACAGGGACCCAGGGCGGCTAACATGAGGGAAAGCCCAACAAATACAATAAACAAAATAAAATACATACAGCAGATAATAACTCAAATAAAATACAAACAATAAAAGAAAAATAACGAAGTGGGATAAAAACAATCTGGCTGCTGAATGTTGGACCAATTGAAGTTTCCAGTCCATCTTCAAGGGCAGCCCCACGTAGAGTGCATTGCAACAGTCCAATCTAGAGGTGACTAAAGCATGGATCACCGTGGCCAAATCAGACTTCACAAGGTACGGTCGTAGCTGGCGCGCAAGTTTTACTTGTGTGAAAGCCCTCCCAGCCGCCAACACCTGGGCATCAAGTGTCAGTGCTGATTCCAGGAGTGCAACCCCATCAAGCACAGGTTGCCACCCTATATCCCGATTTGACATGCGATTGACCTGGAGGACCTCTGTCTTGTCAGGATTAATCTTCAACTTGTTCACCTTCATCCAGACCGTAAGAGCAGTTGGGCACTGGTCCAGTATCCGAGGAGCTTCCTTGGATTTTGGTGGAAAAGAGTAATAGAGTTGGGTGTCATCTGCGTAGAGATGGCACCGAACTCCAAAACTCAGGATGACCTCATGTAGCTGTTAAAGAGCATGGGGAACAGAATGAAACCTGGTGGGACCCCACAGGTCAATGACCAGGGGTCCGAGCATTGTAGACTTAGATGATGCAGTTAATTACATTGAATTGCATTACTTAAATCTACACTGACCAGATAATGCAGTTTCAAAACAATCTAGAATACTGCTACTTGTGCATATGAAACTAGGAAAGATCTCATACCTCAGGCAAAGTCTTTGATATTTGAACATATGTGCAACTCTTGCCATATAATGCATCTGACAATGGCAGATTGCTTTTTTCATGCCACACCTTTTATTTTGTTCTCACAGATCAGAGGAAGAGTTACACTGAAGCTGTGATAAAGCAACAACATGAATGCCAACACCGGGTGGAGGTAGGAGACATTTGATGGAGCACAGCATGTTTCATTCTATTGTGTCTAATTTCAGTAAATGTGTGTATATACAAACCATGGGGCAGAATCAAATTTATCTCAAAAATAATCCTTAATTCATAATCCATTCAATTACAATTGGATCCTGCCAACTAAAAAAAAATCCACCAATTAATCAGTTGAGGTTATTGTTGACTAACTACTAATCAGATTAATTAAATTTTAATTACTGATAATATTACATTTTAATAGATAAGCTACCAAAGAAGTGTGTGTGCTCAGTTTCTGCATTGTCCAATCTATCTGTTGCAAAATTTCAGAGGTACAGCACTAAAAAGGCCTCTGTTTTCTTTGGAAGGAATACATTTAGGGACCATGCATCATTTTAAAAGATACTGATGCTGCTAGAATTTCATCCACCTCAGTATAATTCTATACAATGCTTCTTGATTCATGGGAACTCTGCATGTGCTCAAACTACCTATGGTGACAATTGTACACTGACTTCTGTCCTCAGCACCTTCTCACTAGTTACCTTGATGGCAAAAACATCAGGAGTGCAGAGAACTGTATTGACCGACTGAAGATGATGGATGCCCAAGGTCAGGTGTGGGGACAAGGCATGTTTTTGCAGGTGAAGGACCAGAAGTTGCTGCTGACAGACATTGAGGCAGAGGTGAGCAGAACTTATTTGTCCAACTTTGCACACAGACCACTTGGACCATTGAGGCAACAAACTATTGACACTCAGTTGGGCACTTATTTCCATTGTGAGAAATCTAGGACCACTGGCTCTACATTTCTGACTAGATATAAACAAAGCTTTCAAAATGGGTGTGTGGGTATTTTGGACTGAAATGCCAAGAACATAGACAGTTCCAGCATAACTATCCTGACCTCCTGCTGATTTCTTCCTTCACTGACAGGAAGAACTGGACAGCTACTCCTTGGATTGGATCCAGGATTGCGCCTGCTTCCTTGGTACCTGCAACTACAACTCCATCTTGGCCATCACCGTGAAAGAACCAGACTTGCGCAGGACTAGTATCCTGCTCTTTCAGTGTGAAGAGATTGGAGTGAGCATTTCTAGGATTTAGAGTGGGAGATGGGGAAAATATTTTTTTGGGAAGTGGTCAGGAGGTATTTTTTGGTACTCTTCTTTCCAAGAACTAACCAGCCTTGTCCAGTCCTGCTTAGTTTCTCTATCTATCTATCTATCTATCTATCTATCTATCTATCTATCTATCTATCTATCTATCTATCTTATATCTTGCCTTTCCTCCAGCATGGGCTCTGAGGTAACAAACAACATTTTCAAAGCACAGTATACACAGTGCGTGTATAATAGTTCAAAAATTAAAATGTAATTCAACTAAAATTTTACTTAAAAACAATTGGTTACAAACACCATTAAAATATGCTTAAAATAAAATTTTCAAACATGTTACACCCACTATGAAAAGCCTTATTAGTCACGACACACTAAAACCAAAAAGCTTCCTCAAATAAAATGGACCTGCTTGTGGAAAGACAGGAAAGAAATTGCCAATAGTATGTCCATAAAGGCAAGACTGGAAGTGTTTGGATCTTTATATATTTATATTTATATATTTGATATGTCTCAGAAATTGGAGATGACGTTACTGTGCCATTTCAGAGCTAAATCCAATGTTAATCCCTATTAAAGCAGACCCACTGAAATCAATGACATTTCTGTTACTCATGATTACATCCATTTCATTAGTCTACTGTAGTTGGAACTAATATTGGATTTAGCCCTCAATTGGTAGAATGTGATAGAATCCATTATCCAGATTACCATCTTGGGTTGTATGGTTTTTAATAATTGGTGTAATGTTTATATGCTTTAATTCTTTGGTTTTAATGTAAATGTTTATTTTAATTGTATGTTGTTCTTGTGGCATTGAATTGCTACCTACATGTAAGGCTGATCTGAGTCCCCTTTGGGGTGAGAAGGGCAGGGTACAAATATGGTAAATAAAATTTTTGAACACATGAGTAGATCCTGCATAGCCAAGAGCTCAGGAATCTTCTGTCATGAGATGGCAAAAATATTCCTAAGGGGTTGAGATCTATCCGAGTCAAAACACTCCTTCCTACTGCTATTGTGTCAGTAACTGACAATGTGGCATCAGCATCTTTGGTTACCCCTGAAGTTAGGAATACAAGAAATTATTTGCAGAGATTGTGGTAAATTTGAGTGAACTGAACTGAAAAGTGATAGATCTCCTACAGTTCTACTTTCCTGTCTAGGCTGAGCTGCTGAAAACTAAACTGGAGAGGATAATTGAGGAATCACGTCAGAACCATGACATGCTCAGGTAACAACAGAATTTACAATCTACAGTGCTGAGATTCAATTCCTTCTCCACATCATATCCATTAGATTGCAAATCTTGTGTAATAATTTCTGACAGAATACATGGCCAAAGAGAGCATTCTTAACTTTAAAATCCATGGAAATTTAGTATTATGGACTGCAAACACACAAAAATAGTTTATTCTTTTTCTGTCTATCACTTGGGGCCTAACATAGAGATGGAAAGCATTCTGACCTTTAGATGGTGTTGCACTGCAGTTCCTTTACTTATACTGGCTAGGGCTGAAAAGAGATGCAGTTCAATATCTGGAGAAGTACATTTTCTGCCACCTGGAAAATCACAGGTGGTGGAATTCCTCCTCCTTTGTTTGAAATATATGCTTATTACCTTTTGGACTACAACTCCCTAAATCCATACCTAGTATGGCCTCTTGTCACATGGTTATTATGGGTGATGTAGTCCAAAAAGTACTTTCCCATGCTTTGGTACTGTAGTATGATGCCTTTTTTTCATAGTTAACATGAATTTAACTAAACTCACCAGAACTCACCATAGTCATGCTCTCCCCACAACATGGTAAAGATTAGAACTGGATTATTTATAACTGTGTCTCCTTTCCCATTCCAAATTCTTTTCTTAATGCACTTTTTTCTTAATTTTTTCTTAATTTCTTAATTTTTTCTTAATTCCTTTTCCAGAAGCAACCTGGAAAACATATTGTATCAACAGAACCAAGCATCATTTAAAGGCAAAGCTCTGAGGGCTCCTTATCCAACTTCCCCAACAGAAGCACATCCCCAGAGGCAGGAACAGCATCCTTGGAAAGATAACTCATTCTACATGGACCACAATACTGGTAACTACAAAGTCTCCTGTGTAATAACAGATATGATCGTGCCTCCTACCATGCAAATGCATCAGGAAATGGGTTGCAGGCGTCTTGGTAGTGACATAAGCATGCTTATGTTGTGTGATGCATGCAAAGTATTTTTATTGGACAAGTGCCACAGTCATAGCCTGCTGATAGGGGTAGAACCAGAAGTTCATATGTGGGACTATTGTTCATGGGGATCCACATGAACATACATGTAAATGCATAGTTGTTCCTCATATATTACATTACAGTGATAGACAGTAAGGGATGCTAGTTCAGTGTAACTCCACCAAACATTCATTCTATGCTCCAGTGATTCAGGATCTTGGCCTATAGTTCCTAAAATTAGAAATTAATGTCAGCATTTTTTGGAAAATCATGGTAAATATACAACTTGGTACATTCTGAGAGTCGCAGTCAAAAACTGTAACTTTTTAAAGCTCTGGATCAGAAATAAATGGGCATTTAGCCCTAGTCAGGAGCCCCCGGTGGCGCAGTGGGTAAAAGCACTGAGCTGCTGAGCTTGTTGATCGAAAGGTCGCAGGTTCGATTCCGGGGAGCGGCGTGAGCTTCCGCTGTCAGCCCTAGCTTCTGCCATCCTAGCAGTTCGAAAACATGCAAATGTGAGTAGATCAATAGGTACCGCTCCGGCGGGAAGGTAACGGCGCTCCATGCAGTCATGCCGGCCACATGACCTTGGAGGTGTCTACGGACAACGCTGGCTCTTCGGCTTAGAAATGGAGATGAGCACCACACCCCAGAGTCAGCCATGACTGGACTTAATGTCAGGGGACTACCTTTACCTTTACCTTTAACCACTTGTGTTATGGCTCATCCATTGTTGATTTGAGTGTCTGATCATTGCAGGAGTCAATGGACAGCAGAAACAAAAAGATGAGAGAGCATGGGAAGATCCTTGGTCTCCTCTGATGATGCAGGACATCGACAGAAATATTGTAAGAACAATGGATCATTTCCTGGAACGAAGCTTTTACTATTTGTCAAACAAGATCTCTTTCTACAGTAATGTTTCTAGCCTATGAAAACCTAGAATGCAGGAGATAAAGTAAGACAGGAGAATTGTGTGATCAAGGAAACTAACAAGGAAGGACAGGGAAGAATTACCACTGTATTTGAATCATCAGATTGCATCCTGTGTTGTTGAAAGCAGCCAATCCTTTGAGACCATAAGGTTGGTACAGCATTGTAGCTCATTTGCAGGGAACCTAGAGCTGGTTTAAGGTGGAAAAGTCAGGAGTGGTAGGCAAGTTATGATGCATGTTGCCTATTTGCAGTTGGATTTATAGATTTGTCTGTTTAATGGTTCAATTGATCCTATAATCGAAGCAAAGAAATGTAATTTTGTACAGTATTACAATTCCTATAAGAGCTCTACTGCAATAGCAATCTCAAATGTTCTACTTTATTTTCTTCCTCCCACCTTCATTTTTTGTACTTGCTTGTATTTAATAAAGTTTTAATTGATCAGTCTGACAGAGGTGCAACTGCACACCGCTCTTAGAGTAAATCTACTTTGTAGAATTAATGTAATTTAATACCACTTTAATTGCTATGACTAAATCCTATGGAAACATCTGTAGTTTTATGATACATCAGCATCCTTTGGCAAAGAAGGCTAAAACACCTTGTAAAACTCCAAGTCCCATGATTTCATAGAAATGAGCCATGACAGTTAACTGATGTCAAACTGCATTAAGTCTACAATGTGGTTTAACCCTTTGGCTAATTTTGCCTGATACCATCATGGTGGGAAGACTTCGCACTACCTAATCTAGTTTTAGGAAAGGGTTTATATCCTCTCAATCCTGGGGCCTATGCTAATTTGGGGAGGTATCAGAAAACCAAATCAAAAATTTCACCAAGCTGCAGATGGAGAAGACTTGTGAGGACTGCTGCAAAGATAGATTAAAATAGTCTGGGGTTTTAATAGGTGAAGTTACATTTGCTTCTCCCTAAAACGTCATTTCCTTGCTGTCTCCTTAGTGAATCAGTTCAAGAAGTAACAGGACCAGATAATCATACAGCATAAAACAGCCCTAGATGTTAGTTTCTGTATGCTGCTTGTAAGACTACAATGTTCCAAGATGCCTTTAAGAATGCTATTTAACAAGAGACTATAGGTTCACATCTTATTCTTGTTCTTCTCTTGGCCATAGGAGATTCTCAACCATGTCTTGAATGATATTGAAATCTTTACAGAGAAGCTGAAGAAGTCAAGTAGTTCCCTGAAAGATAAGAAGAAAAAGTTGAAGAAAAAGAAAAATGAAATGAACACAGGTGAGTAAGAATGGTAAAGAGGGTATCATGAGTTCCCAAAATGAATCCTTCTGAAACACATCCTCAACTCAAGACAAAGGTAGTTGAAAGAAGAAGCAATGTAGCAAAATATATAGCAGAAAATGTGCACCATGTAGTCATTCAATAACAGGCAGTGTACTTTTGATCAGAGTGTCCTTGTGGTCCCGGAAGTTATGTAAGCAACCTGCTGCAATTCTTTTTGCCATAGGAAAGGGCTGCCTTCTCTTTATAATATCATGAGCCCGTTGCTGGGTTACTTTTTTCTTATCTAGACTTTATAACACGAATGATTTCTGATTGCACTAGCTAGAAGGTGGAAAAGGCCTTTTTTGTATGAAAGAGAGGGCCCATCCAGACAGGCCCAAAAAAACAGGGCCTGTCTCGGTTTTACCAGAGGTGTCTATGGTAAATCCGAATTAATTAGGAAGAAACCAAGGTTTTCTTGGCTTGTTCTGAATTAATTAGATACCCCATTAGATCCGGGCCTTCCTTTATATGTCTGAGGACCTCATCACATTGAGGTTCAACTTACAGTCGATATGTCCCACGTTGGCCGCCTTGTCAACTTACTCTTCTCACAGGGGAAGCATTGCTGCCTGGCTCCCCCCCCCCCCCCCCCCCCCCCCCCCCGCTGGCCCACATACTGTATTTCAGCATCCTTGCAGCACACTGGAAGGATGGAGCCCCCATGGAAGTAGCTGTGCGTCATCCCAGCATGCTGCAAGCATCCTAGAACACTGAAAATCAGTAATGTGATGAGGTCCTTAGATTATAAGGCTGAGGACAGGAAACTGAATTAACAATTCTAACCATTCATGTAATGTACCATGTACACTGATGGCACCAAATAAACAAATAAATAAATGTATAGTAAGACACCCCCTCCCCCTATAACTGTAGATCCTCAAACCTGCAGTTTCACTTTTCCACACCCAGGAAAAATGTTCTCCTGAAGCATTTTCTAGAGCTTTTTCCACTCACAACTCCTTTCCACCAGGGAAATTTTTACATGACCCTGGGTATATAATATATATTAAAATCAAACATTATAATAAATCAGGATGTGCAAAGGCCAGTTTCTTTTTTTTCTTTTTAAAAATATAATATTTATTGAACATATAGCTTACATATACATAAAAGTTTTTTAAAAGGTAAGGTCTAGGAGTAGTGGGGGAGGGATTGGAGAGCGGGGAGGAGATTGGGAAGTGCAGGACTTTGGAAAAGGGGATTGACATATAGGTATGATCAAGGGTTCAGGGGAAGAAAGAGAGGGCAAGATGGCATGATGGAGTATTGTTGACTTCCAAATCTCCTTCTTCGCGGTTCGGCAAGGAGTACCTTCCAGTCTTCAGTATTCTCTCTAGTGTTCTTCTTGTCCCCTCTCCTAATTTCTTATGTTCCTCTATATTTCTTCTGTTTTTTCTTTTAAAATTCTGGTTGACAATTTACCTGATATTCTACCTCTCCTTTAATTCTCGAATTCCACCAAATAGTCATCCAAGGCTTTCCAATCAGTTTTTTTTAATAGTTTTTTTTTGTGGAGTACAATTGAAGCATTTTTTGCAGAGTCCACTGTAAACACTGCACTTTGTTGCTAACAGATTTGTGTAAATAGATGGTGTTCAGAAATCTTTTCCTTTTCCTTTCGTGATGCCATGACTGAGCTAAGGGGACTCTATTCTGGGTCAGGATCCACAGTTTAGGAAGAAATGCTCTAGATGATTCTATAGTATGCTTCTTGTAGAACTTACCATATAGTTGCATTGGAGAACCCAGCAAATTCTTAGGATATCTCTCTAGGAATGTTTAGTTTCTCCAATGCAACCCTATAGTATGCTGGGACTGGAAGTGAGGTAATTAAATGGTGCTTTGTCATATATACAGATTCATATATTTGCAATCTGGCTGGTAGCATCTGTCCTGCAGGGATCTGTATTACTGCTGCTGCTGCTGCTGCTGCTACTACTAATAATAATAAACAAAGTATGGATTGTTGATGTTGCTATCCCAGGTGACAGCAGGTTGACAACTCAAAAAACCGACACAATATGAGGATTTAAAGATCAAACTGTAAAGACTCTGGAACAAGCCAGTCAAAGTGGTCCCAGTGGTGATTTGGCACACTGGGTGCAGTGCCTAAAGACCTTGGCCTGCACTTAAACACAATCAGCGCTGACAAAATTACCATCTGCCAGCTGCAGAAGGCCACCTTATTGGGCTCTGCACGCATTATTCACTGACACATCACACAGTCCTAGACACTTGGGAAGTGTCTGGCATGTGATACAATACAACAGCCGGCAAAGTGTCTGCTGTGGATTCATCTTGTTGTGTTTCAAATAATAATAACAATAATAATGATGATGATGATGATGATGATGATGATGATGATGATGATAGGAAGGAGAAAAAGAAGCCGCACCAGCAGCTTGATTTCCTTATTAGTCTTAGCCATTTCAACCCCCAACACAATATTGTTTATTTTGATCTATATCACTTTACACTTATCAAACTGAACCACAGTAGCTCATTCAAGCTAAACAGAAATATCCTTTTGATGTTGTTCATAGCCTATTTTTGTTGTTGTTGTCATTGTGAATAATTTCTGTGTAAAAGAACTGGTCTTTTCTTGCAAACCAGTTAAACAGAATCATGGGGCTTAAGCAAGCTTTGCCCATTTGAACTAGCTGGAGTTTCTTTTAATGTTATATTTCAATGATTTTAGCTTAAGCGGATAGTAAATTAGAGCTGCAATGGTGTTCAAGCATTGATATGATTCTCATGGTTCTATACATGTTGTTATGGATTTGTCCAGAATTCCTCTGGATACAGTGGGGCTCTCCTGCCTATAGTATTACTTTTGTTTCATGTTCTGGAATGGGAAGCTGGCCAACCTCTCATTATATTTCTGATTCTGCAGCATTTCCTCCAAAGCCTGAGTATGTAGACTGTTTCCAGAAGATCAAGTATAGCTTCAATTTACTGGTAAGTCTTTTGACCACCTTTGTTGACCTTGCAAAGTTGGCTGCTTCTCTTAGGAGAAAGCTTCCCTCTCTAGTCTTCATAGCATGGGACATCTAGGGCAGCAGCACAAAGACAACCATTGTTTCAAGCTGCTGCTAATGTTCCCTGCCAATGGATTTACTTTGTAAATGACCCCCCCACCCACCCCACCAAGAATGTAGGATGAGGGATGTGGAGACAAAGAAAAAAGTGCATAAAATCCATCTGTATGCTAAAAGCTATATGAAAAGAAAAAGAGATTTTAATTTTATGGTACCGCATACCACTTTCCCTCATGTTTTTCAAACAAAAATTATCTCCCAAAGCAACTTGTGGCAATTAAAATTCAACACACAATGCTTCTGGCAAATGCTGTCCATAAATGACACAGTTTTTTTTTCTTTCAGGCCAATCATTGAAACGCCAAACAAAATGAGAGGCTATTCTTGTAATTAGCAATGGGTGGATAGATTTTTGAAACTAAATAGCAGGCATGGAAGGACTGGCTGAAGTTGGGATTCTTGTGTCGGGAATAAATAAGCTTTTCTCCTATTTTGATCTGGTTCAAGCCCAACTGAACCTCCTATTAGCATGGGATGAAAATAATGGCATTGATGCCAATAGAGACACTTTCCTTCAACCAAATTGGAGAGAGTTCAGTTTGGATCCAGAATGTAGCAAGAGTGCAACATTCAAATCTTTCTGCCCCTCTTAAAGATAAGATAAAGGAAACAATTACAGAAAGAGAAGGTAGAGGAGAAAGGTCAGTTTGATGCCTCAGAACAATCTGATAAGTCAGTAATGCATATTTTTATCCAGCCGCAGTTTTATTGGAAAAGAGCAGATGCAATACAGAATCATCCTGTGGTCTAACGTTCTCCAAAAAACGAGCGCCCTCAAAAATGTTTTGGAAAGCAGCCCCCACCAGCCCTAAATAATGTGATCAAAGGAATTGTGAAAGCTGAAGTCCAAAATACCAGGATCTAGAGAACAGAAAACCTCTCTATGATTGCAACCATAATCAATGACTTCTTGGACTTGGTCAGAATCAGAGTTAGAAGATGGTAATTTGGCGGACTACCAGTCTCACCATCTCCCATCTATCATCATCAGGGTCTTTTGTTTCTGCTGCAGGGCCACTCCTAAATAACATCTGAGCAAAGCACATAGCCCTTGGTGTTTAAATAGTTACCCAAACAAGGGTCCCCATACATTAAACAATAAAGTGGATTCTGGTTAGCTGAATTACATATACTTCAATAGTCTGAGGAGAAGCAAGGTAGTGGGAGCTGGGGCCATGTTCCCTTACTCCAGGACTGACAAAAACTTGCATCACCTTTGGCTCAAAGTTCAACAATACAAACACGGGGCTGTCAAAGGGTTTGCTGCCCTCACCCTTGAGCCTGTCCATTAATTAATTCTGAAATGTCAGGATGATGAAGAGTGAGGGCAGCCTGCCTTTTCTGTTCTCTTTTGTTTCTGCAGGGGAAGCTGGAACCAGCCATGAATCAACCCAGTGCTCCAGAGCTGGTTCAACTCATCTTTTCAACTTTATCATCTGTGAGTATTGTGGCCAGAGTCATGATAACCTCTACTAATCCTTTTCCCATTAAATACCCTTTCAAAGTTAGATAATGGAGAGTACCAAATAATTTCAAAAGAAAATTGGGGTGTGCTTTATATACTATTTGTTGTATAGAGTATAAAAAGCTATGGAAAGAAATGACTGTGCTATGACACTTGATTCTCCTGTACTCAGCATAAGGTATACTGAGAAATTATGTAATTTCCAACCGCAAGAGGATCAGGCAAGGCTGCATTTTACCACCCTATCTGTTTATCTTGATTACTGAAAATTTATTTATTTGCTGTATTTCTATCCCACCTTTCTCAGCCCAAAGGCGACTCAAGGTGGCTTACAATTTGGCAACAATTTGATGCCATAACAGTCATAAATACTATTAAAAACATTTGACACAAAAATCCACATAAAGACCATTAAAACTATAATCATCAATGTCTTCCGGTTAAACTCATTTTTCATTAGCATTGTTTACGCTGTTCCATGTTCACTCTTTCATAATACTGTATTTATCTATTACGCTGCATTTCCAAAAGCTTCAAAGAGCCAAAATTTTACTTATTTACAGAAAGTCAGGAGGGAGGGGGTCAATCTAATATCCCTAGAAAGGGAATTCCGCAGCTGAGGGACCACCACTGAGAAGGCTCTGTTTCTTGTCCCTACCAAACTCGCCTGCAAAGAAGGCGAGATTAAGAGCAGGGCCTCCCCAGATGATATTAAGTTTCTAGATGGTTCCTAAGGAGAGATACATTCAGACAGGTAAGCTGGGCTGGAACCATATAGGGGTTTACAGGCTAAAGCCAGCAATTTGAATTGTGCCTGGTAGCAAATTGGCAGCCAGTGGAGCTAGCGCAACAGAGGAGTTGTATGCTCCCTGAGCGCTTCTCTGACTGCCACCCGCTGGACTATTTGAAGCTTCTGAACAGTCTTCAAAGGCAACCCCACATAGAGCACGTTGCAGTAGTCTATACGGGATGTAACGAGGGATGTAAAATATTACAGCAGTTTTGTAGTTTAAAGTTGAGGCACTAGAGTTCTTTGGCAAAATGTCCTAAGTACAACTACAATCCCCAGAATTGCATAAAATGGAGCCATGGAAGTTAAAGTGTGGTCCAAGTGCTTGAACTGCATCATATAAAAGAGACCCTATGTTTGCCAAGAGAGATTAACGACCCCTGTAGACCCAAGTATAGCAGTTGAGTAAAGCCCAAAGAAGTTTTTATGAATTGCATATGCTGTTATTCTGTAGATTTTGTCCTGTTGTCCCTGGGGAAATCTGGCCTCAACAATAGTCTCACCTCTGCTGAATCCTGCAGGTATTGACCTGCTTAAGCGCACCCTGAATTATGATGAACAGCTTATTTGGAAGAATTTGGGACCTGCTTGGAATCTGACCAGGTAAGGGTGGTAATGCAGAGACAAGACAGCATGTGCAAACTGAATTTGATATCTGATCAGAATTGCTGTACAGGACACTTAGATACCTTGCGAAGGCAGCAAGCTTAATGACCCAATTTGAGATACTTTTGGGACATCTATGAGTCAGGGTTAGCCCAAGATATTCTGCTACTTGAAGCAAAGAATAAGATATTGCTCTCTCCCTATACCATGTACAAAATCCAAATGGACTGACAAGTGAATCTTTCTTCAACATCATCATCAGGAAACCATCTCCCATCATACCAGAAAATAACAGTAGTTTAGGAAACTGAGGGTAAGCAATGTGGCATACCCATCAATCCTGTAACACCTTCCTCCAGCCTCAGTCTGCCTAATGTTAGGATCAACATTGATGTGATTCTAGGATACTTGGTCAACTATGTAAGTAGCCTCTTCTGGACTAACCCCTCCCAAATCTTGGCCTCTCATCACTCATCCACTACATGTGATAGTGTTTTGTTCTCTTTTCAATCAGGACACAACAAACTAATATTTCCACTCCACTCCCATGAATGCTCTCCTGTGCTATAGTCAAAAGTGGAATCCTTATCACAGTTCCTCTGAAAAGGAAATGTCAGTCTGTTGTGCCCTGACCAACCACCATCTCTCTCCGTGGCTGATGTGTAAGAAGCCAGTACTGGGGGGCTTTAATGATCCATATATATTTTCTACACTATTGAATACATAGGGATTGTGAGTATGAATCATGATATGTAACTGGGGGCCCTATCACACTAAATTGCTATAATGTTGTTTTACCCCTTTTGACAGCTGTGGCAGCATTGTGTGATATCCTGGGATTTGCTGTTTAAAGGAGGGACTTTTAGAGTTATCAGCCAGAGAGCTAAACTACAGACTCCAGAATTCTACAGAATGTTGCCATGGCTATTAAAGTAGAAAATAACAACAACAACAACAACAACAACAACAACAATTCTTTATTTCTATCCTGCTTTTCTCTCTGAATGGGCCAAAAGCAGCGCAAAGCGCTGTAGTATTTTAGGGCCCTAGGTTACACATTCAGAACTGTGATAGTGAATTCCAGTCTTAATCCTTTGATCTGTCTTAGCAAGATTCTTCTTTTATTCTTAACTTTAATATATACTTTTTGACCAATGTGAACGCTGCCTTTGGATGACATCAAAGAACGCTATAACCATGACTCTGGAAACTCAGGTGTTGGAGGTTTCAGGAGTGTGTTTGCACAGTTAAGGTTTTAACATCAGCTGTGTCCTTTCTTTGTGAGGTCAAACTTGGTTATGTTGACAGATTCCATATTACATGAAGCCAGCGCAACATACATTTTGAGAGGAGGTTGGATTAGGTGGCACCAAAGCCACTTCCAACTCTATGATTCTATTTCTCTGTTCCGACCACAATTAACCATGGTCCCATTTGTAAATGGTCTCATTTTTTCATTTTTGAAAACTTATAAGGTCACTTCTTCCTCACAGGGAGGAGTTTCCAGAGGGACAGTCCGTTCCCCCTTACAAACCCACATTCTCAGATGGAAGGGAGCCACCCATGCCTACTCAGAGGCAGGGCACCATGGATTTTGATAAGGTGCGTCTCTTTGGAATTTGTGACAGTAATAGAAGCAACCCAGAATCACATCCCACAGTCCATAAAAGGGGTATCAAATTCATTTTCACTTAGGGCCACATCAACCTTATGGTTACATTCGAAGAACCATTTGTGATTGTAAGACTGTATAAAATAAATATGTTTCCCTGTCATAGAATGGCTTAGGGTCTACATGAAGTTATGTGGAAAGATGGATTTGGCCCACGGGCTTTGCATTTCCCATGTGCAGTCTATAATATAGTACCACAACGTGGACTGAACAGAGTATCTAAAAATGTGCAAAAGACATGGTTAATTTTCTTCAAAATCCTCATTTAGGTAAATTAGACAAACTACTGTAGATGGAAAATTGCCAAAGGTTGTGTGCCACAGTGTTACTCATAGTTCAAAGGAAAGCAAAGTATTTCTTGGGACATTTAGTAAATGGAAAAGATGGATGTATAATGTCAGTTTTGAGAATCTACAGCCACATTTTTAAAATCTGTGTCAGGAGCGACTTGACAAACAGCAAGTTGCTTCTGGTGTGAGAAAATTCTCCGTCTGCAAAGACGTTACCCAAGGGACATCTGGATGCTTGAGGTTTTACCGCTGACCTATAGATCAGCAGTCCTGCTGGCACAAGGATTTAACCCATTGCGCCACTAGGGGCTCCACATGATAAGACAACATCACTCACTAGCATATCCTAGAAAACTATAACAATGATGTTTTTCATGTGGATGAATAAGGGGTTGCTGCTGCAAGTACATGAGATTCCTGTATAATCCAGAAAATCAGGTGAGTAGATTCAGTGCCACATACTAAGGATTGTGTATTTTTTTACATGTGTTGAACCATATATTTTTAAAGATCTATGTCATGAGTAGTGGTGTTAGTTTTCACTTTCACAGAATGTATTGTATTGTTCTTTGAATAGACCCAGAATGGAAACAAGAATGACTTCTCAGACAGGTATGTCCTCTTATTAAACTGGTTCAGTTTACATTGTAGAAAATATGCCCCAATATGAAGTTTAGGGTAATAAATGTGTGCAAATCCCACACCACCATCTCAAAAAGCTATTAAGCAATGTTGAGATATCATACTTGAATATAGCCTACAGACACACACACTGTTTGTATTGGTGTAAATAAGAGTTAAACCTGCCTACAGTCATTGATAAAGGAAGTGGTATCAAGTCTGTATTGGGGTGCTTTTGAATCATTGTCATGCACAAAGCCTTCAGAGTATACCTCAACTTGCTCTGTGTACTACTATCTACTTTCTTTGAATCAGGCACAGGAATGATGTGACTCTGCGGTTCTTATCCCTCTTCCTGCCCTCAGTAGTGATCTCATCTGTTTTTTCAGGGTGTCTAATCCTCCCCAGGTCATGCAAGCCATGTATGAGTTCCATGCAAGAAACTCCAGGGAGCTTAATGTAACCAAAGGAGATCTATTAGAGGTAAGCTCTTTGCTTTGAAAGTATAACCTCCAGGGAAAGAGAGACCACCCCCCTTATTCCTTCTGCATGGAGTCAGCAAGATTGCTGCTGTTTATATAGAGAAAGAGGGAGAGGGAGAAAAGGAAAGAGCAGTGACAAGAAAGGTGAATGGATAGCTTAATATTTTGACTCTCTAGGGTATCAAAGACTATGTCCAACAAAAACAGATGGATGTTAATGATAACAGGAGAATCAAAAGGAACAGAAAGATGTACATCAGAATTCTTATTCTTTTAAAAACAGTGGCTTCTACCTTTTTTGCATAACGAAAGTCCTCCAGAACATTGAAGATCGGGGGTATTAATCATTATCATGAAGTTGAGGCAGATAAATTTGGTCTTCGACATAATAGATTTGAGAGTTACAAAGTAAATCTTTATTCCAAAAACAAGTTTATCCATGTTTTTCTTTATGGTTGGAATTCAATATATGCTTTTTCTCATTGCTGAAGAAGGTATTCAAAATCTCCTTGCACAATTGCCTTCCCCTCCAGATGCAAAGTGTAGCTGATTGATATCTGGGAATAACCCCCATAGTCAATTAGTATGTGGGTGGGTAGCTCCCCTATGTCATGCTTGCTGGAGGTTTAAGAAGGTAGTGATTTCCCCCCCCCCCTTTCTTATGACTGAAAATATGCAGTGGTGTTGCCTGAGGGACCCTAGACCATTTCCCTGGACATTGAGTAGCCATACAGGTGGGTTGCTGCTTGATGCCACTAGCAATTACTTCACAGAAGCCAAACAGAAGTACTCTGTTGAAAGTATGCTTCTCAAGCATCCAGCAGAATCTTGGTAAATGTCTCCAAATATCTGTTCTTCCAAAGAGCTGCTCCACTAGACTTATGACAGTGTTTGGATTGCTGTACTATCATATATCATAGAACATGAATATCAAGCTTTTCTGTTTCTACTAATGCCACTGGTGTTTTCTTCCAGCTATATTCAACTTTTGCTAGAGATGAGCATCTGATTATTGGAATAGTAATTCCTTTTTAGTGAGGTCTAGTGCTTTGGATATCATGGGGTGCAGACTTTCAAATAACTCTTCTTTGTTTAGGTTTTAGATCAACGGAAAAAATGGTGGCTTGCCAGAAATTCTGCAGGGGAGAAGGGTTATATTCCTAACAACATTCTGGAACCAATAGATCAGACGGCACCTAAGGGAAATTACACAGAGCAAGTAAGTACAATTCTTTGCTGTTCCATGTGACATGGAAGCAAGTAACACAAAGAAGCAGTCTAATGCAAAATCAGAAACAGTGTGAGACTCCATCTAATATGACAAATGATTGGGGATTCTGGAAGTTGAAGGACCAAAGAACCGGAGGACCAAATATTGCAAACTGCTTGGTTTTAGAGAAAAACGATGCATCACTATGTGCATCAGGCTCCTTGTTTTCAGTCAACTTGGTGCATCACTGAGGGATGAGCACAATGTATCCCTGCTATAATGAAAAGTAAGCATGGTTAATTTTGCATAATTTAGATCTCGGACTTATTGCATTTGCCTTCTGCAACAAGTCCGAGTTAAATTATGCAAAATTAAGCAAGTTTGCTTTTCATTATACTGTTTCCATTAATTAATTCTCTGGGACTAGATGATGATGGTGATGATGTAAATCATTTACTATGAGATGTCTTTCTTCTGATATGCCTGCATTCAGGTCTCAAGAGACTCTTCTGACCTTCACCCACGTTCCTCACCAGCAGAAGTCACTGTTTGGCTCAGGACAAAAGGCTTCTCTAAGATGTAAGTATTGCTTTAATAACCTTTCCAAAGAAACATTGTTAACTGCCATCACGTTAGCTTCAACTTATGGCAACCCCATGAATGGGAGACCTCCAAGTCACCCTGTCGTCAAGAGCCCCTGCTTAGGTTTTGCAGACTCAGGACCATGACTTCCTTTATTGAGTATTTCCATCTGGAATGTGGTCTTCCATTTTTCCTATTGCCTTCTAGCTGACCAAGCATCCTTGTCTGTACTGTACTGTAGCAATAGCTATTGACCCCATACCTTTCCAAAATGCAGTAAAGTATAATTCACAGTGTTGTCCATTCTGCTGAAAGGTACTGAAATTCCCATCAAACAATATAGAAATGTGTGATCATTACAGGACAAGGATAGAAAAGTTCAGGATAGACGGGCTCCAGAATATGTTCTCCCCAAACACACATAACCCTCTCTTCATCTTTCAACAGCACAGTTAAATCTCTTGGCATCCTTAATGGACTGCAACTGCTATCAATGACCCAAGAAGAACTGAAAGCAGTCTGCCCAGAAGAAGGGAGACGTGTTTTCCTCAAACTTCGGCAGTTAAATCAACAGTAAAGGTAAGATCCCTTCTAAAGCCAGGAAACCTGTTTGTCATATCCATCAGTTTTATAACTAGAGAATGGCCAGTGAGAACATTTGACTGGAGAGAGTCCCATAGCTAGCTTCAGCTTCACATTGAGGCAAATGAATTCAGAAGCAACACAGTAAGGGCAGGGTGATCATGTAGCCCTCCAGATGTTGTATCTTTGTATTCAAACCACATGGGTCTGCACTAGTTTCAGTTTGTACAGTGAGACCTGGATCCTCCTTCATCTGTGGGTAGGGCATATTACAGGGCAGCTTTTTTCCAATTCATATTACTAGAGTCAATAAATACATCATTGCTGCAAAAGTAGAATTACCTACACAGCTAGAATGTGGTTGGGAATGATGAGTACTTACTCAGGTCTTACTACTAATACTTCTTTCTCTGCTTCCCTTTAACAGCAAGACCCACGGAAGTAAAATTCTTCAGCAGTCTTCGGCCACTGCATAGTTCACTTCTAAGAGAGTCTCTGCTATCAGTAATGGTTTGCTTTTCCAGCACTTAACTTTGGAAGCTTATTCTTCTGTTAATATGACCTTTATTATACAGGATGTTCCTTTGTTGTGATGCAGAAAGCTTGCCCATGATAAGACTAGCATGTGTCTCTTATTGAAAAGATACCTCTTATTTTACTTTTATAGAGATTGAATAAAGATGTAAAAAAAATTCTGTAGTTTGTAATTCAGTAAAGACAGAAAAGGATGCACCATGTAATTTATCAATGTGGACAACATGTTAATTTTACAGGGAAACACATGGATAAGTTAACAGAAAGCAAATGCTTTCATTTAGTATATAGGTAGAATTGTGGCTGGATACATCCCAATTTTCATTCCTGGATATCATGGATTAAATGTTCATATCCCTAATTGTTATTTTAAGCCTGGCAACACTAATTTGCAGATACACACACACACACACACAGAGGCTACAAAACCTGGAAAAGCTAATTTTAAAATAACTCCCCAAATTCCCCAGGTAGGATAGTTAGTGGACAATCTACTGAAGTGGGGGCTATTGTAGTCTCAAACAGTAGCATTTCCAAGAAATGTGTCTCATTAAGGGAAATAAATTGCAAAGAGAGGGGCCAGCAGGCCATAGTGGTATTTCTTAAACAGTTCAAATGCTGTGTTGTTGAAGGTTTTTTGGGCTATATGGCCATATAGCCCAAAAAACCTACAATAACCCAGTGATTTCAGCCATGAAAGACTTCGACAATACATAGTTCAGATGCCGTACATATATATATATATTTAAAAGCATTGTCAAATTGATTGGTTAGCTTTCCAAGATTCATAGTAGCAACTTCAAACTCAGTAGTGTGTGAGAGAGTTATTGTTGATTGAAGTAATAAGGAACAGATTTCCCAAATTAAATCTAACTATTGCAAAATATCTGTTCACTGTTAATCTGCATGAGAAAGTTGACTTTGAGATCATTTGTTCAGGAAGTTCATTGTTTTCTCAGTAGCTTTAAAGTGTTTGTCTTATTTGTGCAATACTTGTGTCCAATAAATCTATTAAGCTGTTTAAGATGTGTTTGTGTTTAATTGCCTAATACGGCTATCACTCAAGAACTATTTAAAGAACACTCACAAAATGGCATGTTTCACAGATACATAACTTGGGTATGTTCCTATTTTGACGACAAGTACCAGAACCTTAAACCAGCATGGCTTAATAACAATAAATATGTGAAAGCATACATAAAGTATCAGGAAGTTTCAGTAAAGAAAAACAGGACTGGATTTTTGTGCAAGCATGCAATGCAATTCTAATATGGAAAATAAAGGCACCCTATTTTTGAATTCTACGCTTATGCTCCCCTCCCCACTATTTTGAACTTAGTGCCAAAGCTGGTTCGGAGAAATTAAAATAGGAAGGGCATTCTATGATTTTTCTTTTAATCAGCCCACTCTGATTCCAGTAATTTCTTCAGGTATTTCAACTTATTTAACATCTTCTCTTTCGAACTGTATGGGGAAGAAGCTTGTTTATTTGATCATAAGGAAAGTAAAATTAGCTGTAATCGTCTGAATTTGATAATTATGTAGCTTTGCTTATGCTTTTTGACTAATGGACTAGGTAGACTGCAGATGGGATGTAGGAGAGAAGGCAATGCTGCAGCTTCCTACCAGAGTGGAAATCATCTGTCGGACAGATGGCAAGCTGTTTAACCTCAGCAGATTGAAAGCCAAACCCAAGGTCACAACATGTTATAAAACTCCAATATGCTGATGATAATGTAGCCTGTGCACATTCAGAAGACTATTGTGTTGTTCTTTCTTTCTTTCTTTTTTTCTTTCCTTTTTTTTTTTTGCATTAAAAGACAGAGATGTGCAGTATGCATAGGAATTTGTTCATGTTTTTCCAATTAGTTTACGCAAACACTCTCCATCCATCTGCCACTAGTCCGGCTCATCTGTCAAATTTTAAAACACAATGCGTCAAAATGTTTGCCCATGTCTGATATATATACATTATATATAATATAATATAATATGTAATATAATATATAAACATTTCTTGGGGCTCCACAAGAAACTTTTGCCTCAAAAAGGGCTCCATGGCTGAAAAAGTGTGAGAATCCCTGCTACATCTAGTGAAAAAAACAAAATATGACAATAAGCCACAAAGGATGTGGCTTTATACTTAGCACAACAACACCAATTAATTCCAAGACACTTTATTAGCTGCTACAGCCTTCAAAATAGAAAAGCTTCAACCATCATCCTACAGAAATATAGCATCAAATTCTAGGGGAGGGAGGGTCACCAAAAAAGCAAGATGCCATCCAGCATCAGAAAGCTTTCATCCTGCTTTTTCTACTCTTTCTTGTTACACCATTTGGCCATTTTGTTATTAATGGGAGTCTTCATAAATCGGCTGGAGCTCATGTAGGCTGCAATCTTCTCCAAGGCCTGAAAAAACAAAAAATCGAGGGTTTTAGAAGAAAAGGTGAGGAGAGAAAGAGAATTCACAACAGGTCAAAAACTACAGAAAAATGAAAAAGTTATTCTAGCCAGGATGACTTTGTTCATAGGCTATAGTAAAATGCAAATTCCAGAACACCCTTCCTGAATGTATTGTCCCACATATGTTCTGGACTACAATCCTTGGTCAAATCCTCACAAGGATTTGAAGTCTGAGAAGGATGGTGGTGCAACCTATGGCTCTGAGAGCAGCTCAAACTTGATGAACTGTGTATCAGATTTTTTTTAAACCGGTTTGTCTTAGGCCTTGGGTTTACTCTTATTCAGACATCATCTCCACAAGTTGTCTTTTTTCCCCCACCTTTCCATCACATTGGCATAGGACATGAATGGCGAATGGAAAACCAGGCCCTCCTGTTGTTATATGACTAATTCCCCTAATTTTTGACCATGCAGCAGGGTTTAATGGGAATTTGAGTCCACCAACACATGGCAGGCTGAAGTGTATGTGTGACTGCCCTAAAATGTATTCCAAAATAATAATGCTCAGAGATGAATGGGAGATCTCCCAGCTCTGCTGCTCATGAAAAAGGCACTGTCCCTATCCAAGCAACTTTAGAGAACTACAACAGGGAGAAATAGATTCAATTTTCAGGGGGAAAAAGATTCCACCTAAACATTAGGAATAACTTCCTGAAGGTAAGACACTTTTTGCAACATGCTGCCTCAAGAACCTCTTTCTCTGGGCTGGACTGTAGTGCAGCTAGTTAGTAGCCAGCTGCATTAACTCACTACTGACCAAGAGGTCATGAGTTCGAAGCCAGCCCAGGTCAGAGTAAGCTCCTGACCATTAATAGTCTAGCTTGCTGTTGACCTATGCAACCCAAAAGACAGTTGCATTGTCAAGTAGGAAATTTAGGCACCGCTTTATGAGGGGAGGCTAATTTAACTAATTTACAACGCCATAAAACCTTCCAGCAGCATGCAGAAGAATGAGGATGTACTTCACCAAAGGACCCAGTGTCACAAACTGGCCAGTGAAGCATCAGTTCTTCCTGTGGCTGGAACCAAGCATACCCTCATGAAGCCAGAAAGCTGGAATGTTAAATTGCCTCTGTGTCTGTCTATATATGTTGTATGTCTAAATGGCATTGAATGTTTGCCATGTATATGTGAATTTGTAATCCGCCCTAAGTCCCCTGCGGGGTGAGAAGGGCGGAATATAAATACTGTAAATAAATGCTTTTTAAAGCAAAGGCTTGATGGCCATCAGACAAGGGTGCTTTGATTCTGAGTCCCTGTATGGCAGAGGTCTGGACTGGATGGCCATGTGGTCTCTTCTAATTTTATGATTCTACAAAGTTCACACACATACAGAAACCAGTCCATACTTTCTACACAGTAAGTTAGTGGGTGCTGAGGCTTTACAGCTTGCAGTAAGTAAGTTATTTCACTGCTAACAACCATATCACCACAGGAAGAAGCTCATTAAACAAAGGGATAAAAGGTAAATTGCCAGGCCCATTTAGGACAAAGCACATTTTAACAACCTGCCTGAAGCCTTGTATGTACCTAAAGGAAACAGACAATATTTCTCACATAGTCCTGTCTCCGCCAGCTCAGACACCTACTCCTGCCATTTTGGAACCTTGCTGTCTGTTAATCTGCCTGGGGCTGCTTGCCAGGAAATAACAAACCCAATCACAAGATGCAAACAATCACATATTTCAATGCCAAAACCAACCTCAAAGCGGGTGAGAAAATCCTGAAGGTTCTTAAACTGGTCAAGGCACTTAGGCTCAAACATGCGGTTTTGATCCAGGACATCATACATGAGGAAGTCAACAAATGTGATCTGGAAAAAAACAAAGAGCATTATTATTATTATTATTATTATTATTATTATTATTATTATTATTATCTTTATTTGTACCCCGCTAGCATCTCCCGAAGGACTCGATGCGGCTTACAAAGGCCAAGGCCACAAAACACAACACAAACAATATAACACCAAAAGCAAAATTAAAAACAGTTAAAGCAATATTGACGACATGCAATAGACAGTATATCAAGACACAATAAAAACTGGGCCGGGCCAGAGTAATGGGTACAGGATTAAAAGTGCTGATGTGGCAGGTGGTATACGAGGATTATAGGGCAAGTGAAGTGTGCGGTGTGCAATAATCTTAATTCTACTAAAGTGCTTCGAGGACTTGTTATTGGAGAATTCCTATTCTGGAAAGGCACATCGGAACAGCCAGGTCTTCAAGTTCTTTCTAAAGACTGCCAGTGTAGGGGCCTGTCTAAGATCTTTTGGGAGGGTGTTCCAGAGTCGGGGGGCCACCACAGAAAAGGCCCTGTCTCGTGTCCCCACCAGCCGCGCTTGTGACGCAGGCGGAATCACGAGCAGGGCCTCACCAGATGACCGAAGTGAACGTGTGGGTTCGTAGATGGAGATGCGGTCACTCAGGTAGGCAGGTCCCAAACCGTTTAGGGCTTTGTAGGTAAGCACCTGCACCTTGAATTGGGTTCGGAAAATAAATGGCAGCCAGTGGAGCTCCTTAAACAGGAGGGTTGACCTCTCTCTGTAGGAGCCCCAGTTAACATCCTGGCTGCTGCCCGTTGGACCAGTTGGAATTTCCGAGCCATTTTCAAGGGCAGCCCCACGTAGAGCAGTAGTCCAATCTAGAGGTGACCAAGGCATGGACCACCCTGGCCAGATCAGCCTTTGCGAGGTACGGTCGCAGTTGGCGCACGAGTCTCAATTGTGCAAAAGCCCTCCCGGACACCGCCGACGCCTGAGCCTCAAGCGTGAGCGATGAATCCAAGAGGACTCCCAAACTGCGGACCTGTGCTTTCAAGGGGAGTGTAACCCCGTCCAACACAGGTTGCCACCCTATACCCCGATCGGTTTGCGATCGACCAGGAGGACCTCTGTCTTGTCGGGATTGATCTTCAGCTTGTTCCTCCTCATCCAGATCGACACAGCGGCCAAGCACTCGTCCAGCACCCGAGACGCCTCCTTGGAGTTAGGCGGAAAAGAGTAGTAGAGTTGTGTGTCATCTGCGTAGAGATGGCACCTAACTCCAAAACTCCGGATGACCTCTCCCAGCGGTTTCATGTAGATGTTAAAAAGCATGGGAGACAAAATGGAGCCTTGCGGGACCCCACAGGTCAAGGGCCAGGGGTCCGAGCAGGCATCTCCCAGCTTCACCATCTGGGTTCGTTCCATTAGTGATACTCCAGAAGGACTGAGCCTACCCTTGGGTAACCAGGACTGAATATGCACATACCTTGTCACCAGCAAACCACTTTCTGTCCCCTAAGAACTGAGAAAACAGTTTCAGCTTCCCAGGCAGTTGCTCTAAGTATCCAGGTTTTAGTTTTTCCTAAAAAGAGAACAAAAAAAAAAACCCGGCAAAAATCAATGAGGGATAAACTGATCAAAAAATTCAAAAGACCTTCTACTGTTCAATAAACCTATGGAATTTGAATTCATCAACAGTTAAGATACCTGAGTGAGGCAAAATGACTAGGAAAAAGTACCTGAGTGATTCCAATGAACTTATTTTAAGAAAAGAGTTATTGATGAGAAGCTTCTATTCCTAACAGCCCAAGAATATCATTCTTCCAGCCAAGATGTATTCAATGTGTTGTCGAAGGCTTTCATGGCCAGAATGATTAGGTTGCCGTGAGTTTTCCGGGCTGTATGGCCATGTTCCAGAAGCATTCTCCCCTGAAGTTTCACCCACATCTATGGCAGGCATCCTCAGAGTTTGTGAGGTTTGCTGGAAACTAGGCAAGTGGGGTTTATATATCTGTGGAATGTCCAGGGTGGGAGAAGAACTCTTGTCTGTTTGAGGCAAGAGTGAATGTTGCAACTGATCACCTTGATTAGAACTGAATAGTCTTGCAGATTCAGAACTTGGCTGCTTCCTGCCTGAGGGAATCCTTTGTTGGGAGGTGATTCAGCTGGCCCTGATTGTTTCTTAAACAAGGAAGCAGCCAAGCTCTGTAGCTGCAAGGCTATTCAATGCTATTCAAGGTGATCAACTGCAACATCCACATTTACCTCAAACAGGCAAGTATTTTTTCTCCCACCCTGGACATTCCACAGATATTTATTATTTATTTATTTATTTATTTATTTACTTCGCTTATATACCGCAATTCTCAGCCCAAGGGCGACTCATTGCGGTGTACAACATAGAAAAACAGGTGCAAAATACAAAACATAGTGTAAAATAATCCACAGTTCATCATTATCAAAAGCATCTCATCAAAACATCAACATTACTACAAAAGCCATTCTGAGTCGTCTCATCGTCAAACCCACAATCCGATATCATTTCCATTGTTCCATTCCTATGGTCAAATTACCAATCATTGCACTTCTTATTCAAATATATATATAAACATATATTTATATTTAGATATATAAACCCCACTTGCCTAGTTTCCAACAAAAACCATACAATACAATACAAAGTTATAAAATGGTTAAAGTCACATATTTGTAAACCCAATGTGTTCTACACAATGCTATATTTTTGTTTCCTAAAGAGGGAGGGTGGTCCATACATGCTTTAATATCTTGGTCTTTTGAGACTCTTATCACAATCCCCAGAAACAGATGTCTGTGCATCACTTGATTCTTCGGGTAGAAGAAACAGTGTTGTACACTGCGGGAGTGTTTACTGCATAAAACATGGATTATAATTCATAATCCTCTGGCTCAGTACAGTAGGTGTAAATGGTGAGAAGCAGTACTACTCACAAAATCAGGATTGTAGCAGATCATCACAAGGCTCATGCGGAAATCCATCACCTGATTCTCCAGCATGTCCACTCTCATTATTTCCTCCTCGGTTTCTCCACCTGGAGCCAACACACAGAGATGAGAAATCAGGGAGAGAAGTAAGCAGGTTTTATCAGTCCAGACCCCAGGAGAACTCAGCCATACTTACAAAGCTTATGCTTGCGTGCAATGTACCGGAGAATGGCATTACTTTGTGTAAGCTTGGTCTTGCCATCAATTAGGTAAGGAAGCTGGAAAACAGAGAGAGAGAGAGAGAGAGATCAGCTCAAGGCCAAATCCTTGCCTTGTGCTTCCAAGTTCACTCCTAATGACCCATTCAGTCTATTCATAATTGTTCCTCGGCCCCCTCTTTGCATTTAAGGTTATGCACATGACTACCACGGAGAATAGCCTGTTTCTTCCCATTCGGAATTCATGGATAACCAAATGAGATAGTATTTCTCTGTATCATATGATAAAGTCACTTACATTAGGAAAATCCAGTCCCAGCTTCTCCTTTTCATTCATCCATTGACTCTTATCATAGTCAGGCGCTGGGGGAGAAATAAGAGGCATTAAATTCAGGCATAAAAAAAATCTATGTCCATCATGTTGCCAAGTCTACAACCCCAAGAAAACCCAGTTCAGGAATGATCCCTATTTGATTTATTTCTCAGTTAACTTGGTTATAAGGTAAAGGTTTCCCCTTGACATTAAGTCTAGTTGTGTCCGACTCTGGGGGGTAGTGTTCATCTTCATTTCTAAGCTGAAGAGTCGGGGTTGTCCCTAGACACCTCCAAAGTCATGTGGCCAGAATGACTGTATGAAGTGCTGTTACCTTCTCACAGAAGCGGTACATATTGTTCTACTCACAGTTGCATGTTTTCAAACTGCTAGGTTGGCAGAAGCTGGGGCTAACAGTGGGAGCTCACCCCAGGTTATGCCATGCTGTAAATGCTAGGGTAAATTATTATTATTGTCAGGAAGCTGTTAAACACATGTTGGCCTGCTGACAGCCTTGTAGCAAACACCGCTGTAGTTGGTAATAAACTCAGACAGACTTGAATGCCACCAGTAGCCTCATTAACTTGCTATCTTGGAATATTAAAACCAGAGGACGTTCCACAAGAGTTGTTTAGGTAAAACTGTTCTTTGCTGCCCTCATTTTCTATCTAGACCACCTAGATTTTGAGAAAATAACTTGGCAAGAGAAAGCCACAATGTGACAAACAGCAAGGTTGGAGCTGGGATGCTTCAGAGACAAAGGCTCCATTGTGCTCTCTCACAGGGCGCACTGAGGACATTTTTTCCAGACAATCTATTCTTTAGCACACAGCGAGTGATTATCACTGCATATTTTCAGATGGACACAATTTGCTTAAAGTGAGTCGTTCAGCTGCAAGGATGGCTCATTCACTCACCACTGAAAATGTATTATGTTATAATTAGGGAGGCCTCCTCGCTTCATTCAAGAACAGTCACCATATGGAACACATTATGTATCATGTGACATGGTGGCCCCTGAAAGACCCCATTACCATATATTTTGGGTTATTTTTAAAGAAGATGATACCACCAGAGTCACTCTCCAGGAAAGAATTGATACCGTACTAATTTGCTTAATATACACAGCAATCTTGTGTACCATCATTCTTGAAAAAATAAAATAAAAATACCATCTCAACTTTTTCCTAAAGCAGGATTCAAAGAGGCTTATCAAGTAAAACAAGTAGAATGAACTGTATTTACTTATTTATTGTATTTATATACCGCTTTTCTCATTCCTGGGGGGACATAAGGCAGTTTACAACATACTAATGGCAAAAATAAACACCAACATACAGTACAAAGAAATCACAATAACTAATTACTACATATAACTATGTAAAATCAATTAAAATCATTAAACTCAAAATCAATTAAAAACCACTAAACATGATATAAAATTTAAACATTCAGACAAGGATAAAACCATCCTAGTATAAACATTAAATAATCCTAGTATAAACATCATCCTAGTATAAACATTTCAAACAAGTAGTACAATTATCATACTGTGCAAATAATACTGTAATTTGGGGTTAATAAGTTAAGTCTCTAATTGGAACAGCAGCATTAATCTCCAAGACAGTAACCCAAGATCCTTGGGGAGTGAATTACATTAGTCAGGACCGCTCTTTGCACTTTACCCACTCCCCTGGCCCTATGGTATCACTGCACTAGCCTCGGCCCAGCCCTCTCAAACTATCTAGGCCCACTTTGAAATTCTGGCCTTTGGTAGCTTATTTTGCATGACTGAATAGTGTTTTTAATGTATATGTTTGTTTTAATAGTTTTATGTCTATGTTTTAAATAGCTACTCTGTATGTTTCTGTGTTACTCAACCTATGTGGAAACCGCCCTGAGTCCCCTAGGGGAGATAGAGTGGCATTCAAATAAATTATTATTATTATTGTTGTTGTTGTTGTAACACAACAAGATTAGTACACAACAAACAAGATCATTATGCTGGTTTGTGTATTGGATCACACATCGGACATATAGTCTAGGCCAGGCCCATAGCCAGGATTTTGATTCGGAGGGGGGCTGAGTTTGATTCGGGGGGGGGGGGGGTGAGGATCTACCCTAGCAAACTTTTTGTATCATTATCCCAATACCCCCATGCATATAGGATATATTGAGCATGGTGGTCAGATCATGATATGAATAAACATAGCAGTTTTAAAAATGTACCAATAAGGCCTTCTCGTGGACCACCCTGAGAATTTTGGGGGGACTGAAGCCCCTTAAGCCCCCCCTCAGCTATGGGCCTGTGTGCAGATCCCAGTAGATGATGTGTGCAGTGACCTTTAGCAGCTGACAGATGGTTGTTGTTATTACTACTACTACTACACTGGCTGCATTGAACTGGCAAGTGGCAGGGAACCGATACTAATTTTATTTTCTAGTGATAGTGAAAGGTCTGTTTTAAAGTATTTGTACAGCAGTGGTAAGGATTATATGGCCTTCCAGAAGTTATACTGTAATTCCCATTAGCTCTTGTCACAACACTCACAGTGGTGATTCATACTAGGAGTTACAGTTCAACAACATCTGGTGGGCTACACAATTCCCAACCCCGCCTCTAATACATTTCTGCATAGAACTTTTATGTTCTCACCATATTCCAAGTCAATTCAAATGCCTTGCCAAGAGGCTCAATAATGAATTGTTGTTTCTATTTCTCCAGAAGACTTTAGCCCTGAGCTACCTACAACTCTCTTGAGACTGCAGAATCATGGCAATTTCAAACATTGAGTAGATGCTTCCTGCACACTTGGATCTAGACACCTGTTTCTCTCCATAAAGAAAAGTAGGCTGTGAATATATGAGATGCTTACTACATCAAAATCCACCCCTGTCATATTATTGAGCAACACAACCAATATCTGCTAGACAGTGGTTCTCAACCTGGGGTCCCCAGATGTTTTTGGCGTTCAACTCCCAGAAACCCTAACAGCTGGTAAACTGGTTGGGGTTTCTGGGAGTTGTAGGCCAAAAACATCTGGGGACCCCAGGTTGAGAACCACTGTGCTAGGAGATTCCTTTCAAAGGAAATAGTACAGCAGAGCATAAAGTCCGCCTTATTAGATACCAAAATGACCCTCTTCCAATAATACAGGTGCATATCATTTGGTACAAGCCTCTCCACTGACACCACCCAGCAACCTTGTAAACTTTCAAAATTTGCAGAGGTTAAGCATAATTATAAAATATCACTTTGGGGCCAACAAAAGATTGACAGGATACAGATTCTGTATCTAGCTTGCTTAGAATGCCTTTATCCAAATGGGCTAGGCATTACCAGGAAATTATGAATAAACCAGCAACTTTCATTCCTAGTTGTAAAAGGGGGGCAATGGAAGGAAGAACTTCCTGACTGAGAGCCGTTCAGCAGTGGAACTCTCTGCCCCGGAGTGTGGTGGAGGCTCCTTCTTTGGGAGCTTTTAAACAGAGGCTGGATGGCCATCTGTCGGGGGTGCTTTGAATGCAATATTCCTGCTTCTTGGCAGGGGTTTGGACTGGATGGCCCATGAAGTCTCTTCCAACTCTATGATTCTATGACTGTAATAAATACTCAGTTGAACAATACAGACCTTCCCCACAGCTGTATAATTTATCTTCAAAGGCTGTGCCTGTGTATTCCAGCAGCAAGCGGATGCTATGAGCAAGCTGAAAGAAACAAATGATAAAGTTCAATGAGAAGTCAGCATATACAGGTTTCAGGATTTGCCATCCTTAAAAGGCGACACTGTACTCAAAAGAACTTACTTTTACAAAAGAACTACAGACTTTGTTTGCAAGGAGTGGCCAAGGAAGAGAATTTAACACCTTCCAGGTCCATATTCTTCTATTCTCTGCACTATGTTTACTACTATCATTACTCTAAACTCCCTTTCCATTCTTCCCTTCTGTCCTTTCTAATGCTTCTGGTTAAACCCATCTCTCTGTGTTAGTACAGTCTTTCTCTTTGCCAAAATCCCTCTATACTTAGTGCTTCTCTCATACCTGAAGACATACTGAGCCCTACCTCTCCTTGCAAGATGAAAGCACACAAACTTGAAATACTATAATTATTTGCCTGTTGTACAAAACCCCCTGTGTCTCTCTAGCTGCTTTTAAGAGAACTTGAACATACTTGTTCTTTCTCCGGTTGTTAACTGAAGATATTTTACAGTGTTTGCAATTTATTGCAACGGCTTTTTTTTAAAAGGAAGGAAGTGCTCAGATGTTGTATTTTGATTTTTTTTCTACTGTAATCCGTTTTAGGAAGGCCACAGCTTTGAAATATAGTTTTCAAGTATCTGAAATTAAAAACAAACAAATGCACCTCTATACAGACTAGGAAAAAGAAAGGCTCCCTCCTCTATTTTCTCATCAGAGTCCCCGGTGGCACAGTTGGTTAAACCCTTGTGTTGGCAAGACTGAAGACTGACAGGTCAGAGATTTGAATTTGGGGAGAACCTAGATGAGCTCCCTCTGTCAGCTCCAGCTCCCCATGCAGGGACATAAGAGAAGCCTTCCATAAGAATGGTAAACCATCAAAACATCTGGGTGTCCCATGGCCAATGTCCTTGCAGACATTGTGAGGTCTCACAACCTCACAACCTTGAGACCATTGTGAGGTCTCACATTTATGGAAGGATGCCTTCCATAGATGTGGGCAAAATGTCAGGAAAGAATGCTTCTGGAACATGGCCATACAACCCATGATTCTGGCCATGAAAGCCGGTGTTTTAACTGTGTTATGTCTGTTTATTGCTGCATTTTAATGATGTTCCTTGCCTTGATTTATGTGAAGATGTTGGTAAGAATGTTATTATTATTATTATTATTATTATTATTATTATTCAGCTTAAAGTATTCTTGGGAAGATTCATTCAGAGGGGAAGAAATGTGCTAAAGTCTCTTGCTTTTCTCTAAGGCTGAAATCGGTTGACTTCCCTAAGGCCACCAGATGGATTTCCATGCCTGAGCAGGGATCTGAACTCTGGTCATAGTCCAACATGCAAACCAATCCAACAGAAAAACTTGAGGGTGTATTTATACAGTGAAATTAATGCACTTTGACTTCACTTTAATTGTCATGGCTCAAGGCTATGAAATCACAGAAAAGGTCTTTAGCCTTTTCTGTCAAAGAGTGCTGAAGTTGCACCAAACTTAAAACTTCTAGGATTCCACAGCCTTGAGCCATGACAGTAAAAGTTGTGTCAAACTACATTATCTCCACAGTGTCGATGCTACCAAGGTAAGTGCAAGATATAGAGGTGAGGTGCTTAAAGGTAACGGATTCCCCTTGACATTACATTTAGTTGTGTCTGACTCTGGGGGGTGGTGCTAAACTCCATTCCTACGCCAAAGAGCCGGCGTTGTCCGAAGACATCTCCTAGGTCATGTGGCCAGCAGGACTGCACGGAGAATCGTTTCCTATTGTGGTACCTATTGAACTACTCACATTTGAATGTTTTCAATGTGTTAGGTTGGCAAAAGTTGGGGCTAACGACAGGAGCTCACCCTGTCTGTGGATTCAAACTGCTGATCTTCTGATCAGTAACTTCTGCAGCTTAGCGCTGATCCACCATGGCCACTTACTTACAAAAAATCCAGGGGACCATAAGGCTTGCCCATGGAGAGCTACAAAGCCACAAGGCAGCATCGAAATGGAGCGAGAGGGTTGCATTTGCCAACATGAAAATAATTCTTTACTGCCTACTCTGGGGGAGTGGCTGGCTAAAGTTAAGACAGGGCAGAAACAAGACACGTTGCCTTGTTTGATCAAAGGAATGGCGTTTCTAAAAAACTGAACAGCCCTTGATGGACTTTTCTTTTGCACCCCACACCCTAAAAAAAAGAAGCTTTTGATTAATTTACCTCTTGGTCATTAGACAGAATTGGTTGTAAAAAAGAGAAGTTAGGTTCATGTGAAGAAAAGGAAGTATCAATAACTGTAAAGTAAGCATAACTGCTAAAAACGTGGCCGGAAGTTGTTTTCTTTCTTTCTTTTTTTTTCTTCTTCACAATTTCATTCCGTTCTCTTTTTAAATAAATATTTCAGTGCTGTGTCAAAATCTCTGTATGAATGTGTGTGTGTGTGTGTGTATGTGTCCTTTAGTGCAATGTAAAAACCTTGTATTTAAGTATCTGCATGTGATATGGCATGGGCAAACTTCGTCCCTCCAGGTGTTTTGGACTTCAACCCCCACAATTCCTAACAGCCTACCATCCAAAGAACCCGAAGGGCCAAAGTTTTTCCAAACTCATATATGTGTGTGTGTGTGTGTGTGTGTGTGTGTGCGCGCGCGTACGTACATATATGTATGTTTATATATACACACACATACACAGTGTCCCAAAAACCTGCATACATAGAAAAAAATAACAAACATTTATTATATTTAATACATTTAAAACATATTTATATTTATAGTTTTGTATATACTGGAAGCATTTTGTAAAATTGTGTAAAGAAAGGTCTACTTATCTACAATGCCCCATTTTCCATCTGTAAGCCAACTTTTGCTACACCTTATATGTATATATCTATCTACCTATCTGCAAAATGTAAAAATATATGTATATATACACATATACAGAAACAAACAGGACCACCAACTGCACTTTGTGTGCATGTCTATGTGTATATATTTGAATCTATCTCTTTATACATATACGTGTGTGTGTATATATATATAGATCTACAGATATACAGATGTGTGTGGGTTTATGTGTGTATATATATATATGTGTGTGTGTAAAGATGTGTGTGTGTATACACACACACACACACACACACACAATCCCAAACAAAAGGACCTTCACCCCAAACGTGCTGCACTTGCTACAAGACTCCACCATTCCCTCTTCCAGAGCTGTGCCTTTTGTTATCGCTTCCCAAAGACATCCAAACACCTTTTCCTTCCATGGGGCGCCCCCCCCCCTTACTCACTTTGCAGATCCACCCCCCTGCAAAAGGGCCCCTCACTCACCCCTCGGATATCCCAGTAGCCCAAGATCATTGCCATGGTCGCCTTTTCGCCTTCTGCCTCCCAGTTGCTTGTGGCTCTTCCTTTGCAAAAGAGGAGGCCCGCTCTGGCAGGGACTGGGATAAAAGCCAGTCCTTCGGGGGAAGGGAGGAGAGGGAGGGGCCGTCGATTAAATTTGATTCCTTAAAGGCGCAGAGCCTATTTCTGGCAGGCCAAGGTGGCGGGGCACCAAGTTCGGAGGAACCCCTTTGAAGCAGAAAAGAACAAAGGGGAATGGTTCCCCCCCCCCCCACTTGACTCAGAACTACACACGCATAATAGAGTGTGTTTCTCTCTGAGTGAATGCAGTTTGATACAACTTTATACTATGGAATCCTGGCATATGTCGTTTTACAGGGGCTTTAGCTTTCTCTGCCCAAGAGTGCCAAAGCACTCTTCCATGTTTCCATAGCATTGAGCCGTGGTAGCTAAAGTGCTGTCAAACTGCATTGATTCTGTAGTGTAGATGCACCGTAAACTACAACCACCCCCTCCCCAATATATGCAGCCATTAATATCTAATATCGGTTGAGTCTTCCCTATTAAAAATGCTTGGGACCAGAAATATTTTGGATTTTGCCCATATTTGCATATGTGTACACAATGAGATTCATATTTTTTCATATACACCTTATAACATAGCCAGAAGATAAATGTATAAACAATATCTAAGTAAATGTAAAGGTTTCCTCTGACATTAAGTCTAGTTGTGTCCGATTCTGGGGGGTGGTACATTGTCCATAGACACCTCCAAGGTCTTGTGGCCAGCATGACTGCATGGAGCGCTATTACCTTCCCACAGAAGAGGTACCTATTGATCTACTCACTCTTGCATGTTTTCAAACTTCTGGGTTGGCAGAAGCTGGGCTTAACAGTGGGAGCTCACCTTGCTCCCCAGATTTGAACCGGCAACCTTTTGGTCAGCAAGTTCAGCAGCTCAGCAGTTTAACCCACAGCACCACAAGGGGGCCAAACAACATCTATCTATCTATCTCTATAGATCAATATCTATCTATTTATCTATCTATATCTATATCCATAATAAAAATGAAAATATGTGTGTGTGTGTGGCTGGGGTGCCCAATTTCACAGACAGGCTCCCACTTCCACAAGTAGCTATAACCTCCATCTATGAGGAGCCACCTCTCTCCAATGACACTGCAGGTTATAACGAGCGCTGTAAACATGTACAACCCCTGACAATGTCTTCCGGAAATACAAGACTGCCCACCACCCAGATGGAGGCTTTCATACAGGGACAATATCATCCTAGATTTTCCGTGTTTCTGACTCTCTCCATTGGTATGGAATATGCACGATCCCACCCACTGCCTCTCTCATAACCCTTTCCAACTCTTTTCGACTGGCATAGCAAACATACTGGAAGGGGTTGGGAGACTCACTCAACATTATGAAAGTTGTAGTTCACCCTGCATCAAGACAGAGCTCTGTGACCCCCACCAACAATGGACCTGGACCACATTTGGCACACAGAACCACCATGACCAACACAAAATGCTGGGGAGATTTGGGAGGAATTGGCCTTGATTTATAGCCCTAAGTTCATCTGGAACATCAGTATGCAAAGGAATCCTGTAACACCTATCCCAGGGCACTTCCACGCAGCCCTATATCCGAGAATATCAAGGCAGAAAATCCGCAATATCTGCTTTGAACTGGGTTATCTGAGTCCACACTCAGATAATGTGAGATTTCCTGCCTTTATATTCTGGGATATAGGGCTGTATGGAAGGGTTCTCAGTCACCATGGGACTATAGGATCGCTTGACATCATCTCATGTAAAGTGCCTACACAACAATGCATTGCTTACACTGTGAAAGGATAAAGCTGCAAATCTCACTTCCAGGGCCCTTCCACAAAGCCTTATATCCAAGAATATCAAGGCAGAAAATCCCACAGTATATGCTTTGAACTGGAATAAGTGGCAGTAAGGACTCAGATCAACTCATCACACTAGAGAAAAAATCCACTTAAAATCCGGTTTCTGCTTCCTGCAGAATTCTGGGGTTTGTAGTTTAGGGAAGAGCCTTTAAAAGCCTTACTAAACTACAAACTCCAGATTTCTGCAAGATGCAGAAATCGGATTTTAAGAGGATTTTTTCTCAAGTTTGATAAAGTAGATAACCCAGTTCAAAGCAGATATTGTGAGATTTTCTGCCTTGATATTCTGGGAAGTGGGGGTGGAAGGACCCCCACTTTCTCTTCCCATTTTGCAAATCTTTGCTATTATTAGAATCTTAAGCATATTTCTCTACTATACAACCCAGAATATCAAGGCAGAAAATCCACAATATCTGCTTTGAACTGGCTTATCAGAGTCTACGCTGCCATATAACCAAGTTCAAAGCAGATAATGTGGGACTTTATACAGCTGTGTGGAAGGGGACATAATTCCTTTTAAAGGATGTTTATAATTTTGGAGGAAATATGACACCCTCCCCGCTTCTCAGAATTATAAGTTGTTAAGAGTGTGTACGCTTTGAGAAGGACATAATAGTCTTTTGAAGCACGCATGGCAAACAACCCCATGCAAAGCAAAGGTGGAAGAACCATCAAGAGGCTATTACTTGGCATGTTTATTTCCTTCTTTTATAGTTGTGTCGTGGAAGCCTTGTCTATAGTTTACAGTTCCTTAAATTGCAAGCGACTGACTTTTATAGCTCCAGATTCACACAGGGAAAGAAGGGCCAGAAAATCGAGAGTGACAGGGTCCATTAGTTTTAATAACTGTAGAAGGGAGAACCTTGGCAACAGTACAGTCTTACAGGAGATTCTTGAAATTCTTTGCACTCGGTCAGCTTTATAATTTGATACAAACCTAGCAGACATGGAGATATGTTTTTGAATTTCCTGGGCCTCTAAGAGTAATTTTAGGCAGAATCATTTCTTAAAATATTATTTGGGTTGCTCCCATACAGGGGGGGCGAGGGAGTTTCCAACTCACTACAGTTTTTTTTTTTTTGGTCGTGTCAGGAGCGACTTGAGAAACTGCAAGTCGCTTCTGGTGTGAGATAATTGGCCGTCTAAATGTGGTTAAACTGCATTAGTTTTGCAGTGTAGATGCACCCTGAGTCTATGAAAGCTTATGCAATGAACATTCAATCTTAATATCCTTGTAGGCTGGTACAAACTAACCCAGCCATGTCTTTGAGTATGACTTATTGCAGAGCTTCCCAAACATTTCATGATGGTGACACATTTTTTTAGACATGCATCATTTCGTGACACATTCATTCAGTTTTATTAGCAAAAGGAAGGTTGATCCAATCCCTTATAAAGAATAAAAGGTAAAGGCAAAGGTTTCCCCTAACATTAAGTCTAGTCGTGTCCGACCCGGGGGTTGGGTGGTGGTGCTTATCTCCATTTCTAAGCCAAAGATCCGGAGCTGTCCGTAGACAACTCCAAGGTCATATGGCAGGCATGACTGCATGGAGCACCGTTAAGATGTGTTCTTATCCTTATAAAGGATAAGAACACATATATAAACTTTACGAATGAAATGCATGGGGGCACAACATAGCTCATGAAAATCTTTCATTCATATCTTTAAAAATATATGATTTATTGCTTATTTCACACAGACACAGACACCAATGTGTCACAACATACAATTTGAAAACCTCTGACTTACTGATTTTAGTTTTTGTAGATTACAATCCACTTCCTCAGATACACTGATGGAGTACAGTATTCAAATCTCAGCAAGGTGATAAGGAAGGGAAATGGGATACAGAAAATGCAATTATCCCACTGCACATAAACTGTCAAGGCCAGGCCTGTAGCCAGGATTTTGATTGGGGGGGGGGGCTGAGTCTGAGTGAAAGAGGGTCTACCCTAGCAAACCTTTTGTATCGTTACCCTAATACCCCCATGCATATGGGATATATTGAGCATGGTGATCAGATCATGATATGAATAAACATAACAGTTTAAATAATGTACCAGTAAGGCCTTCTCGTGGACTACCATGAGAATTTTGGGGGGGAGGGGCTGAAGCCCCTCAAGCCCCCCCCCCCCCCCCCCGATTACATGCCTGGTCAAGGTGGTTAAGATAACAGTTCTGACATAACAGCGCTCCATGCAGTCATGCCAGTCACATGACCTTGGAGGTGGCTACGAACAATGCCAGCTCTTCGGCTTAGAAATGGAGATGAGCACCAACCCCCAGGGGAAAACCTTTACCTTTGCCTTTACCTCTGACATATGTGGGTTAAGATGTTTTTGTAATATTAAGGTGTTTCATCTCTGAAGTATGAAAGCCACACTTTCTGCTTTCAGAAAAAATGGTTCCACATTCTTTCCTAGAAATGTTTGACAATCAATCAAAACATCAACATGAAAACGTTTTATTATGCATGATAACAACACCAAGATTCCTTGATACACAAATGTGGAAAATGTGGAGATTCAATGGAAGACTGAGTAGATAAATATTTGAGATGGTAGAAGTTGAGATGTTAATTATGTTGCTGCAGGGAAAAATAATTGATGACTTTTTGGAAAGACTGCAAACTTTTTGTGTGCACACAGAACCAATGTAGTATATAATTCTAAGGCCCTTGTCAGGCTACAAATACCAGGATCCCAAGGTTAAAATGGTGTAAAACGGTATTCATTTTGCAGTGCATATGTACCCACTGCTGTGATCCAGTAATGCTTTGTTACAGTAGTGTGCATTGTTTCCTTTGTTTCCTTTAAAAAACACATCACAAAACTTGTTCATATTTTAAAGTCTCACAAAACTCTTGTTTTTGCTGCAAAAAAAACCTCTCCCTGCTACTCACCCAACCCATGGACATTTCTTTTGAAAGTAGTTTTGAGTGTTAGAGATACCATTCATTTTTCTAAAGTTGATCTTAAAAGCACATGAAGAGGCCATGTTATCAAAATGCAAAGTAACATTGTTTTGTGTTTTACTCCCATGGAAGGAATATTCTTTAATTCTTCCTGACCAGATTTCTGTCCCATTTGGGAGGGTTATTAATTGTGTGTCTTTCCTCATTTGTTAAAGCAGAAGTGAAGGAACTTTGGCCTTCCAGTTGGCTCGCATTCGAGCTGCCCAGCATTGAGTGGCAAAGGTCTGTATTTCGTAAGATTTAGAGTGCCAAAGGTTCTGCATTGTTGTGCTAATACAGAGAAAGGGAAGAGAGGGCCCTACAACTGTTGTACTGCAGTGTCCATGGGTCTTAGGTTGAAGGACCAATGAGAAAGATGGGAATTGATGTCCAGTAAAATCTGAAGGTTGACTAAGGAATGTGGGTGCTACAAATGGGCATTGTAGTTTGAAGCAGAATATGTCTCAGGATACCTCTACAATGTAGAATTAATGCACTTTGACACTACTTTAACTGCCATGGGTCAATGCTATGGAATCCTGGGAGTTGTCATTTTATGTGGTCTTTAGCCTTCTTTGCCCAAGAGTGCTGGTGCCTCATCAAACTGTAAACTCTGTGGTACTAGTGCATTAATCCATAGCAGCTACAGTGGTGTCAAATGTATTAATTATAGTGTAATTAATGCCTTAGGCAGCAGAAGGTAAATAGAACTCTAGCAGCATCTTTATTTATTTTGTATTGGTAGAAAGCTTAAAAGGGGATCACTAATTGTTGGGCATTAAAATGAGAATAATCACCAAAGCTTGGTTTGCATAATTGTAAAGAAATAAGAGGTTAATCAAATATGATCAACCTCTTAAGAGATCTCACTGGAAGCAAAATAGATTCATAATTAAGTACTAACACCTCTATAGTTCTCATGATCACCAATCAGTGTTCAGCTCCAGCACTGCGTAAGAATAGGAGACAGCAACTATTTCTCCTATATCCTGCCTACAGGAGGAAACATGAAGCTATTCACACACATTGCAATCCCACAGGACAAATATAACTAGACCTGAAATCTTAAAGATGGATAACCTTTTCATTCATCCCCAAACTTCTGGGGGCCTTAGCCATTCCCCATTTTTAGGACATTAGAAGTAATGAGAACGMCACTTGAGGTGTTCCAAAAATACTCTTGGGAACTTGACAAAATATAGGTGCCCCAAATAGCATTTAATAAGGAGAGTGGTGCCCTCTGCAGGTTTCTAGAGGTGCAATTCTCAACATTTGCCCCCCCCCCCCCCCAGCAATGAGTTGGGGATTCCCTAAGGCATCTTCAAAAGCTGTGTGTACAATACAAAGGCTACATCATTCCTAAGAATCTAAGTCAACTAAAGCTGCACAATGGTCTACCCAATATTTTTTGCCCTTTAGGTGCGCTGAACTGTAGTTATGATGTATGCACAATTGTTCTGCATAAAGTTGTCATTTGGTTATAGGAGTAGCACATTCTCTCAGGGATGCAAAGTAGGATGTAAGACACACACACACACACACATGGCTTGTTATGGCACAGATGTTTATATAACTGTACAGTGAAAACAAGCAATGCACAACATAACAAGTAGGAACCATTGGCCTCTTTTAAAAAGTTGGTTTCATGGGAGAGTATTTATAGATTTTATTTATAGATCACTAGAAAGTACTAGAAAGGGGATACTGCTTTCACACACTGCAGTATCCTCTTTCTTGAACTTCACATCTCTCTTAAGAGACTACCTGCTGGAATATTACAGGGCAAAACCATTTGAAGGGAATATTTTCACTGATAACACAGAGCCCTCATCTGTAGGGAATCAAAAGTGTTTAGTGTTTTCCAGCCACACAAACTGTACAAGACCAATGTTCAGGGACTCTGGCAATTATAGTCCACAATATCTGGAAAGTGTAATGTTGCCTATCCCTGCTTTCCCCTGGTTCAACAAACTGTCCTGCAGGATATATGTGTGTGCTTCTTTTATATCACAGAGACTTGGGATTTTTGGCCTTCTCATCATAGAAACATTTCAGTTTTCATTTGAAAAGGGTGGGAATCATGTGGCCATATAGATGTTCTTGAACTGCAGCTCTAAGCACTGTGGGCCACATATACGGGCCACATATATGGGCCACATATTCCCTCGCCCTTGTATTAACAGGTAACACCTAGTTTAACTTTGCTAGATGCATTTGATCCCAACTTAAAAATGAGGGGGCGAGAAGCAGAGGAAGATTACCCAAAGGGTTGTGTGATTACAGGCAAAAAGAAGAAGAAGCCAAGACAATTTTTCACACCCAACAGCTTTTATTATTATCTAGTTCCTTGGAATGTATTTGGGGCATTGGAAATACTGTGCAACAATGTTCTGAAGCATGAAGCGAGGTGGTGTTTCAAGGCTCCCTCCTGATACAGAATTGCAAATGTCAAGCCGGGATGTATTCATCCGTATTACCCCATGTGGCATTTCTGCTATAGAGGGGAGTTCTCAGGAAACGGCTTGATTTCATGTAGGCAGAAATCTTCTCCAATGCCTGCAGAGAAAGCCAGCAGAAGAAAACGTATTATTGTAATGATATTAGTTATCATTCTAAGTTTCTGTAACTACAATACAGAATACCACCTGTCACTCATTAATACCTCCTGGAACATGAAGCAACATATTAGTTTAAAGAAAGACAACATTTAACTTTCTTGGCTTCTAAAGAGGGGATGAGGGCTTCCAAGTGTCCTTACCAGTTTTAGCCTAAATTGAAATCACACCCTTGTATTTCTATCACAAGATCTTCAATCTTGCTTCCTAATGAGGCAAGCCTGGAATCATTGTTCCAAACCAGGCTTTAAACTCAGCACAGAGCAACCCCAGACACCACACACCATGAAAAATGGTTAAATGAGAGAACACATGTTGTCGAAGGCTTTCATGGCTGGAATCATTGGGTTGCTGAGAGTTTTCCAAGATGTATGGCCATGTTCCAGAAGCATTCTCTCTTGACATTTCACCCACATCTATGGCAGGCATCCTCAGAGATTGTGAGGTCTGTTGGAAACTAGGCAAGTGGGGTTTATATATCTGTGGAATGTCCAGGGTGGGACAAAGAACTCTTGTCTGCTTGAGGGAAGTGTGAATGTGCAATTGACCACTTTGATTAGCACCTTGAAGCCATTCAATGCTAATTCTGGTGTCCAATTGCAACATTTCACACTTGCCTCAAACAGACACCCTGGACATTCCATAGATATATAAACCCCACTTGCCTAGTTTCCAACCTAGTCCTCACAACTTCCGAGAATGCGTGCCATATATGTGGGTGAAACGTCAGGAGAGAATGCTTCTAGAACATGGCCATACAGCCCTGAAAATTCACAGCAACCCCGAGAGAACATATTTTTCACAAAATGGGTATTATAACATTTAATGAAAAGATGGAAAAAATGGAAATAAATTATTTAGCAGATCCTTTACTTTGGAATTTCAAGCATAAGCCATAGTAAGTTTCACCTCAAAGTGATCCAGGAAATCTTTTAAATTTTTGAACTGATCCAAGCATTTCGGCTGGAACATCTGGTGCAGATCCAAAATGTCATATGCAAGGAAATCTACATAGGTGATCTAAAAAATATTTAAAAGAAAAAAAAGGGAGACATTGTAAGGTGAATCACAGATTTGAGTTAAATCTTGGCCTCTGTATGTATTATACCTAACCTTATTTCCTAGAAACCATTTTCTGTCTCCCAGAAACTGGGAGAACCGCTTCAGCTTCCCAGGTAGCTGTTTAATGTACTCCGGCTTCAATTTTTCCTGCAAAAAAAGAATGTTATCAGCAACAGGCTCATTTTTAGCTCAGCTCTTTGGAACGTTCAACAAGTTACGCATTCCTCCTCTTCCCTCTTTTCTTCTGACACACTGATTGTATCCTCCCACTATGAAATTATCTTATGAATTCCCAATCTTACCCAAACACAAACTCACAAAATCTGGGCTGTAACACAGTGTTGCAAGGTCTGTTGCAAAATCCACAACCTGGTATTCAAGTATATCCATCCGGATTATTTCTTCTTCAGTCTCCCCACCTGTAGCAAGGCATGGAGATGGTCATAATGTTCCTGACCCCATCACTCATTTGGTCTTTGGATTTTAAGCCAGGATCCAAACAATCACTGGCTTCATAAACACTCACACATCTTGTGCTTGCGGGCAAGGTATCGCAGGATGGCATTGCTCTGTGTAAGTTTTCTGTCACCGTCAATTAGGTATGGCAGCTAAGGAAAGAGGAGAAAATTAACAATACTGGTGAAATTCTTAAATGATATGCACACTTGACCATTTACACTAGACAATGTACAATGTATTTAGGCTAATCAGTACAAAAAGGGCAATCTGAAGATTTTCAGGGCATAAACAGTCTGAGGAAAGACTGCTGCTAGATGGACTAGAGATTAGACAAGAGTCTCTTTCCAAGATCAATGGAGGACTGTCTGCTAATAACCCAAATTTAGAAAACTTTCAGAATTATAATTCTTCAAAAATACCAGACTTCATGGCCAGTAACAATGCTGTCCAGGAGATCCTATTAGCTATATTTTTTTTAAAAAATTTTTTTTTTTCAGATTCTGATAGTAGTTTCTATACATCTCGAAGTCAGTAGCAGCACACTGATTTCACTTCCGTGCCACTGTTAATAATAATAACAATAACAATAATAATAATAATAATAATAATGTTATTTCTTGTCCGCTTCTTTTCACAGCCTAAGGCATATTACAGTATTTTAAAAACATACACAAACACATAATCATTTTAAAACACTTAGTAAAATACATATATTAAAACATATTTTCATAAAATACATATTAAAATACACAAAACAAACATTAGGCAGTCAGTGGAAGTTTAAAATTCAGTATTGTCTGGGTAGGCCTGCTGGAACAGATGGGTCTTCACTTGTATCTTAAATTCTGACAGCTGATTCAACTGTTGGAGCTCTACCAGCAGGTCATTCCAGTCATGGAGTGCCCGATGAAAAGGTCCTCTGAGTGGTGGTTGCCAGTCAGGTTTTGGTTAGTTGGAGTAACTGCCCCCCAGAGGATCTAAGTGTAAGGGGCAGATTGTATGGGAGAAGGTGATCCTGCTGGTAACCTGGACCCAAACCATATAGAGCTTTAGAGGTCAAACCCAACACCTTGAACTTTGCCTGGAAACTAATTGGCAGTCAGTGGAGTGACTTTAGGATAGGTGTAATATGCTCACTCCTAGATGTTCCCATAACCAGTCTGGCTGCTGTATTTTGAACCAGCTGGAGTTTCCGAACTTGGTACACAGGTAGCCCAATGTAGAATGCATTAAAGAAGTCCTACCTTGAGGCTACCAGAGCATGCACTACCATCTTCAGGTCTTCCAAATCTAGGAAGGGGCGCAGCTGGCATATCAGCCAAAGCTGATAGTAAGCACTCCTGACCATCGCACCTACCTGGTTTGATATATGGGGAGACGGATTCAGGAGCACTCCCAAGCTACGAAAACAGTCTTTCAGGAGAAGTGTAACTCCATCTAGGACTGGTTAACACACCTCCATCCTCAGATTAGGACCCTTGGTGGCAAGCACCTCTGTTTGTCTGGATTCAGTTTCAATTTGTTTTTCCTCATCCAGTCTATTACTTCCTCCAGGCATTCATTCAGAGAAGACATGCTATCCTTAGCTGTAGCTGCTTTTGAAGGCATGGAGAAATATATTTGGGCATCATCAGCATACTGATAATATCCTGCCCCATGAAGTTTCATGTAAATATTAAAACACATTGGGGCTAGAATGGCACCTTGTGGGATACCACATAGCAGCTCTTTTTTAGAAGAGCAGCTATTCCCAAGCACCACCATCTGGAAACTGCCTGAGAGGTATGACCAGAACCACTGCAACACAGTGCCTCCAATTCCCACCCCCACCCCCCTCCCCCCTCCGACGAGCATTCAAAAATGATACCATGGTCGGTGATATCAAAAACCACTGAGAGGTCTAGAAGCACCAACAGGGAKACACTCCGCCTGACACTGTTGAGATGGAGATCATCCACTAAAGTGACCATAGCTGTCTCAACTCCATATCCTGCTCTGAAGCCGGCTTGAAATGGGTCAAGGAAGTGTGTGTCATCRAAGACTGCCTGGAGTTGGAGGGCAACTGCCTTCTCAATCACCTTGCCCCKAAAAAGGAGGCTAGACATTGGTATGTAATTATTAAGGTCATGGGGTTGCTACATACATTTGGGAAGTCAAAGCCCAGTTTCTCCTTTACACTAGTCCACTCACTTCTGTCAAAATCAGGAGCTGTAAATATAGATGCAAACAGTAAATGCCATGTCCTTGTATGTACTCACTCAGGATAATTTTCTCCATTGTGTCTATACCTTGCAGGTCCAGCAATGATTGAATATACACTTAGCAGAAATGAAAAATCTATATTTGTTGGGATAGAAGGGGACAAAGTGTTTAATTAATAATAGAGACTGGGTCCTGCTTGGGTTTAGATCAGTGACCCTGTGGGTGCTTTGGCCTACAACACCCAGAAATCCCAGACAGTTTATCAGCTGTTAGGAGTCCTCAGAGTTGCAGGCCAAAATATCTGGGGACCCACAGGTTGAGAACCTCTGATTTAGATCCATGCATTGATTGACATGCCTGCTGACTTACGGAAACTAACTCTCCCAGACTACCTGGTGTATATATTTGGAATGATAGATGTGGGGTTCCACATGGGCACAAACCACTGTGTAGTTTCCTTTCTTCCTGGGCATGACCCTCATAGCCCACACCTTCAAAGTCTGAGTCTGATAAGAACCAAGAAAAGGAATGTAGAATGAGGGAGTGGATGAAGATCTGTAATGATAATTGCGAGGAATACAGTTTTGCTGTCAAGTAGCAGACTAGAATCAACTTGTCCTTAAATCGCCAGGTTTGCCTCCAAACCAATAGAGAGACTGGCATATTTTCTTGCCTTTTCCCAGGATACTGAGCAGGCTTCTGAGAAAAAGGCTCCAACAGTGACGAAAACCAGCTCCACTCTGTGCAATACAACATGCAAATGATTCTCTTTGGCAATCTGGGAATACTCTTTTTACTGTTTTCAGTAGTATAGTTCCTAATGTTGCAAACCTATTTGGAAGCAAACCCTGTTAAACATGATGAGACTTGCTTCCAATAAATTTAATAATAGCATATCATAACCTCCAACATTTCACAGATGAAAACTGGAAGATGTTTGGCCTCACAAAATGTTGTCAAGATGAATAACATTATTAATGAAAAACACACAAACTAGGAGAGATGGCAGCACTTTTCTTTTGCCAGAGAATCAAGGAAGGGAAAGATTCTGCCTTTCTTCTCTCCCCTGCTGAATACATAAAAATTTGGTACTTTTTGCAGTATTTAAACAAAGTTGAGGATGAGGGCAGAAAGCAAAAGGAAATGAGAGAAACTGGGAAATTTTGAATACCCCTGGAAAAGAGGAATTAGCAGAGGATTAATAAGAACTGTTCCTGCCAAATTGAGGCAGCTGGTGAGGCAGATATGCTGTTTGGCTCTATGCTTATATATTTACTTGTTCTCTGTTACCAACCAGCTTTCTCATTGGTAGTAGGAAACTATGAGGAAAGCTGATATGTCAGTTCAGTTTAATTATATTAACATTTAAACAGACAACCATCACTGCTCCTGGATAGTCTCACTGCTAGAATACAGTTCTGAACTGGACACTGTCCAACCTACAGTCACTGCCTTTCATGTCGTCATTGTCCATAGTTGCTTCCCTGCTCACCAAAAATAGCCTGGTAACTGAGAATTACTAGGTCATCTATTCCAGGTTTGGTGGATCAGGTCCAGAGCCTGTCCTCCCTTTTCTGTATTTAAAAGCAAGCCTCTGCTCTGGCAAAAAGTAAAATGCCCAGGGAAATTCTAAATTATCACCCTGTGTGAAAGGGGTTCACTCCCAACTTTGAGAATGTTTAACAAATGAGTCTAGTCACACATGTACATGATGTTTAGAGGAATCATGTTATATTAAAATGGATCCGCAGTGGCACAATGGGTTAAACCCTTGTGCCGGCTGAATTGCTGACCTGAAGTTTGACAGTTCGAATCTGCAAGATGGGGTGAACTCCCATCTGTCAGCTCCAGCTTCCCATGCGGAGCATGAGAGAAGTCTCCCACAGGATGGTAAAACATCTGGGCATCCCCTGGGTAACGTCTCTGCAGACAGCTAATTTTCTCAAACCAGAAGCGACTTGCAGTTTCTCAAGTCGCTTCTGACACGATAAAAAAAGTTATATTAAAAATGGTAAACTTCTCATCTCATTACCTGGAGGAAGTGATTATGTATCCATTCTGCTGTATTTCCTACTACATAACATCCAAAGAAAATATTTTGGAAATCCCTGATTCGGTTGTGTATCCATCACAAATGCAAAAGTAGCTATGTTTTCTTTCTGGCAGAAAATGCTACATTTTCTGTAAGTATAACAAATTCAGTGACCATAGAATGTAAATCATAAACACAATTACTGCACCCATATTGGTGTATAGGTGGTTAAAAAAAAGAAAATGCAAAGGGAAGAGATGCTAAGATGACTGTGGCAGCAATGTGGTGTCTATGTGTGTGAGTAATTGCTTTCCTACCCACAGGGGATATTTGAGGATTTTTGCAGGAGTTAAGTGGTATAAACACTTAACTAATTAGATCTACAGCAATTCATGAAATCAATTTTGCTTTTTTTAAAAAAAAGGACAAGTGCAACTCTTTGCTCTGTAATAATAAAATTGTTACTGATTATTGCAATGTAAGTGAATAGCTGTAAGTAAACATCTTAGAATAATCTACATGCATGATATCACCATAGTCTTGATTTAACCAAACACATACATTCGAACCTTGGGTGTTATAAATCTTAAGTCTCTTTTGATCTTGCCTCACCCTGCAAAAAGCACACCTTATTTTAAACTGAATATAACAATGCCAGTCTTAGATCAACTGATGAAAGACCTGCTGCAGCATTGAGATTATTTATAGTTTATGAAATGGGAGTTCTCTGCATGGTTTGGACTATAAACTTTAGAGATAATAGTAGCAGAATAGCTATGGCTGTTAACTTTAACAGCTTTATGGCAGGTAGAAGTTCACAACCTGTTGATAATCTATCTGAGATCTCTCATTTCTGTGCCCCCCTACCTTGATATATACAGAAAAAATCTGGGTTTTTTTATCTCTTCTTTATATTTACCAACTCCCAAAGTCCAGCTTTGGATAATGGGATGACTATTCTGCTCATACTCTTCTTCACTACAATGAGAGTTAGTGATTGATTTGATTTATATTCCACCCTTCTCCCAAAACAGAACTCAAAGCAAATGTAAAGAACTTTTAAAAGCAAATATAAACAAGACCACAAATTAATATGTGAATAAATACTCAAAGCAATTAAACAAATTATAATAAAGCATACATGAATTTAAAGCAATTAAACAGCACATAATTTAAAAAGACATGCTTATTAACATCAATTTTAAAAATAGCTGTGTTAATTAGTACTCTCAATTGGCAACTAAACCTGAATATTTATCTGTTTGCAGATGGATAGTAAGAAGCAGGTCAACCTAGGCGCCTTTGGAAAGCAGTGTCAGAGCCTGGAAAAAGCCACCTGCAAGACCCTCTCAACTATTTAAATGCATTGTGTTTATATTTATATTATAATAATTTGCATCAATATGTTTAACTCATCACATCTCAATTTGTATTATCTTTTACAGATGGCATGAAAAACTTAATCCACATGCAGAAAACCTGTTGCCATCCCTCTTAGAGCAGAAACTTTGAACAAGAGGTTCACAGAGATGACTGATCAGTTACAAGGCCAGTTAAAACAAAATACAAAGACAAGTTCACCAGTAAGTTTAGCATATCATCTTATTCTGAGTCTGCATGTTAGAAATAGCAACCTTCTTTAAGCCTCCAGTAGTCATTTATTTGCATACAATCCTATTGCTTACTTATTGTATAAATGTTTTGGTATGCAGCTTTCTTTCCTTTACTCTGTTTCTCGAGGTTATGGGATGTTGCTGTTGATTATAAGAAAGATACCCTGTGTTGTCTGCTCAGAGAAATCACTTCAAACCTATCTATAACTGGATTGGTGAGTTATATATCTATATGCTGAATACATTAAGGTTGTGAGTAAACAAGATATGTTACTTTTAACGAAGTCTACTATATTTTTGTCTCTCGAGAGCATGATATAGAAACAAGATAATTTATGGGAGAGAAGATGTTTTTGGGTACTGAAGAAAACACTCTGAAGAACTGCTATATTTTGTGCATTTGCATAATCTCTGTTCTGAACAGATCAGAGACAACTAACTTATCAGTCTAACAACTGGAAACCAAATTGCCTTGCATAAGTACAGGTGATTGTACAGCACTGAAGGGAAGATTTTATTCCAGTGAGATTTTTTACTCTTTTCTGAAGATCGTACTTTTACAAAATGGTATGATTATCCAATGGTTGTGAATGCCATTTTCTCCAATAGGTTATGGAGATTCTGTTTTTCCAAAACTGCATTCTAACAAAAATGCCTGTCCAGATTAGAGGGAGGCTGCCTAGTCCAGTGCTCTTTACAAGAATTCCAGTCTCCAGCATGCACTGGTAGATAACCCAGAACCAGTGAGGTGCATACCAAAACATATGTACAGTAAGTAAGCAATAGGATTATAAACAAGGTGAAGCTAGACTCCCATCTCTCATTGATCATTTCATACAAGCTTACCATTTTGCTTCCAACTATCTAACTCCTTACCTTCTCCTAAATGATATCGTTTGTCTTCATATGGTGTTTCTGTATATTCTAGGAGTAGCCTGATTGCATGGGCAAGCTGCAAGAAGACAAAGGGAAAGAATGAGTGGAAGGCGAAAGATGTAACTTTGCGATCAGCTCTTTTGGAGGGGAGATATTCAAAAGTGAAACATTCCAAGTGGGTTTGTTCTTGTGATTTGGTCTCTGTTGAAACACTTCACCATTCTTTGTTTATTTTCCCCATATATAATATACTGACTTTTTTATCGTGTCAGAAGCGAATTGAGAATATACTGCAAGTTGTGTTGGGTGTGAGAGAATTGACCCTCTACATGGGACGCCCAGATGCGTTACCATTATGTGAGAGGCTTCTCTCATCTCCCTGCATGGGAAGCTAGGGCTGACAGATGGGAGCTCACCAATCTTGCGGATTCACACCGTTGATATTCAGGTTTTCAGGTCAGCAGTTCAGCCAGCACAGAGTTTTAAACCCATTGTGCCACCGCAATGGGATGAGATACAGGAATTCCATTTTTTCACAGTGTTCTCAATGGCAAGTGTGTTTTAAATCATCTTGTTGTGATTCTAATAATAATAATAATAATTTTATTTTTATATCTCGCCACTATCTCCTGGAAGGGACTTGGGATGGCTTACAAGTGGGACCAAGCCCAAAATGTACAACAAACTTCACCAACAAAAACAAAAATGCAGTTTAAAACATAATGGCATATGACAGTCAATTTTAGCAGTGCAGGTGCACCCTATGTCCTCTCTTTGCCCTCTCTCCAAAACAGTACAGTCAGCCGTTCCTAAGATAAGGACAGATGGAGAAGGAGGATGAAAGTGTGCGCTTTGCATTTGTGTGGACCAGGATTACCTAAGGAGATGGGGAAAAGGCTATTAGCTCCAAAAGATGTGAGCCAAACTGCTGCAGGAGACACTTTCACACCAAAACCGGATGGAATCTGTACAGGTCACTGAACTCCAGCTCCCATCACGCCCAGAGAGCAGGGCCCATAAAGGCACAAGCGCACCCTCCGCCCCTTCTTTTTCTTGTTTAACTGTTTTTAAGGTCCTGACTGGCAGGGTGAGGATTTAATATTGTAAAAAAAAGAGTTTTCGCTTTATTTGTATTTTGAAATGCTATGAGCTTTTTTGAGGACAAAGTGGAAATCAAGAGACTTCAAAAATAAATTGGCACTGTTGAAGTAATGCAGTTGAAGTAATCATGGGAGTTGTGGTTTTACAAGGCCTTTAGCCTTCTCTGCCAGAAAGTGCTGGTGCCTCAACAAACTACAAATCCCAGGATTCCATAGCATTGAGCCACCACAACTGCATTCCTTCTACAGTGTAGACCAGGCATGGGCAAACTTGGGATGATGGGAGTTGAAGTCCAAAACACCTGGAAGGCCCAAGTTTGCCCATGCCTGTGCAGATGCACCCAAGTAAACTTAGCAAATATTACATGTTGCAACCCAGAGGGTCTTGACTCCTGCTTGGAAAGGATACTAACTTACCCCACGGATGTCCCAGTAGCCCAGCGTGAGGCTCATCTTCCTCGCGTGGCGTCCCTCGTCTTGGGCTCCAGGGCAGAAAGAGAAACACTCCAGAAAGTGGGCTGAGTGGAGGGCAAGCCTGGCTTGGAAGTGGACGTGCACTTGGCGGGCTCCGCCCCCATTCCCGGGACTTTCACTCCTGCCCTTTCCACTCCCACCTCTGACGCCTTTTCCGCGGGGACACAAAACATGATCAATGTCTGAAGAGATCGCATAGGCAACACAATAACATCCCAGTTCGGCAATTACGCCTCTACGGAGTTCTAATTGACAGCTTAACAGCGCTGCAAACACTTACCAGGAAGCAGCAAGCAAAGCTGATCAAAAGGGGCATTTGTAGAATGAATGCATTTTGACAACACTTTCACTGCCAGGGCTCGGTGCTATGGAACCCTGGGAGTTGTAGTCTGGTGAGGTACCAACACGTTGGCAGAAAAGGCTGGATTTTTGGAAACAACCTCACAACTTCTGAGTATGCCTGCTATAGATGTGGGCTAAACGTCAGGAGAGAATGCTTCTGAAACATGGCCATACAGCCCGGAAAACTCACAGCAACCCAGTGATTCCGGCCATGAAAGCCTTCGACAACACAACTTAGAGAAGATTGAAAAGTGATATGTTGGCTGCCTTTAAATATTTAAAGCAGTGGTTCTCAACCTGTGGGTCCCCAGGTGTTTTGGCCTACAACTCCCAGAAATCCCAGCCAGTTTATCAGCCGTTAGGATTTCTGGGAGTTGAAGGCTAAAACATCTGGGGACCCACAGGTTGAGAACCACTGATCTAAAGGGATGTCATGGAGAAATTGGAGACAGCTTGTTTCCTGCGGCTCCAGAGACTGGAACACACCAAAGAGCTTAAAATTACAAAAAAATCAGATTCCACATTAGGGGGGGAAATAATTCTGTGAGCTATTCAACATTGGAATGGATTGCCTTGGAGAGTAACAGACTTGTCATCTTTCGAGGTCTTTAAACAAAAGGTAGCTGGGCATGTTTTGAGTGTTCCAGAATGAGAAAGGGTGGCAGTAAATGGCCCTTGTGGTTCATTCTAGCTTTAAGATTCCTCTTTCTCACACTCACAGAAGGGAACATGTAGTTGTATCTCACACACTGCCATCCGGCATGCTAAAGAATAAATACAGCTAGACCTTCTAAATCTTAGAGGTCAGCACCCATTTCCCACACAACCCCTGAGTCCCTGTTGCCCTTTCATGAAATTAGAGGCAACCATAATGGCACTGTGGGACTTTCAAAAATCCTGTTTGGGATCTATGCAAATTGTAGAGAGCGTCAAACAGCACTTAATATGACAACAACTGATGCTTCCTGGAGGTTTCTGAAAAATACAATTCTCAGTTTTCCCCAATTTGTTTTTGAAAGTGGGAGAATCCCCTTGGTCTAGAGGAAGGACTGCATGTATGGATATGAAATTTCTACTCCCAAGAAAAATTAAAATGCTACTAAGATTAAAGAAAACCAATTCATGATGTTGCCATGGGTTGACAGGTGAATTGAGGGCCCACAAGTCAGGCCCCCTTCTACACTGCCATATACAATCCAGATTATCTGCTTTGAACTCGATTATATGGCAGTGTTGAAGGGGCCTCCATTAAAAGAGATTCAGCTGAAGTCACTTGATGGCCAACCCTAGCCCATCATTTCTGCCCTCTGAAATGTGTCTTTGGGGGACTTTTTGTTTATTGTATAACAAATGCATATTTGTTCTGCAAGAAGCTTTCATTTGTTTATAGCAGTGGTTCCCAACCTGTGGTCTGTGGACCACCAGTGATCCCCAAGAACTAAAATGTGGTCCACGGCCTCATCATTACTTCACCATTGCAACAAGAGTGACTGGTCTCACAAAACCCTGAGGTTTTGTGAGTTCCTGAGGCAACTGGGATGTCAGGAGGGGAGACACTGACTACCCAGGAAAGGCTGCTTCTCCTCCCCCTCACTCCCCCTGAGCGGAGCTGGTCCATGTGATGCCTGGAAGTGGGGGTGCCTTAGAGTCTTTGTTTTTGGCCTGCTCCTGGAGTTATTTGGGGTGCTGATTCAGAAAATTGCATTGGATAGACCACATCAACTCTACATTATTAAAATTGTTTTTCTGTGGGCAAGCAGATAGCAACTGCTGGATGGCATATCTTCTGTATCAGAAACTAGAGCTGATGTAGTCTATCCAATGCAATTTTCTGAATCTGCACCCCCAAATAACCAAACTGAATCTAAAGTTGACCCAAAACTGATTTGTAACCCTTTTGGTACTAATGTTGGAGAGTAGTCCCTGGTCAAAATGGTCCCTGGTCAAAGTGGTCCCTGGTTAAAAAAAAAAAGGTTGGGAACCACTGGTTTATAGAAATACATCCATCACATTTTCGCAGCAATGTGATACACATATTTCCCTTAGCATAGCTACAGCACACACTTTTCTATAACTGTAAGGTGAAAACTAGCAAGAAACAATACACCATGTATGAACCATTCCTTCCCCCCCCCCAAAAAAGCCAGTTTCATTAGAGAATATTTATTTATAGGTCTTATTTATAGTTTCCTAGCACATGTGTTCACATATTGCAGTATCTTTTCTTCTTGAACTGTACATCTCTCTTAAGAAACTACTACTTGAATATTACAAGAAGACTGAAAAGCTACAAGGGAAGCCTTTCACAGATCATACAAAGTCCTCACTTATAGGGAACAGGAAGAACACTTTAGTGTTTCCCAGTCACACAAACAGTAGAAAACCAATGCTCAGACAATCTGGGAATTGTAGTCCACAACATTTGGAAGACATGACATTAAGCAACCAGTGTGCTATGGTAATAATATAATACATTGTATTTACTATAATATTGTGCTATGGTAATAATATAATATATTGTATTTACTTTTTCTTTGCAAGCTGCTCTGAGTCCCCTTTGGCATGAGAAGGGTAGCATATAAATGTTGTAAACAAATAATAATAAAATAATAAATATCTGGTTGGGAAAATGGGGCTGACGTGTAGTGTTGGTTCCCTCGAGGTAGCCCTGGTACTTTCCCCTTTCTGTGGAATGACCCTCGAGTAATGCATGGATCATATCAAAATCAATAATTTAGGCTCTGAAACCTGCCCTCGACTTATACATCAGTATATACAGTAATCCCTCACCTTTGTATTAGCATTTATCCACTACCTTAATTGTTTTTAGAGACATTTGATTCCACCTTTATAATGGGGAAAACAAAGAAAGATTAACCAAGGGAATTAGAAAACTAAGCAGCCAAGTTGACTCCTCAGTAGCCAACAGTTTTTATTACATTGTTCTTGGAACATATCTTGGGTATCACAGCTAATGGGCAACAGTATTAAAAAGCAGGGCTTCTTAAACTTTTCTACTTATGATCCTTTTTGGCTCAAGAATTTTTTAAGTGACCCTGGTATACAGGTACATAAAGCAGTACAAAAATTAAACATGTGCTGTGAATAAATCGGTATTTGCATGGCCTGCAAAATGGGTTGGTTTTTCTTTAATGAAGTACAACTGAAGCATTGTCTGCAAACTCCACTGTAAACATTGCACGAACAGATTAATGCAAATGTCTAAAACAGTTAATGGGTGAGTTCCAAAACATTTTACTATTGCCGATGATTTTGTCACCCCAACATGAAGCAAAAGCAACCCATTTGGGCCCAGGGCCCACATTAAAAAAGCAGTGTTCTAAAGCATGAAAGGAGAGTGGGGGATTCAAGGCTCCTTGCTGATTCAACAGCAAAATCCCTGTTCCCTTCTATTCTTTCTTGCTGCCCCACGTGGCATTTCTCAAGAAGACAGGAGTTTTCAGGAAACGGCCCGATTTCATATAGGCAGAAATCTTCTCCAGTGCCTGCAGAGAAAGCCAGAAGAAGGATTCTTCTTAAACATTAGTGATTGTTACATGTGTCAACAGCCGAACCAGAATCCCAGAGAATAACTGTAAATGACTGATTGATATCTAGCATGATTTTGATAAATGAAGGAAAAAACACTAATGTGTACATGAATCAGCCAAGAAAGGGGTTTGGAGAAGTTCAGGAAATCCAGTTGGGAAAAACAGCTAGCCTGAGGTTACCATAAAGTACTTTGCATATAAGGAAGTTCTTGTTGGTACATTCAAGTCATTTCAGATCCAGGGTAATTTGAAGGCAAACTCAACTCGAAGGCATGTTTAGCCTGCAGAAGAAAAGGTTGAGAGGAGACATGATAGCCATGTATAAATATGTTTTTGGGTTTTTTTTTTTTTTTGCTGCCCTGGAGACTAGGATGCGGAACAATGGCTTCAAACTACAGAATTCTGGGCACCGCAATTGAAGGGAGATGTTGACCAACTGGAATGTGTCCAGAGAAGGGAGATGAAAATAATCATGGGTCTGGAGGGCTATCCTAAGAGGGGCGGCTTAAAGAGCTGAGCATGTTTAGCCTGCAGAAGAGAAGGCTGAGAGGAGACATGATAGCCATGTATAAAGATGTGAGGGGAAGTCATAGGGAGGACGGAGCAAGTTTGTTTTCTGCTGCCCTGGAGACTAATATGCGGACAATGACTTCAAACTACAGGAAAGAAGATTCCACCTGAACATGAGGAAGAACTTCCTGACTGTGACAGCTGTTCAGCAGTGGAACTCTCTGCCCAGAGTGTGGTGGAGGCTCCTTTGGAGGCTTTTAAACAGAGACTGGATGGCTATTTGTCGGGGGTGCTTTGAATGCGATTTTCTTGCTTCTTGGCAGGGGGTTGGACTGGATGGCCCATGAAGTCTCTTCCAACTCTATGATTCTATGATTCTATGACAGGGTTTTCTTGGCAGGATTTGTTCAGAAGAGGTTTGGCGATGGGGCAGAAGACAACTTTATACTGCACACACTTCTCAAAATATCTGCCATGGGTTTCTTTACATATCGATGGGTCTTACCTGGCATAAATGTATGCATAATACTCCTGGAAAGAAATCAGGCATGGATTGAATGTTTGTTCCAGAATGAAGCTGGAACAAAGTATAGTGTTTTTGGCTTGTATTGAACTAGACTACAGTTGCTTTAGGACTTGATACTGGTGAATAAACCAGTAAAATATGCCAAAATTAGGAAACTGGGAAGGGGCATTTGCAGCATCATAAAGCATGGTTGCTATCCCATTCCTTTTTTTTTCATGGAGTATGACATCATCTACTTTCAGAGAGTATGTCATGGTTCAGATTATTATTTGTAGAAGAGGTGCACGATTTGCTGCCCTAGAAGAACACTAAATGAAAATCAGCAATTATGGGATTTATAATCCACAGTATCTGTAGGACACCAGGTTGTCTAACCCTGACACTGAATTACATTTGATGCTAATACTAAAATAACCCTTCACTTTGGGATTTCAAACATAAGCCACAGTAAATTTCACCTCAAAGCGGTCCAGGAAATCCTTTAAATTTCTGAACTGATCCAAGCATTTTGGTTGAAACATCAGGTGCCTATCCAGAACATCATATGCAATGAAATCTATATAGGTGATCTAAGAAAGAAAAGGAAGACATTGTGAAATGAACTGCAAATCTGACATAATACATGGCAGACATAATATACATAATACATAGCTTAGCATAGAGGGCTAAACTGCTAAGCAACAGAAAATCCTGCCAATTGAAAGGTTGGCAGTTCAAGCCCAGGTCGGAGTGAATTCCTGCTGTCAGCTCCAGCTTTTGCTCACCTAGCAGATCGAAAACAGAAATGTGAGTTGATAAATAGTTACTGCTTTAAAACGGGGAGGTCATAAAAGGCGCCCATAAGGATGTCTATAGACAACAAAGCTTAAGGCATGGAAGATGGAGTGACAGCTCCTCCCTGTGGCCAGAGTCGAGCACAGCCTCCAGTTGCCAGAAATGGGGGGAAATGGGAATGCCTTTATCTCTGTGTATGTATTGTCTGTCCTTGTTAATTGTATAACGGTATTGAATGTTAGCCATATATCTGTAATCCTCCCTGAGTCCCCTCGGGGAGACAGGGCAGAATATAAATAAAATTTATTATTATTATCTATATGAATTATAGCTAACATATGTACCTTATTTCCTGTAAACCATTTTCTGTCTCCCAGAAACTGGGAGAACAGTTTCAGCTTCTCTGGTAGCTGCTCAATAAACTCAGGCTTCAATTTTTCCTGCAAAGAGAAGATATTGTATCACAACCAGACCCAATTTCAAGGAACCTCTTAGGAAATCTCAAGAAGTCTCACATTCTTAGGTCTCTTTATTTCTTTTCTTCTAACCCCCTCGCCATCTCTGCTAACCTCCTTTGTGCAGTAGAAAGAGCCCCCGTCCCTATCCAGTCATCTACATCTCCATGATCTTTACCCTCACATGCAAGAAGAAACAATCCCTGCAATGTTCTCCCCGGTGAGTGAGATCATGAAGATTTCTGGACACCTCTTTTGTCCTCTTCCAATCCCAGGAGTCCATGAAGAAATATTTGACTAGCCTTACATAATTGATGTCTTCAGACACACTCATTCTATATTTTCTCTCCCATGTATTGTCAAATCATCTGCTGAATTCCCAGCCTAATCCAATTTGGAAAGAAAACACAAAACTCACAAAATCTGGGCTGTAGCACATTCTTGCAAAGTGCATTCGGAAATCCATAAACTGATTCTCAAGTATGTCAATTCGGATTTTTTCTTCTTCAGTCTCACCACCTGTAAGTAACGCAAAACAGAGACTGTCAAAATTATTCCAATCCTCATCACAGATTTGGCCTTACTTTTCCTGTGGGTTTTAAAACAGCAGGCAATCATTGGCCCCATAAACACTCACACATTTTGTGCTTGCGTGCAATGTATCGCAGAATGGCATTGCTCTGTGTAAGTTTTTTCTCACCATCAAACAAATATGGAAGCTGCAGAAAGAGAAGACGATTGGTGACATCAGTGAGTTTATGCAGTGACGGGCACACACAGTCATACTCAAAAGATATGGTACAATATATTTAGTTTAATTAGTTCCAAAAAAGGCAATCTGGAGATTTGGGGGCATAAACATCCTGAAGAAAGAGTGCTACTAGGTGGTTGCTTATGGCCTTAAGAGCACAATTTTGCCATAGAATTTGACAGTGGTCATAAAACTCTCTAATTGCTTCAAAATGAATATTAAGCAAGCACTAGACTTCAATAGTTACTTCAATTAATCACCAGGTGTTTTGGACTGGAGCTTCCATAATTTCCTATTATTATTCATGACAGTTTGGGATTTCTGGAAACCAAAATCCTAAACATCTGGAGAGCAAAACATTATCCATCACTTCCGTGTCAGAAACAGCAGGGAAGAAGTAACAGCTATTTTACAAATATTTATTATGTAGTCTTGTCTTCAAGCATAACACCTTTCTTTTGTCACAGCACATATACAAGAATACATATTCATGTATGGCAGGAGTGGGAATGGATGGCCAGCCAAAACTTGGTGCATTTCAGCTACCACACTGGGAGGCTGTGACTGTTTACTGCAGAATTTTGCAGTCATTCCTTTTTGTTCTTGTTTTAAGGTCATGTCTGGATTTTCTTGCTTCACACTTATTTTTCACAGGCAAGCAAGGAACCAGAAATTAATTAGAACAGCCAGGTTTTCTTTGACCCTGTGATAAAGAACCTACTTTATCCAGCCCTCATTTTTAACTGAGCTGCAATTTCTACTTAAAGCAGTCCACAATTTGGTACTGTGAATGTGGGCAAGAGTCTCTTTTCAAGATCACTGGAGGACACTTCTCAAAGTTAGCAGAAAACTGATTCCCCTTCCATGCCAACACTCAACATTGATTTGTGCCACAATTGCTACATACATTTGGGAAGTCCAAGCTCAGTTTCTCCTTCACACTAGTCCACTGACTAGTGTCAAAATCAGGAGCTGTAAATAGAGACACAAATAGTAAATACCAAATCATTGTCTGTACTTTTCCAGAGTTATTATCTCCATTGTATCTTTAGCATGCAAGTCCAGCAATGACTGAGGTTTTGCTAAGCAATACAGGTACAAACTACATTTCTTGGGATAACAGAGGCCATTACTTTTTATTGCTTATGGCAGTAGCAATATAAATATGTCAATAAATAAATACATAAAGAGAATTTAGTTTCCACCAAGTAGTCCCTCATGCTGAAGACCTACTTGGCAACTAGCTCTGTTGAACTTTGTGGGACTTACTTCCAATAAATATAAATAATATACTTTATTTATATTCTGCTCTATCTCCCCGAGGAGACTCAAAGTGGATTACAGGGACATATATATGGCAAACATTCATTGCCATTGTACAATTGACAGAGACAGACAATTCATAAACAGAGGCAGATTTCCCTCTTTCATTTCCGGCATCTGGAGGCTGTGCTCGACTCTGCCATGGGGAGGTGCTGTAGTTCCATTCTTCCATGCCAAGGAGCTTGTTGATCGAACCGCCAGCATGTTTTTCAGGGTTGCCTTTTACTTCCCTGCTAAAGCAGTACCCATTTATATACTCACAGCTAGGTAGGCAGAAGCTAGGCTGATGAGGGAGCTCACCCCACCCACTGCTTGAACTGTCAAGCTTCCAGTCAGCAAGATCTTTGTAGCTGGAGGTTTAACCCGCTGTACTATAGCCCTGTCTATATTTCAGTTTTCATCTGAAATGTTGGCATGTATTGCATAATAGTAACTATTGCATAAATAATAATATGCAATACACATCAACATTTCAGATGAAAACTGAAACAACATACAATTCCTATCTGCCACCATAATACCTAAATATTTCACCTTGTTGTCATTTTTAAACCAGATTTATCCATCAACTGTATATGTTCATCTTTTTGTCAACGCCATCATCTTTTGCTACTTAATCTTAAACTTGCCAACTCTCCAAATCTTTCCAGTTTCTCCAATAATGGATCTATGCTTTCTGTTTAAAACTTCAAGAGTCAAAATAAACAAGAATGGAAACAACCAGCAACCTTATCTTGTTTTTTTCTGTATTTCACATGGTTTTGTTAGTTTATCATTAACCAAGGTTTGTGTATTTTGTGAATTATAAATCGCTTTAATCTATTTAGTAAAATTATTACCAAAGTTCATATCTTCAAAAAAAGGTTCAAAGGGCAGAGAATGTGGCAGTACTTGCTTTCCATGTCCCTCCAAGTCTTGCCTCTTGGAAGAAAGTAGACACAAGAAGAAATCGTTCCCTGACATATAACTATGTGAATGTAGAGTCTCTTTTAGAGAACACAGCATATAAAACAGAGGTGGTCTATTTTGTTGGTGCATGGAAGCAAAAAACTTGAGTACATAGAGGAAATAAAGATACTAAGGCATGAATAAATGACTTGTATTATATACACTTCCCTCTCTAACCCATTACTCTATATGAGCATCAATGCCTCTTTGCTGCCCATATTCTAATTTTTTACCTTCTCCAAAATGATATTGTTTGTCTTCATATGGTGTTTCTGTGTATTCTAAAAGTAACCTGATTGCATAGGCAAGCTGCAAAAAACAAAGGGAAAGAATTAGTAGAAAGATGAGACTGTCAACAGCTACATGTTGCCTCTAGTAGGAGAGAAAGCATGCTTTTAAGAAGTTGCTCGGGAATACGAGTGAAAGTGCTGGGGTTGCTATTACATTTCTGCCTTCATTGTGGACTTCCCATCGGAACATTTATTTATTTATTTATTTATTTACTCTATTTGTATACCGCATATATCAGCCTGAGGCGGCGACTCAATGCGGTTTACAATAAAAAGCAACACTAAACAATGTATGAGACACACAATACAGACAAACACATAATCATCAACGCCACACTTAGAATCAGATTCCGATCTCAAGATCCTTTTTCCATTCCTTGTCCGATGCCGTCATTATTGAGTTAGTTGTTACTACATGGTTATCCGAAAGCCTGCTCGTAGAGCCACGTCTTCACCCTCCTCCAACATCTAGTTGGCCTTTGTGGGAACAGCATATGGGATTAGACAGGCCTTTGATCTAGGTGGAATGTTTTTATGTTCAAGAATATTTGCCCATAATCCTGTGCATATATGTACTTGCATCTTTCAATATAATTTGAGTGAATCTGTTTAGACATGTGCCAGCAGAACTGTATATGCTAGCTGAAATGAAACTTAGCATATTGAGCAAGAAAATATAAATCAGTTTCAAGGATGTATCCATGTTTGTCTGCTGCAGTAAAGCAATAATGATGTTGTGGCATCTTGAAAATCTAATGTACTGTATTATGGCACAAATACACATGTGGCAAGGTTTAAATCTGGCTCATGGTATCATTTTAAGTGGCTGTCCAGATGCTGGACTATAGTTCATATCCCTCATCATTAGATATCACTACTAGAGCTGAGGGAATCATGATACAGTAACACCTGGAAAGCTGCAATTTGTTCTGTTTAGTCAGGATAGTGGAGTTTGAATTTAGATACAAGGCTCGTGGATATAATGTCTGACTTGAAAATGTCCTTTAACCTCAGAGCCACAAGTGCTGTAGGGTTGCAATTCCCATTATCCCCAATGCACATGGCGGATAATAAAAAAAATGAAGGAAGTTGTCATTTAATAACATCTGGGGACCCAAACTGGGTAAAAACTAAAGAGTACTGACCAGTATGTAAAAAATATATATAGTTGTTTCTCTGTATCCACAGATTCTCCATCTATGGATTCATAGCCCTTTCAAGGCAAGTGTAAGGCTGAGGTGGCCCTCGATGAAAATGAGTTGGACCCTCCTGTTTGAGTGCATGAAAATCAATCCCACAATAACATCCATCCCAAGATTATTTTTTCCATATTGAAGGTGGGCAACCTTTCAGGTATCAGTCCCCAGATCAGTCATCTTCCTCTAGGATCCAGCAGGATCAAAACTGTCACCAGATTTCCCTTGACTTCTTACTAAATTTCATAGGCACTGCATGGTTTGCCACTGCCATTCAAGTGGACACTGATATTCACTAGCTATTATGGCAGTTGTTTGTGCACTTCTGTGGCAGCCGAGTGTGGTTCAGCATACTCTCACAAAACTTTTTTTCCCATTTGGATTGAACAAGTAGAGCACAACATAACCACATTTCCTCATGAGGAAGTTTAGAAAATAATATAGGTGATGTATACAATGTGTATGTGTGTGTGTGTGTGTGTGTACACACACACACACACACACACACACACACAATTTAAGACAGAAGAGAGGGGGGGAAAAGTCATAGGTAATTGCCCACACCCCCTCCTTGTAGCCATCCCTTTTCCATTGTGTTCCCTCAAAACTTTACTGGACAAGGTGGAGCACCTACTTCAGGCATGGGCTGCTTTCGGCCCTCCAGGTGTTCTGGACGTCAACTCCCAAAAATCCCAGCCAGTTTACCGGCTGTTAGGAACTGTGGTAGTTGAAGTTCAAAACACACAGAGGGCCGACGTTTGCCTATGCCTGACCTACCTCTTGAGGAATAAGATGAGAGGAAAAGAAAGAGTGAACTACTGATACTTCAATGCTATGGGTGGCAATGGTGTCCACCAGCCAATGCTAGAGCATCGGTGCTGTGACAAACAGGAGCAAATGGTCTATGTGTTGTTGTGTGCCTTTCAATTGACTTGGACTTGCAAAAGCTCAATTGTAGGGTTTTTGTAATAAGATTCATTTAGAAGGGCTACTCTGAAGTCTGAAAATGTCATTTATCTACATTTCCATGGCTGAGAAGGGATTTGGACTCCAGTCTCTTCACCTGTGAAGGATCTCCTTCTCGTGCTGGCACCCTCTTTGGGGTGCATCTACACCAGGCATGGGCAAACTTGGATCCTCCAGGTGTTTTGGACTTCTACAGTTCCTAACAACCTGGGGCCCCTTCCTTTCTTTGCTTGCCTTTCCGCTTAAGCAGCTGGGGGGGGGGGGGGGGAGGAAAGAGCCTGAAGCTGTTAGGAATTGTGGGAGTTGAAGTCCAAAACACCTGGAGGGCTGAAGTTTGCCTGGCCTTGATGTACTCCCCCACGCCTCCCACTGTCTGCCTCTCAAGAGAAGATCAGCAGGCGATGGACTTTGTTCCTTTCCATTTCATGGGCTCCAAATGCCACCGCTGTTTAAGAAACCAATCTCCAACACATTGGAACCCGAAGAAATGCAGAAGCTTGCAGAGGATCTCTGCTCCTCCTTTTACGGGATACTGACTCACCCCACGGATGTCCCAGTAGCCCAGCGTGAGGCTCATCTTCCCCGCGTGGCGCTCCTCGGCTGCTGGTGGTCCCGGGCCCCGGGGCAGAAAGTGAAAGTGACGCGCGGGGAACAAGGCTAGCCTGGAGCTGGGTCTTCGGCCTCGGGACGTTTTGCCTCCGCCTCTGAGGCCCCTCCCCGCCCTGGGGAGGCTGGGCAGCCGCTCTCCCGAGTGGAGATTAGAGAAATGATTGGCCAAAACTAACAACATGAAGTTCAGCGGGGACAAATGCAAGATACTCCACTTAGGCAGGAAAAAAATGAAATGCAGAGATACAGAATGGGGGACAATGCCTGGCTCGAGAGCAGTACCTATGAAAAAGATCTTGGAGTCCTCCTGGACAACAATTTGAACATGAGCCAACAATGTCATGCAGCGGCAAAAAAAAAAAAAAAAAAACCAATGGGATTTTGGCCTGCATCAAGAGGAGTATAGTGTCTAGATCAGGGGTCCTCAAACTAAGGCCCGGGGGCCGGATACGGCCCTCCAAGCTCATTTACCAGGCCCTCGCTCAGGATCAACCTAAGTCTGAAATGACTTGAAAGCACATAACAACAACAATCCTATCTCATCAGCCAAAAGCAGGCCCACACTTCCTACTGAAATACTAATAAGTTTATTTTTGTTAAAATTGTTCTTCATTTTAATTATTGTATAGTTTTAAAGTGTTTTATTTGCACTACAAATAAGATATGTGCAGTGTACATAGGAATTCATATTTTTTTCAAATTATAATCCGGCCCTCCAACAGTTTGAGGGGCTGTTACCTGGCCCTCTGTTTAAAAAGTTTGAGGACCCCTGTTCTAGATCCAGGGAAGTCATGTTACCCCTTTATTCTGCCTTGGTCAAACCACACCTGGAATCACACTGTGTCCAATTCTGGGTACCACAATTGAAGGGAGATGTTGGCAAGCTGAAATGTGTCCAGAGGAGGACGAATAAAATAATCAAGGGTCAGAAGAACAAGCCCCGTGAGGAGTGGCTTAAAGAGCTGGGCATGTTTAGCCTTCAGAAGAGAAGGCTGAGAGGAGACGTGATGGCCATGTATAAATATGTGAGGGGAAGTCATAGGGAGGAGGGAGCAACCTTGTTTTCTGCTGCCCTGGAGACTAGGACGTGAAACAATGGTTTCAAACCACAGGAAATGAGATTCCACCCTGAACATGAGGAAGAACTTCCTGACTGTGAGTGCTGTTTAGCAATGGAACTCTCTGCCCTGGAGTGTGGTGGAGGCTCCTTCTTTGGAAGCCTTTAAGCAGAGACTGGATTGCCATCTGTCAGGGGTGATTTGAATGCGGTTTTCCTGTTTCTTGGCAGGAGGTTGGACTGGATGGCCCACGAGTTCTCTTCCAGCTGATTCTATGTTGTGCCTTCTGATCACCTCAAAACTTTTCCATTCTTCCTTTTTTGAACCCTTCTTTACGTGCAACTCCTAGTGCTGTGAATACTATACAGGCAGTCTCTGGGTTGCAAATATCTGATTTACAAACAACTCATAGTTAAGAACGGGATTGAGACAACAGGAAGCAAGAGAAATCTACTCCTCCGAAGGGAAATACACTCCTGGAAAAGTTATAATCATGAGGAAAAGGTGTCTCCATTGAAGCAAAACAAACACTACAAGGGTGTTTATTATTTATTTATTTGTGTTATTTGTATACCCCCCTTCTCAACCCCAAAGGGGACCCAGACCAGTTCACAGTGTTGGCAACAATTCAATGCCATCGATAGAAAACAGAATTAAACATCATAATTGACCCTTCCCTGATAAAACATTATTAAACACAGCACATAAAATCACATATCACACAAAGACATAGCCATTGTCCATAAACAGTCCTGGGTCAGTGTTCACCCTTCCCTATGCAATCCAAAGCTAATATAAATATATATTTGGCTGGAATTACACTTTAAAATGTACCTGTTCCAACTTGCATACAATTTCAACTTGAGAACAAATCTACAGAAATCTTCTTGCTCGTAACTTGGCTGTTGGCAGATAGTCCATCAGAATGTGGTGGTCACATTATGCCTCACCTTTATATTACCAAGTAACAGCTAGCTTAGCTTTGCAAGAAGCAGTTGATCCCTACTTTAAAGTGGGGGAAATAATGAAAATTATGCAATAAGACTGATCAGTTGTCAGCCAGAGAACAAAGAAGCTAAGTTTTCAGCTTTTATTATCTACTAGCTTGGGGGCCCGTGATGCCCAGGTTATTTGAAAAAGGCATTGTTTGTTTTGGGATGTTAGGTAATATCACTGGTTTGATCCAGATTTGTCATTGGCTGGGTTCAGTGTTCTCTGGATAAGGGTGAACAATTATTCTCAGATTTCCAGGGCAATCACCCCAAACCCTGACAGTATGGGGGTGACCCAACATGGCAGTTGGCCACGTTGGATCTGTGAGCCAAGTTTGGTCCAGATCTGTTGTTGGTTGGATTCAGGGCTTTCTGTATAAGCATGAACTACAATTCCCAGATCAGAGGTCAATCACTCCCAAACCAGGCTTATATGCACAGTTGGCCATGATGGATATTTGTGCAAAGTTTGGTCCAGATCTCATGTTGGCTGGGTTCAGTGCTTTCTGGATGGAGGTGAACTACAACTCCCAAAATCAACGTCCATTCCTTCAACCCACTGCAGTATGTTCAGTTGGTCATGGGGCTGCTCTGTGCCAAGCTTGGTCCCAGTCCATGGTCGGTGAGGGTCACAGTTTCTCTGGATGTAGGTGAACTACAACTCCCAAAATCAAGGTCCACTCCCACTAACCCCTGTAGTATGTTCAGTTGGTTATGGGGCTTCTCTGTACCAAGCTTGGTCCCGGTCCATTGTTGGTGGGGGGGTCACAGTTTCTCTGGATGTAGGTGAACTATAACTCCCAATATCAAGGTCCTCTCCCACTAACCCCTGTAGTATGTTCAGTTGGTCATGGGACTTCTCTGTGCCAAGTTTGGTCCCAGTCCATTGTTGGCAGGGTTCACAATATCAGTGAGGGTACTGCAAGTCCCATCATCCATGGCAAGTTTGGTCCAGATTCATCATTGGTTGGGTTAACAGTGCTCTCTGGATGCAGGTAAAGTACAACTCCTGTAAATCATGGTGAATTCTCCCCAAATCTCTTGCTAAGTTGCTGATCAATTCCTCTGTTTGTTGTGAGCCATAGGAAGGGGTAGGAAAGGGTTAAAAGAGAGCCAGTGGGCAGGGTCATACAAATTCCACAGAAATGGAGAGAGAGAGGAATCCTGGGATGTGGAGGAAAAACAGAACATCTAGGACAGTGGTTCTCAACCTGTGGGTCCCCAGTTGTTTTGGCCTACAATTCCCAGAAACCCCAGCCAGTTTACCAGCTGTTAGGATTTCTGGGAGTTGAAGGCCAAAACATCTGGGAACCCACAGGTTGAGAACCCGTGATCTAGGATGAAATAGTCCCTGCATGAAAGCCCTCAGCCGCTTAAGTGGCTGAGGGGGGAAAGGAAAGGGCTCTAGGCTGTTAGGAATTGTGGGAGTTGAAATCCAAAACACCTGGAGGGCCCAAGTTTGCCCATACCTGGTACATATGGTAGCCTCTCACTCTTGTATTAGCAATTAACCACTAGTTTAACTTTGCTAGAGCATCCCAACTTTATAGTGGCGGGAGCAGAAAAACAATTCCTAAGGGAATTATGTGATTACAGGGAAAAAAACTAAGAAACCAAACAATCTTTAACCACCAAACAGATTTTATTATCACATTCCTCAGAATGTATTTTGGATATTGCAGCTACTGTGCAACAATGTTCTGAAGCATGAAGGGAGGTTGTGGGATTCAAGGCTCCTTGCTGGTTCAACATTTGCAAGTGTCAGGACACCAAGATCCCCGTTTCTTTCTATTCTTTCTTGTTGCCCCACGTGGCATTTCTCAAAAAGAGGGGAGTTCTCAGGAAGCGGTCAGATTTCATGTAGGCAGAAATCTTATCCAAGGCCTGCAAAGAAAACCAACAGAAAGAGCCTTATTAGTGTCAACTAGTAAGGGTCTTCCTGAACATTAAGAAAAACTCTTTTTTGATTGATCTAGGTAACACATGGGGTGTGTGCGTGTGTTGTCACTCCATCTTTCATGCCGAGGAGATTTATCATCCGTTGATGGCCTCCCGATCGAATTGACAGCATATCCTTATGGGTGCCTTTTATCACCTCTCCACTTAAAGTGGTACCTATATATCTACTCACATTTCTGTTTTCGATCTGCTAGATGGACAGAAGCTGGGGCTGATGGCTGGTGCTCACCCCAACCCAGGCTTGAATTACCAACCTTTTGATTGGCAGGATTTTCTACAGCTTAGTGGTTTAACCTGCTATGCAAAGGCCGGCCCCTATTACTGTTTAGTTACAAATGCATAATTCAGGAACTTACAAGTCGACCTTATTGACTTCCAGCAACTTTTGAGTGAAGGAGTTCTGTTCCGTTTCCAGTCCACCAAGAGGGGAATCTTTCTATCTTCCCATCAGTTAGTAAGGTTGGGACAAGTAACGGTAACAGAGATCCTGCTTTGGATTTTTTCAGTCTCGCTCACTAGCAGGAGGGGACTGGATATCTTTATCTGCCTTGTATCCCAATCACCAGCTGAACAGGCCTCCTTCACCCTTTGTAGCTGCTGGTTGTTAAAATGGGATTTAGTACACAATGACCTCATAACATTACATAGCTTACAACTGTTGACAACAGTGGCAGCGTGGGTTATCATTCCACTATCAACAACAGCAATATATTCTCTTGCTGAGATCTTCAAAACTAGGTGAGTATAGATAGGCTCTAGCATCTTAATGGTAGGAAGGCAGAAGACTAGGGGTCCTTCCACACAGGCCTATATCCCAGAATATCAAGGCAGAAAATCCCACAATATCTGCTTTGAACTGGGTTATCTGAGTCCACACTCAGAAAATGTGGGATTTTCTGCCTTGATATTCTGGGATATAGGGCTGTGTGGAAGGGCCCTAGATAGTACACAAAAGAAGATCTTAGTAATGTATTCCCTTGCTGAGATCTTCTTTTGTGTGATATCTAGTGAAAGCCTATCTATACTCACCCAGAGGTTAAAATTACATTGATAGAAGTCTCTCGAAGTAACTGAAAATTAACCACTTCTTACTGTAGCAGTATTGACACTAAGGAAAAGGAATTATGCCATGTAAGAGGAGGGTTTCAATGTCAACACCCTTAGTGTTGACTGAAACACTGGTCCTAAAACACTCATATCCCTTGAGAGTATAAAAACAATGATGAAAGAAAAAGAAAAAGGCAAGGCAGGCAGGATGATCGAAGCCATGAATCTAGCATATCTGAAGTATTTTCTGAAACAGGAAGCAACATCTGAGCCTTAAAAATTATAATATTTATCTGCCCGGCCTTTAAAGAGATGGAGCAGGGACACAACTGCACCAAGCAGTTTTTATCCTAGATTGAAAGCATTCTACCGCATCTTCAATATTGGAGGATTTGAAACTTACTATTGAGGCAGTTCACAACACAAACCTAGAATTTTATCCAAAATAATTTTTTTCGCACAACACAAAACAACTTCTGACATACCACTCTAAGAAGCAGGACTAATTAGTAAAACCTGGTTTGCCAACATTGTAACATCAAGAGATGTAGTAGACAGTTGGAAAATGGGAAAGTTAATTTGGAATGAGTATCCATTGCCACTAATTTCATGAAACTCCCTTTGACACTAAAATCCAAATAACCATTCAATTTGTAATTTCAAACATATTTGCAGTACATTCACCTCAAAGCGATCCAGGAAGTCCTTTAGATTTTTGAACTGATCCAAGCAGTTGGGCTGAAATATCCGGTGCACATCCAAAATGTCATATGCGAGGAAATCTATATAGGTGATCTAAGGAAAAAAATTGAAAAAGGAAGACATTATAAACTGAACCACAGACTTGACAAAAATCTTGGTCTTTGTATGACGCACCATTAAGTTGAAAAAGCCCCCTTCGACTCATACTCGAGTCAAAGTTATGTATTATTTTACTCTGTAGTAGTAGTAGTAGTAGTTGTTGTTATTATTATTATTATTATTATTATTATTATTATTACATTTATGGTTTTACTCTATTATTATTTTTATTACATTTATTATTTTTCTCTATTATTATTATATTTATTATTTTACTCTTATTTTGTTACATTTATTATTCTATTCTATTTATTCTTGTTATTATCACATTTATTATTTTACTCTATTATTATTGGAAGGATACGTAAGCACATTTACAGAAGAAGGTTAGAATCGGAATAGGACAGTCTTACAGTTTTATGCAAATATTCAAAAACATTCTTACAGTTTTATGTGAATATTCAAAAACATTTAACCTACTGATGCCTCAATTAATGCAATTTTATTGCTATCTATTTTTATTTTGAAACTTACCAGTAGCTACTGCATTTCCCACCCTGGGCTTATACTCAAGCTAATACATTTTCCCAGTTTTTTGTACCTCGGCTTATATTTGGGTCATCTTATACTCAAGTATATACAGTATATACAGCACATGTACCTTATTTTCTGCAAACCAATTTCTTTCCCCCAGAAATTGGGAAAACAGCTTCAGCTTCCAAGGTAGCTGCTCAATAAACTCAGGCTTCAATTTTTCCTGCACAAAGAGAATGCTAAATATCACAACACAAGCTTAATTTCAACTTCCCTCTTATAAAATCTCAAAATACCTCCCATCCCAAGGTCTCTTTTTTCATCTTATACTCAATCTCTAGCATTTTTGCTTCTCCCAATCCCAGGAATGAAGAAAGAAAAAATGGGTAAGCCTTATATGACTGGTGTCCTCCAACACACAAACTGAATACCTATCCTCCCATTTACTGTCAAATCATCTTCTGAATTCCCAGCCTTATCCAATTAGGAAGCAGAACACAAGACACAGAACTCACAAAATCTGGGTTGTAGGATATTCTTCCCAAGGATACTCGGAAATCCCAAATCTGGTTCTCAAGTATATCCATCCGGACTATTTCTTCTTCAGTCTCTCCACCTATAGCACAAGACACACACAGAGTCAAAACGCTTCCAGCTCCCATCACAGATTTGGTCTTACATTACTTTAGGAGTTTTAAACCAGCATCCAAGCAAATACTGGCTTCATAAACACTCACACATCTTGTGCTTGCGTGCAAGGTATCGCAAGATGGCATTGCTCTGTGTAAGCTTTCTCTCACCATCAATCAAATATGGAAGCTGTGGGAAAACAAAATTAACAATACTGATGAGATTCTTCAGTGATTTTAACATTTGGTCATCTTCAAAAAATAATGTACAATTTTAGGCTAATCAGCACAGAAAGAAAATCTGGAGATTTGGGGGACATAAACAGCCTGAAGAAAGAGTGCTGGTAGGTGATTGCCTACGACCTTTAGAAAAGAAATCAGAAATTATCAAGAAACACCTGATTGTCTTGGACACTCTGATTGTTACTTTGGCCATACTCAGCCCTAATTTTCATCTGCCATTTAACACTGTGAGTTTTGGCGAGAGTCTCTTTGCAAGATCATCACAGGACACGTCTCAAAGTTAGCAGCAGCCAATCATTCCACTTCCACGCCAACACTCAACATTGGTTTGCAATGCCACAGTTGCTACATACGTTTGGGAAGTCCAAGCCCAGTTTCTCCTTCACACTAGTCCACTGACTTGTGTCAAAATCAGGAGCTGTAAATAAGGAAGCAAATCATAAATGCCAAATCCTTGTTTGTACTAGCCCATAGTTTTTCCCCCATTGTATCTATAGCTTGCAGATTCAGAAGTGACTAAGATTCCAATAAAAAATAACGACAAACATTTGCTAACTGAAGCATTGGCGATTCGAATCTGGGGAGCGGGGTGAGCTCCCGCTGTTAGCCCTAGCTTCTGCCAACCTAGCAGTTTGAAAACATGCAAATGTGAGTAGATCAATAGAGACCACTTCTGCAGGAAGATAACAGCGCCCCATGCAGTCATGCTGGCCACATGACCTTGGAGGTGTCTACGGACAATGCCGAGTCTTCAGTATAGAAATGGAGACGAGCACCACCCCCCAGAGTTGGACACAACTAGACTTAATGTCTACCCTTACCCTTACTTTACTATAGAAAAGAGACCACAACTTATTATTAGTTACAGCTGTACAATACAGTTTCCAACAAGCAGTCCCTTATGCTGCAAGCCCAACTTGGGCTGGATCTACGCTGCCATAAAATCCAGATTCAGAATGCAGATTAACTGCTTTGAACTGAATTGTATGAGTCTGCACTGCCAAGTAATCCACTTCAATGCAGTTAATCTGCATTCAGAAACTGGATTATATGGCAGTGTAGATAGGACCTTGGAAGCAAATCCTGCCAAACATCATGGGAATTGCTTCCAATAAATATGAATATTATGCCACACCCTCCCAACATTTCACAGATAGAAACTGAAACAACATACATTTTATATTTGTCATGGTAATACCTAAACATTTCACCTTTTAAAATCCAACTGCAATTTATCATCTTTTTTCATTATTTTTTTTGACAACACCATCATTGGGTTGTTGTAAGTTTTCCGGGCTGTATGGCCATGTTCCAGAAGCATTCCTTCCTGACGTTTTGCTCACATCTATGACAGGCATCCTCAGAGGTTGTAACAACCTCTGAGGATGCCTACCATAGATGTGGGCAAAACATCAGGAGAGAATAATTCTAGAACATCGCCATACAGCCCGGAAAACTCACATCAACCCAGTGATTCTGGCCATGAAAGTCTTTGATAACACATTGAACAAAGTTATCTTTTGCTAATTATTCTTAAATCCTGCCAGTTCTTCAAATCCTTTCATTTTCTCCAGTAACGGATGTATGCTTTCTATTCAAAACCTCAAGAGCTAAAATAAACAAGAATGGAGATAATGGGAGACTTTGTCTTGTTCAGTTCTGTATTTCAATGGTTTTTGATAGTTTATCATTAACCAAGATTTGTGCCTTCTGTTAATTATACATTAATTCATTTTGTAAAAGTTCATCTATTCCAAAATAAATAAATAAATAAATAAAAAGATCCAGGGGATCGGGAATGGGGCAGCACTTGGCACAATAAAGAATGGTTCCCTTAATTATGACCATATAAATGTAGAATTTCTTTTAGGAAACACAGACTCTAAACTAGGGATGGTCTGGGTTGTTGTAGGTTTTTTCGGGCTATATGGCCATGGTCTAGAGGCATTCTCTCCTGACATTTCGCCTGCATCTATGGCAAGCATCCTCACTACCTCTGAGGATGCTTGCCATAGATGCAGGCGAAATGTCAGGAGAGAATGCCTCTAGACCATGGCCATATAGCCCGAAAAAACCTACAACAACCCAGTGATTCCAGCCATGAAAGCTTTCGACAATACATTGAACATCTTGACGGGGAGAAACTGTTCCAAGACAGGGGTGGTCTATTTCTTGTTGTTGAACTACAGCTCCCATTAGCCCCAAAAAGCAGAATCAGGGGGCATGGGAGAAAAAAGCTTGAGTTCATAGATGATAAAAGAAACAGAGGTGAGAATAAAGGAGTTGAATTATGTAAACTCCCCTCTCTAACCATATGAACACATGTGGTCGGTGTTGAACTCCAGCTCCCATCAACCCCAGCAAACACAGTCAGTGGTCAGGGATGTTGGGAGTTGCATCACTTACAATGGGAGGGAGGGCGTGTAAATTGACTACATGTTATCTAAATAAACTGATTTAGGAAGATATGAGATTACCAATTTCAAAATATGTCCGATTTATATTATTGGCATTCTTTCCATCTCATCTTACTTGCAGATCTTGTTGTTGTTCATTCGTTCAGTCGTCTCCGACTCTTCGTGACCTCATGGACCAGCCCACGCCAGAGCTCCCTGTCGGCCGTTACCACCCCCAGCTCCCTCAAGGTCAGTCCAGTCACTTCAAGGATGCCATCCATCCATCTTGCCCTTGGTCGGCCCCTCTTCCTTTTGCCTTCCACTTTCCCCAGCATAATTGTCTTCTCTAGGCTTTCCTGTCTCCTCATGATGTGGCCAAGTACTTCAACTTTGTCTCTAGTATCTTTCCCTCCAATGAGCAGTCGGGCTTTATTTCCTGGAGGATGGACTGGTTGGATCTTCTCGCAGTCCAAGGCACTCTCAGCACTTTCCTCCAACACCACAGTTCAAAAGCATCGATCTTCCTTCGCTCAGCCTTCCCTAAGGTCCAGCTCTCACATCCGTAGGTGACTACAGGGAATACCATGGCTTTGACTAGGCGGATCTTTGTTGTCAGTCTGATGTCTCTACTCTTCACTATTTTATCGAGACTGGACATTGCTCTCCTCCCAAGAAGTAAGCGTCTTCTGATTTCCTGGCTACAGTCTGCATCTGCAGTAATCTTTGCACCTAGAAATACAAAGTCTGTCACTGGCCTCCACATTTTCTCCCTCTATTTTCCAGTTGTCAATCATTCTTGTTGCCATAATCTTGGTTTTTTTGACGTTTAGCTGCAACCCGGCTTTTGCGCTTTCTTCTTTCACCTTGATTAGAAGGCTCCTCAGCTCCTCCTCGCTTTCGGCCATCAGGGTGGTGTCATCTGCATATTTGAGGTTGTTAATGTTTCTTCCAGCAATTTTCACCCCAGCCTTGCATTCATCAAGCCCCGCACATCGCATGATGTGTTCTGCATACAAGTTAAAAAGGTTGGGTGAGAGGATGCAGCCTTGCCGTACGCCTTTCCCAATCTTGAACCAGTCTGTTGTTCCGTGGTCAGTTCTGACTGTTGCTACTTGGTCCTTGTACAGATTCCTCAGGAGCGAGACAAGGTGGCTTGGGATGCCCATCCCACTAAGAACTTGCCACAATTTATTATGATCCACACAGTCAAAGGCTTTAGAATAGTCAATGAAGCAGAAGTAGATGTTTTTCTGAAACTCCCTGCCTTTCTCCATTATCCAGCGGATATTGGCAATTTGGTCTCTTGTTCCTCCGCCTTTTCTAAACCCAGCTTGAACATCTGGCAACTCTCGCTCCATGTATTGCTGGAGTCTTCCTTGCAGGATCTTGAGCATTACCTTACTGGCATGAGAAATAAGGGCCACTGTACGGAAGTTTGAGCAGTCTTTCGCATTTCCCTTTTTTGGTATGGGGATATAAGTTGATTTTTTCCAGTCTGATGGCCATTCTTGTGTTTTCCATATTTGCTGGCAAATGGCCTGCATCACCTTGACAGCATCATCTTTTAAGATTTTAAACAGTTCAGCTGGGATCCCGTCGTCTCCTGCTGCCTTGTTGTTAGCAATGCTTCTTAAGGCCCATTCAACCTCACTCCTCAGGATGTCTGGTTCTAATTCATTCACCACACCGTCAAAACTATCCTCAATATTATTATCCTCCCTATACAGATCTTTTGTATAGTCTCGCCACCTTCTCTTGATCTCTTCAGCTTCTGTTAGGTCCCTGCCATCTTTGTTTCTTATCATACCAATTTTTGCCTGAAATTTACCTCCAATGTTTCTAATTTTCTGGAAGAGGTCTCTTGTCCTTCCTATTCTGTTGTCTTCTTCCACTTCCATGCCATTGCTTATTTAAAAATAGTTCCTTATCTCTTCTGGCTAACCTCTGGAATTGCGCATTTAACTGGGCATATCTCCCCTTATCCCTGTTTCCTTTTGCTTTCCTCCTTTCTTGGGCTACTTCCAGTGTCTCAGCAGACAACCATTTTGCTTCTTGGTTTTCTTTTTCTTTGGGACGTACTTTGTTGCCGCCTCCTGAACAATGTCTCGGACTTCTGTCCATAGTTCTTCTGGGACTCTGTTTACTAAAATCTAGTCCTTCAAATCTGTTCTTCACTTCCACTGTATATTCGCTAGGAATGTTAGTGAGATCATATCTAACTGGTCTGTGTATTTTCCCTGATCTCTTTAGTTTTATTCTAAATTGGCAATAAGAAGTTCGTGATCTGAGCTACAGTCAGCCCCAGGTCTTGTTTTCACCGACTGGATGGATGTCCGCCACCTTTGGCTGCAAAGGATGTAGTCAATCTGATTTCGGTGTTGACCATCTGGTGAGGTCCATGTATAAAGCCGTCTTTTAGGTTGTTGGAAGAGAGTATTCGTTATACACAGCGAGTTTTCCTGGCAAAATTCTATCAGCCTGCGTCCCGCTTCATTTTGTTCTCCCAGACCATGCTTGCTTGTGATCCCTGTTGTCATTTGACTTCCCACCTTGGCATTCCAGTCTCCTGTAATGAAAATAATGTCTCTTTTTGGTGTATTATCCAGTAGGTCCTGCAGATCCTCATAGAACTGATCTACTTCTGCTTCTTCGGCAGCTGTGGTTGGGGCATATATTTGGATCACTGTAATGTTGAAAGGCTTTCCTTGCACTCGAATTGAGATCATTCTGTCATTTTTTGGGTTGTATCCAAGCACCGCTTTAGCGAATTTCTTATTAATTATGAAGGCTACTCCATTTCTTCGATGTTCCTCTTGTCCGCAGCAGTAGATCTGGTGGTCATCTGATGTGAAGTGGCCCATTCCAGTCCATTTCAGTTCGCTGACCCCCAGAATGTCTATCTTTAGTCTTGACATCTCATCAATAACCACATCCAATTTGCCCTGGCTCATAGATCTTACATTCCAGGTTCCTATGGTGTGTTGATCTTTAGAGCATCGGATTCGTCGTTCACCTCCAGTACCGTCGGCCGCTAGCCTTCCTTTCGGCTTTGAGCTAGCTGCGTCATCACATCTGGGACTAGTTGAACTTATCCTCTGCTCCTCCCCAGTAGCATTTTGACCATCTTCTGACTCTTCCGACAGCATACCGACATATCTCTGGTTGTACTGGTCCATTTAGTTTTCTTGGCAAGGATACTGGAGTGGTTTGCCATTGCCTTCCCCAGGGATCACGCTTGGTCTGACCTCTCTGCCACAACCGTCCCGTCTTGGGTGGCCCTTCACGGTTTGCGCTCATGACATCATTGAGGTGCTCAAGCTCCAGCGCCCCGACAAGGCGGTGATCCTTTGCTGGAGACTTGCAGATCTAGTTCCTAGTTTTTCCAAGTCTAAGCCAACTCCTCTAACCAGTAGACCACGTTCATATGGACTGTGATTCAGAGACATTTAGACATAGAAAAACCCTGTCTTTAGTCACCTTATACCAAAAAGGAAAAAATTACATTGGGTTGCTGTGAGTTTTCCGGGCTGTGTGGCTAGGATACAGAAGCATTCTTTCCTGACGTTTTGCCCACATCTATGGCAGGCATGTAATTGATTATGTTTTTGTTTATGTTCTGATTTTATTTTGTTGCTGTGTTGTTGGGCTTGGCCCCATGTAAGCCGCCCCAAGTCCCCGTTGGGGAGATGGTGGTGGGGTACAAATAAAGGTTGTTGTTGTTGTTGTTGTTGTGAGGTCTGAGGTTGTGAGGACCTCACAACCTCAGGGGATGTCTGCCATAGATGTGGGCAAAATGTCAAGAGAGAATGCTTCTGGAACATGGTCATCCAGCCCAAAAACCACACAGCAACCCAGTGATTCCGGCCATAAAAGCCTTCGACAACACAATATTGACATTGTTCTTCTACATGCCTAAATCATCTTCAAACAGGATATTAATCCTGCAAATGACCATCCCATTATGACATTGGTATTACAGTAAAAGTTAACTTTTGTTCATTGTTTCTTAGAGGTTCAGTCTCATAAAATCGTGAATTACGATATTTTCCTTTTGAAAAATAAAGAGTGCTAGCGAACCCACGGGACCATAAAAATCTAGTAGACCAGAAATATTTAATAAGTGGGATTTTAGAACTGCCAAAATGTTTAATGTAGTGTAACGCTCTGTTTCAGGCAAACACTGAGAGAAGCTAAGCATGAAGGCAGTGGCCTCCATCTCTTGTCCATTCCCAGTGTTTGGTAATTATACTATCTTTGCCCCGGGAGATCCTTCTGGAATATTAAGCTGAGTGCAGGAGGGCTAATGCAATATGAAATTGTGGCAGAAGCAGGAAAAATGAATCTGGATGCTCATGAAAGATTTTTGTACAAAAGACTTGCCTTATGTACATACATGTATAAGTCTAGAAATGTTAGTCAAAAACAAAACTCCAAAGACCTGGCTGATTTAACCATGTCAGTACTGTAGCTTAACTCTTGTCAAAAAAGGAACCTACAAATGCACTTTTATCTCTATCTCACCCAGGGTTTTAACATTTTTAACATTTTACCTCACACATTTGGCCCGCCCTCCGTGTCTGGTTTTAATATGCTGTTTTATATTGTTGATTTTGTTATTTTATATTTTGTTATGATGTATTTTGTTACTGTGTTTTTATTATGTTGTATTATTTTGGGCTTGGCCTCATGTTAGCCACACCGAGTCCCCTTTGGGGAGATGGTAGCGGGTTATAAATAAAGTGTATTATTATTATTATTATTATTATTATTATTATTATTATTATTATTATCCTCTTCTCACTCTCTGAGGCCCCTTCTACACTGCCATTATCTGTTTTGAACTGGAAGGTATGGCACTGTAGACTCAGGTGCCTTCTACACCATCATATCATGAAGATTATCAAAGCAGATAGGATCCGCTGGTGGCACAACGGGCTAAATCCTTGTGCCAGCAGGACTGCCGACCGAAAGATCAGCGGTTCAAATCCGTGGAGTGGGGTGAGCTCCCATCTGTCAGCTCTAGCTTCTCATGTGGGGACATGAGAGAAGCCTCCCACAGGATGATAAAACATCCAGGCAATGTCCCCTGGACAACGTCCTTGCATTTGGCTAATTCTCTCACACCAGAAGTGACTTGCAGTTTCTCATGTTGCTCCTGACATACACACAAAAAATCAAAGCTGATAATCCAGATTATCTACTTTGAACTGGATTATATGAGTCTACACTGCCATATAACCCAGTCAGAGGCAGCCCTAGGTAATTTTCAATGGTAAGCAAACAGTATTTTGGCATCTCCCCCCCCCCCCCCCCCCCCCCCCCCCCCCCCAACCAATCACTGATATATATTTTTTGTTCGTCATGGGAGTTCTTTGTGCCATATTTGGTTCAATTCCATCATTGGTGGAGTTCAGAATGCTCTTTGATTGTAGGTGAACTATACATCCCAGTAACTACAACTCGCATATGTCAAGGTCTATTTTCCCCCAAGAGTGCCTCAAGAGCACCCCTGGGCAAAATAAACTATACTGCAAATGCTAACTTTGTGTAATGGGTTGAGCCGCCCCTGAATCCAGTTCAAAGCAGATAATCTGGATTTCATATAGCAGTGTAGAAGGGGCCTCATATAATCCAGTTCAAATCTGGATTATCTGCTTTGATTATATGTCAGTGTAAATTGGATCGACACTTTTCTTTATCCTAGGATACGTTTCCAGATTATCTGCTTATCCCAGATTATCAGGCAGTGTACAGTCATATAATTCAGCTCAAAGCAAAAAAATCTGGGATCAGAACCTGGGATATAGGACAGTGTAGATTCAGCCTTAGGTGCTTTCTTCTTCCACAGAATGAGCCTCAACTTGACCGTTCTTCACATCGAAGTCTATAATTTTGGCTTCCAAATCTGCCTGTGATTTAAACATGAAATGGATTTACACATGAATGTCTTGAAAATTAGATATACAGAGAACCCTGGTTAGAAAAGCCCCTAAAACAGGTATGGGCAAACTTGGGCCCTCCAAGTGTTTTGGACTTCAATTCCCACCATTCCTAACAGCCTAGGGCTCCTTCCTTTTCCCCCTCAGCCGCTTAAGCGGCTGAGGGGAAAAAGGAAGGGGCCCGAGGCTGTTAGGAATGGTGGGAGTTGAAGTCTAAAACCCCTGGAGGGCCCAAGTTTGCTCATGCCTGCCCTAAAAGGCGTCTCTTAAGTGTAGGGTTAAGCTGTCCTCAAGGTTGGGGCTTCACAAATGATCTTTCCTTGATAGAAGTGACATCTACAAGTAAGAAAAAAGCAAAAAAAGCTTGATGCATCGAGCAAAGACACCTCCAAAAGTAAGAACACAGGGCTCGCCTTACGTAGACTCTCCTCTCCCGCTAATCAGTTAATTCAAGTATTGATGCCTCTTTGCTGCCAGGATTGTAACTCCTCCTCACCTTCACCAAAACGATACCGTATTTCCTCATAGGGTGTTTCTGTGTATTCTAGAAGTAGCCTGGTTGCATGGGCAAGCTGCAAAAAAGACAAAGGCAAAGAGGTATGTTGTCGAAGGCTTTCATGGCCAGAATCACAGGGTTGCTGTGAGTTTTCTGGGCTGTATGGCCATGTTCCAGGAGCATTCTCTCCTGACCTTTCATCTGCATCTATGGCAGGGCATCCTCAGCTATTGTGAGATTTATTCAAAACTAGGCAAGTGAGGTTTATATATCTGTGGAATAATGTCCAGGGTGGGAGAAAGAACTCTCGCCTGCTTGAGGCAGATGTGAATGTTGCAGCTGGCCACCTTGATTAGCATTGAATGACCTTGCAGCTTCAAAGCCTGGCTGGGTGCTTCCTAGGGAAATCCTTTGTTGGATTCACCCCAGGAGAAATAGTAAGAGCTGTCCAAGAGTGGAATAGGCTGCATTGGAGTGTGGTGTGTGGCGTAATGTAAAATGTGTAGCTCACATTTGATCAGCCCACACACTGTCTTGCCAGAGAAAGAAAATATGCCATGCAGATGAACAGTAAAGAATCCTTTGTAATACAAAATAACATATATACAATTATGTGATCAGTTGCATCGACTCATATAATGTCCTTTTTGAGAGATTTTAAATGATCTTTCTTTGCCCGTGTGGAGAATCTTCCTTCAGCAGCTCATAAAGCAAGAACACACTCCAAACTCTCTCTCTCTCTCTCCCTCTCTCTCTCCCCCTCCTTCTCTCTCTCTTTCTCTCTCTCTGCTTCTCTGCAAGCACCTGCACCGCCCAGGTCTAAAAATGTAACTGTATTCAAAAGTCTCAGGCTCAGCCAGCTCTCCAGGCATAGCCCAACCAATCAGCTTTGTGCATCTTATTTTACAGTTGACACACACACTAACTGATTTCTTACATGCTCCAACATGGAGACGTCTCCTTCTCTGGAGGTTTTAAAGCAGAGGCTGGATGGCCATCTGTCAGGAGGGCTTTGTGCATTCTTGCATTTCAAGAGCATCTAATTCTACCATTTTCTGATTTACCAGGTCTTCAGCCTTCTCTGTCCAAGAGTGCTTCACTCAACCACAACTCCCAGGATCCCATGTAGTGAAATTAATGTAGGTGTCAAACTACATTAGTTCTGAAGTGTAGATGCACCCTCAAAGGCAGAAATGAAAAGTTGAGCCGTCCTCCAAATGGAACAGCATAAACCCCTTCCAATGGATCCCTGCTCTGACTTACCCCACGGATGTCCCAGTAGCCCAGCGTGACGCTCATTTTCCCCGCGTGGGTTCGGGAGTTAGAAACACTCCAAAACTCACGCGAATCGTGGGGGGATCAGCCTGGTTGTGAGCCCAAAGTGAACTTGACGGACTCCGCCCCAATTCCTTGGCCTGCAATCTCTGCCCTTTCCACGGCTGCCTCTTACACGCCCCCCTCTCCCGTGGGCACACTCTCAGGCTCCTCATTCTTAGTGTCTTCTGCCTCCTACAGCACTCTGGGAAATGTAGTTTGGAAAGGTGAGGACCTCTCTAGCTGAGAATTCCAAAGGCCTCGCCCTAAACTACATTTCCCAGAATTCACCAAGAATGTTGACGTGCCTGCTTTAAGCTGCTAGTCTTTTATCAGGCTCCAGTTTCGGAAACTTCAACTGCTGGTATTAGAAAACATTATCAACTTCGTAAGGGATCTCATTGGAAACAAAATATGATCACAGTTCAGCAATTTCTAGGCTCCTTATGGACTTAGTAGTGTTAAGGAGCACCCTGCAAACGCAGAGCAGGAAGCTGCAAAGGTGGCATGTATCAGGCATGTGCCAACTTGAGCCCTCCAGGTGTTTTGGACTTCAACTCCCACCATTCCTAACAGCTTCGGGCCCCTTCCTTTTCCCCCTCAGCCGCTTAAGCGGGGAAAAGGAAAGGGCCTGAGGCTGTTAGAAATGATGGGAGTTGAAGTCCAAAACACCTGGAGGGCTCAAGTTTGCACATGCCTAATCTACACTGTCAAATGAATGCAATTTGACACCACTTCCTTGCCATGGCTCCATGCTATTGGTCCTGAGAGTTGTAATTTGGTGAGATACCACTATTGGCTAGAGAAGGCTAATGCTCTTGTAAAACGACAACTCTCATTATTCCAGAGCATTAAACTGAAGGAGTCATGGATATATAAGATTTTATATATGCTATATGTGACTGTACGTCCCATCCAAAAAGTATATACCAGTGGTTCTTAACCTGTGGGCTGTGGACCACCATTGGGCCGCGAGGACGAAAATCTGGTCCGTGAGCCTCCTTCCTCTTTATTTATTTTATTTATTTCCACTCCTGTCGTGACGTCTGTCACTCCTTCCCTATTGTTGACCATGGCATATGTTCTGTATCAGAAACTAGAGCTGATGTGGTCTATCAAAGGCAATTTTCTAAATCGGCACCTCAAACCAAATCGGAAGTTGACCAAAAACGGATTCATAACCCTTTTAGTACTGATGTTGGAGAGTGATCCCTGGTCAAAATGGTCCCTGGTCAAGTTTTCTTTTTCATGTCAGAAGCGACTTGAGAAACTGCAAGTTGCTTCTGGTGTGAGAGAATTGGCTGTCTGCAAGGACATTGCCCAGGGGATGCCCAAATGTTTTGTTGTTTTACCATCCTTGTGGGAGGCTTCTCTCATGTTCCTGTATGGGGAGCTGGAGCTGACAGAGGGAGCTCATTTGCGCTCTCCCTGGATTCGAACCTCTGGCCTGTCTGTCTACAATCCTGCTGGCACAAGGGTTTAACCCATTGCATCACCAGGGGCTCCATGGAGCCCTGGCCAAATGGTCTCTTTCATGAAGTGTTCTTGGCAGGGAGGATTTGTCATTCTTCAGAAAGGACTTGCCATTGCCTCCTGCTGAGGTTGAGAGAGAGTGACTTACCCATGCATTCATAGCCAAGTGGGGATTCAAACCCTGGTCTCCAGAGTGATAGACCATTGCTCAAACCCAGCTCATCCCATTTCCATTCTTCCTCTGTAATTCCTTTGATTCCTCACAATTCCTTTGAGGTCAATGAGTCTCTGAGGGATGGAAATGGTCTAGTACAGATTATCGAGTAAATCCATTAATAGTGCCTGATTTGTATCCGCTTATTCTCTGACTATCCGGGATGTAGCACAGCTGGTAAATTACTAGCAACAATAAATCACTGCCAACCAGAAGGTGGCAAGTTTGAAGCCCGAGTTGAGGTTGAGTTCCTGACTGTTAATAGACCAGCTTACTTTTTTTTTTTGTCATGTCAGGCGTGACTTGAGAAATTGCAAGTCACTTCTGATGTGAGAGAATTAGCCATCTGCAAGGACATTGCCCAGGGGACGCCCGGATGTTTTGATGTGTTTTCGTTCTTGTGGGAGGCTTCTCTCATGTCCCCGCATGAGGAGCTGGAGTTGAAAGAGGGAGCTCATCCGCCTCTCCCTGCGACCTGTCGGTCTTCAGTCCTGCTGGCACAGGGGTTTAACCCACTGCGCCACCGGGGGCTCCACCAGCTTACTGTTAACCTAAGCAGTTCGAAAACAGCTTCAATGTGAATAGAGAAATTAGGGGCTGCTTAAGGTGAGATTAATTTATGACACCATAAAAATGCCAGAGATCAAAGAGCAAGGAGAAAATATTACGATAAAAAAAACTCGCCATCATAGTGGATGAAGCGACAGCCCACACCCCACACCCCCTCCCACCCCCCGTGGCCACAATTGAGCAACCTCCAGGATACGAAGTTGGAAAAAACTGCTGAATGGCCTCTATCTGTCTGTGTGTCTAAAAATGGCATTGAATGTTTACCGTGGATGTGTACATTGTGATCCATCCTGAGTCCCCTTCAGGGTGAGAAGGGTGGAATATAAATACTGTAAATAAATAGTCTTGTGTAAAACGCAGAGGACCTTGGTGGCAGAAGGGGGTGGCATTTATTACATCTCAAGATGAGTAGGTAAATGTTGTAATCTGTTTGGACATTTTAAAATGGTAGAATTATTGATCACTTATTCTCCTGGAGCTCTGGTGGCACAGTGGGTTAAACTGCTGAGCTGCTGAACTTGCTGATCAAAAGGTCACAGGTTCAAATCCAGGGAGCGGCTTGAGCTCCTGTTGTTAGCCCCACCTTCTGCCAACCTAGCAGTTTCAAAACATGCAAATATGAGTAGATCAATAGGTATCGCTCTGGTGGGAAGGTAGCAGCACTCCATGCAGTCATGCTGGCCACATGACCTAGGAGGTGTCTACGGACAACTCCGGCTCTTCGGCTTAGAAATGGAGATGAGCACCAACCCTCATATGGGGACATGAGAGAAGCCTCCCACAAGGATGATAAAACATCAAAAATCATCCAGGCGTCCCCTGGGCAACGTCCTTGCAGACGGCCAATTCTCTCACAACAGGAGCGGTTGCTCCTGACACGACAAAAAAAACAACCCCTCAGGTGTTCCCGGTGGTGCAGTGGGTTAAACCCCTGTGCCGGCGGACTGAAGACCGTCAGGTCGCAGGTTCGAATCCGGGGAGAGGCGGATGAGCTCCCTCTATCAGCTCCAGCTCCTCATGCGGGGACATGAGAGAAGCCTCAAACAAGGATGATAAAAACATCAAATCATCCGGGCGTCCCCTGGGCAACGTCTTTGCAGACGGCCAATTCTCTCACACCAGAAGCGACTTGCAGTTTCTCTAGTTGCTCCTGACACGACAAAAAAAAAAAACCAACCCTCAGAGTCAGACACGACTGAACTTAATGTCAGGGGAAAACTTTTACCTTTACCTATTCTCCTGGTAGCATTCTTGTGCACCCAGAACCTTCCCAGTGGACGGAAATCTGGACAGGGAGAATGTTAAGAGTCCATGACAGTTAAAAGAAAAAGAGTTTAGTAAAATCTTGAATCAGCAAGGCTAGGGTTGCTGAGTGTTACAGCACATCAGCATTTGGTGGGCTACATTATCCCCCATCTTTTGTATCAGAAGGGAATCACTAACTAGATTTGCTAGAACTTTGATCAGAACTTTAATGTGGGGATAACTAAATACGAGATTATCCAAGAGGATTGTATGATTATTGGTCAGAAAACTAAAAAGCCAAGATGACTTTTCAGTACCCAACTGCTTTTGTTATCTCATTCCATTTAATGTATTTTGGTTATTAAAACTACTGTGTAACACTGTTGTGAAGCATGAAGGGAATGTCAGTGATTCAAAATTCCTCATTGATAAAACAGATTGACACCTTTATTGGAACCCAAAAGGCACAAAAGTTTTCAAAGCTTGGTTGATTTTTTTTCTATGAGGCAAAGGTATTATTTCACTACAAATGTCAGGCCAGTTTATTCCTGGTTCCTTCTACTCTTTCTTATTTCCCCACTTGGCAATTCTCCAGAAGATGGGAGTTCTCAGAAAACGGTCGGATTTCATGTAGGCAGAAATCTTCTCCAATGCCTGCAGAGAAAGCCAGCAGAAAGATACTTATTAGACTCCACTATCACTACATGTTTCAACTGTGTGCACATAAAATAATGCTTGAGAAAACTCTAAATGGCTGTTTAGTATCTAGACTTATGCTGATTAATGTGGAGGAAAAGCAGCCATCTGTTATCTGCTTTAGACAAGAAGGGTTTTTCCTGGTGTTCAGGAAACCCAATCTGGAAGAACACAGGCCATTGTGAAGCTTCTATGAGATTATTTGCTCTGAAGGAGGTGGGAAATACATATGGTTCTTCTATACAGAAATGTGTATTTCTGCACATGTTTTCTGCATTTCTCATGGGCAATCATCCTCTTGGAGAATTATCATGGCATAAGTCAGATTGAAATACCAAATCAAAACTCACTTGTTTCATCAGAATTCAATACTGGCTACACAAAGACAAACCCTACCTCCTCAAAAACAGTTTCTAGCAGCAATCCCAGAAGCTGGGTATTTCCTAATTGGCAGAGAGCAGGGGAGCAGCAGACAAACATCCAGCTGTTTTCTTTATTAAATTCTATCCCCACACCTTCCTGGACAAAGAGCAACAACATCATCTTTCAGGACCTTTGGGGAACTCACAGAATTCCCCATGAAGGCCTATATGACTGTTGGGGGCACGACATAGAATCACAGAGTTGAAAGAGCCATCCAGACCAACCCTCTGCAAAGAAGCAGGAAACTTGCATTCAAAGCACCCCCGACAGATGACCATTCAGCCTCTATTTAAAATCCACCAAAGAAGGAGCCTCCACCACACTTCGGGGTAGAGTTCCACTGCTGAACAGCTCTTACAGTCAGGAAGTTCTTCGTAATGTTCAGGTGGAATCTGAACATATTTAATTGTCCTGTTCTCCAAAGAGATGATGCTGGTCTCCATCTACACCTATTGTTTTCTCTGCAAATTGGAAACTTTTAATATTGGAGTCTATTAAGCTTGTCTCTTAAGAAGGTCATCTATAATAGATGCCTAGAATTATTATCCAAAATCAGGATTTACAAATAACAAACAACAATTTCTGACATCCCACCCAATGACAAAGGATCAAGTGAACTAATGTTTGTGATATCTAGTGATATCACACTAGTTTCCACTAATTTTTCTTTGACACTAATACTGGAACAACCTTTCACTTTGGAACTTCACAGTAAAATTTACCTCAAAGCGGTCTAGGAAATCCTTTAGATTTCTGAATTGATCCAAACATTTTGGCTCAAATGTTCGCTGCACATCCAAAACATCATATGCGAGGAAGTCTACATAGGTGAGCTAAAAAAAAAAACAGAAAGAAGTTATATAGAGAACCACAGAGTTAGGACAAATCTTGATGTCTGTATGATTCATATCCAAGACATGTACCTTGTTTCCTGCAAACCATTTTCTGTTTCCCAGAAACTGGGAGGTCTGCTTCAGCTTCCCAGGTAGCTGTTCAAGGAATTCAGGCTTCAATTTTTCCTGCAAAAAGAGTTTAGGCTCAATTTCAGTTAATCTTTTTGAAAACCTCAAGAGGTTTCACATTCCTAGGTCTCTTTCCCCACCATTCTCTCTCTATTTCTGCTAACTCAATAAACAGTTCTTTTGTCTCCTCCCAATCTCAGAACTGCAGAAAGAAATGTTTGGTCATCATAGGTGAGCCCTTGTTGCTGAGTATGATTGCCTTCTAAGGATAAAGTCTTTATGGTAGTGTTGCGTCCATAAGTGACTGTAGAGACCTATTCTGGATTCACATGGTCTTTCACAGTGAGGACGTAGATTCCAGATGGAAGGCATTCCTGACAAGAGTTTGCTTGACATGCCTTCCTCTTGACACTTTTCTCCCTTTTGCCCTCTATTCGTGTCTCTTCTACAGCACTGATGGTAACAGCTGACCTCTAGTCAGAACGCTCAAGGGCCAGGGTTTCCCTGTTCTCAGTGTCTATGCCACAGTTTTTAAGGTTAGCTTTAAGCCCATCTTTAAATCTCGTTTCCTGTCCACCAACATTTCATTTTTCATTCTTGAGTTGATAATATAGTAACAGCAGTCCTACATCCAGGGCGTTTGTTGCCTGTGTTATCTAACAGTGTCGAAATGTTCCACATTCCAAAACTCATTTGTCTTTTTCAACCACAAAGTGATGACCCCTCTGGATGCAGCAGTCCAGTTAGAGATAAGGAAGTGAGACAGACTATTTTTACAGTACCTTTTCTAGCCCTGTCCCCGTATGGGATGAACAGAGTGGATCCCAAATACGACTGCCTGTGTACAAATGTATTTTATGTGTGGAGATCGATGCACAGCAACCAACATTTGATAAGCCTTATGGGACTGGTGTCCTCCAACACACTCCATATTTATCCTCCATGTTATTGCCAAACCATTAGCTGCATTCTATGTTTTATTCAATTTAGAAGGAGAACACAAGCCACAAAACTCACAAAATCTGGGCTGTAGCATATCCTTGCAAGCTGCATTCGGAAATCCATGAGTTGGTTCTCAAGTATATCTATTCGAATTATTTCTTCTTCAGTCTCACCACCTGTAGCACCACAAGACACAGAGATGGTGAAAACTAGTGATAGAAACAGATCTCCATCACCATTGTGTCCTTACCTTAGGATTCAGTCAATTACTGGCCTCATAAATACTCACACATCTTGTGCTTGCGTGCAAGGTATCGCAGGATGGCATTGCTCTGAGTGATCTTCCTCTCACCATCAATGAGATATGGCAGCTGCAGAAAGAGAAGTTTAAGGATACTGTTGGGATCCTTTGGTGATTTTCATACTCAGTCATCCTCATTAGGCAAAGTACAATGTATCTAGGGGGATCCTTTTTTTCTTTTAAAAGCAATCTGAAGATTTCTGAGTCTCAACAGCTTTAGGAAAGAATGCTGCTAGATGTCAAAATGGTTGCCTAGGGTCTTCAAAAAACAGAACTATTTTTCATAAAACTTGCTAGTAGTCATAAACATCTGTTATCACATAATGAGGATTAACCAACTACTTGGGTCCAACTACCTAAACGGGCCATTTTCCAGGCAGGGATGAGAAATCTTTGGCTCAGCAGGACTTTTGAACTGGAGTTCTCACAATCCTGTCATTGGTGGTGATTGCTTGGGTTTTTGGTAACTGAAATCTTAAATATCTGCAGAGCTAAGTATTTCCTGTCACTGCTTTAGCAAAAAGTGCAGAGAAGGCACAACAACCAGACCACTACAATGTATTATCTAGTCTTCTAGAAAACAAGCACTTGTCCTCTTTCATGGCACATAACAAAATATTTTCTTTAATTCTACTTCCTCTAAACCACCAAATTCTGCATCATAAACTTCTGGCCAAAATTCATATATCCCAGCTGGTATATTGGGAGGCTGTGAATTTCTGCTGTAGTATTTATCAAATGTTAGTTTTGTTGTTATTGTTTTTTTAATGAAGGGATGGGCAAAGTGCCCCCTCAGGACTGATTTGTGATTCCCCACTGTACCCCGGAATTTTAAAATGCATAATTTGGTTCCTAGGAGTAAAAAATGTAACATTTTCCGATTTCTAAAAAACGATCTCCTAAGAAGTATGTAGAGTCTTTCCACTATGTTTGGAACCCCCCAAACTGAAAGTTTGCAAAACTTCTGAAATTTCTCTGCCTCAAAACTTTTCGTTTTGTCTCAGGGTAACCAATCTTATGGCTGGAAAAGTTCTTTTAAAATCTTTTAGAATTCGGTACTTTGGAACCTAGGAATTTCCTGCAAAATCCTCCCAAGTTCCCAAAGGGCATTTGGGAGCTAAAAAGAAATGATGCATTATTTTGCAACAGCAAATGCAAGCGGGGTGTGGCCCTAGAGGGATAATATAGCCCTCAAGTCTTCCAGAGTTGATTACCCCTGTTTTAAAATCAAGCTTGAACATTCTTGACTTCTCACTTATTTTTGGCCTGTAAGCAAGCATGAAACAATGAATTCATCAGAAATACCAGGTTTTCTACTAACTATGACTTGAGATTCTCCTCACATTCTAGTTTTCATGTTAGCTGAAATCTTTAGATAAGGCAGCACCTGATGTCAATATGATACAAGGAAAAAGTCTTTTTGCAAGAGCACAGGAGGACAATCTTCTAATAATCTATATTAGGAAAATTTAGTTTTTCCAGATTTTGGTAGCAACTTCCACACATCCCAAATTCAGCAGCAGAAAAGTAATTTCACTTCTATGCAGTACTCAATATCATACTCAGACAACAAGGGATTGCCTAAGAAGAAGTACTCAACATTATTTGTGATGTTACAGTAGCTACATACATTTGGGAAGTCCAAGCCCAGTTTCTCCTTCACATTAGTCCACTGACTTATATCAAAATCAGCACCTGTAAATAGAGATACAAAGAGTAAGTGCCAAATCCACATCTGTGTTTGCCAACGATTATTTTCTATAGCTTCTTCCTGTTGCCAGTAGCTATAGGGCCTCAAGTTGAAAACCTACATGGAAGCAAACCCTTTTGAACATCACAGAACTTACTTCTAATAAGTACAGTATGAATAATATTATTCCATGCGTTGCAATGTTTCACAGATGAAAACTATACAACGTGATCGAGTAGCATCAACATATGGTCAAGATAGAAACAATTTAAGGCATGGAGAATTTGCAACAGTTAGATTTTGCTTAAGTCTGCAGGAAAGGGTAAGATTCTACCACAGCTCTCCTTTCTGCTGAGTGAATTGAGTGCCAAATACTTCAGCACTTTTAACTCAGGTTGCCCCAATTGAAGTTAGTGGAAAGTAAGAGGAGATAGAAATTGGGACATGTTAAGAGCAGCTGAAAAAGAACAGGATGATAGGGAATTAATTAAGAGTGTCTCCTACCAAACTGGATTTTTAACCTTAAGTGTTATGAATCTTAAGTTTGCTTCAGTCCTGCCTTACTTGGCTAACAACCATACTGGTGAGATTAGGCAAGCCCTCTCCTTAGCAGACTTCAAGAAAAACCTGAAAACCTGGCTCTTCCATTGTGCCTTTGGAGAGTAACCATTTATCCCACTTCTGTTTGCCCCATCTATAGTGTTGCCCCTATGATGCACTTTCCCCCGCCCTAAACTGAACTCCTTACCCCACTGTTTTATCCTTCTTGGGCTCCCCTCACTTACACATTTTCTATTCCTACCTCTCCCAGGGTTTTATCATTTTATCTAGTCCATTTGGCTTGTCCATCCTGTTCGATTTTATATTGTGTTAATTTGCTTTGTTGTTTTGTTTTGCTACTGTAATTATTTTCTGTTGTAAGTTTTGTTTTTTGCATGGGCTTGGCCTCATGAGGGAGGTGGTGGCAGGGTATAAATTAAAGTTTCTTGTTGTTGCTGTTGTTGTTGTTGTTGTTGTTGTTATTATTATTATTACTATTTTGTACTGAAAGCACAGATGCCATTCATTAAAAACCTGCAGCTGCATAGCTTGCTTGTTGTTGTTCATTCGTTCAGTTGTTACCGACTCTTCATGACCACATGGACCAGCCCACGCCAGAGCTTCCTGTCGGCCGTTACCACCCTCAGCTCCTTCAAGGTCAATCCAATCACTTCAAGGATCCTATCCATCCATCTTGCCCTTGGTCGGCCCCTCTTCCTTTTTCCTTCCATTTTCCCCAGCATCATTGTCTTCTCTATGCTTTCCTTTCTTCTCATGATGTGGCTAAAGTACTTCATCTTTGCCTCTACTATCCTTCCCTCCAATGAGCAGTCGGGCTTTATTTCCTGAAGTATGGACTGGTTGGATCTTCTTGTGGTCCAAGGCAGTCTCAGAACTTTCCTCCAGCACCACAGTTCAAAAGCTTGCTTACAGCTTATGAAATGGAAGTCCCGTGGATGGTTTAAACCAGGGATCCTCAAACTAAGGCCCAGGGGTCGGATACGGCCCTCCAAGGTCATTTACTCAGCCCTCACTCAGGGTCAACCTAAGTCTGAAATGACTTGAAAGCATACAACAACAACAACAACAACAACAACAACAACAGTCCTATCTCATCAGACAAAAGCAGGCCCACACTTCCCATTAAAATACTAATAAGTTTACATTTGTTAAAATTGCTCTTCATTTTAATTATTGTATTGTTTTACAGTGTTTTTTTTGCACTACAAATAAGATATGTGCAGTGTGGATAGGAATTCATTTTTTTTTTCAAATTATAATCTGGCCCTCCAACAGTTTGAGGGGTTGTGACCTGGCCCTCTGTTTAAAAAGTATGAAGACTCCTGGTTTAAACTATATACTTATAAAATAACAGCAGCAGGAAAGGAATTGCTGCTAACTTTAATAGCTGCATGGCTGGCAGATGCTTAATATTTTAAGCTACGTTTTGATATTCTATTGGACTGATAAGTGATCACTTGTGTGTAACCTCTTATAGAATAACAACAACAACAACAACAACAACTTTATTTTTGTATCCTGCTGCCAATCAGACATGGATTAAAATAAACACAGTACAATTTATAAAAGCAACATCATAAAACAACAATAAACAACCATCAACAAACAACCAATAGCCTGACATAGTAGTCAAATTACTAAACTCGGGCGGGTAGGGGCTTGTGCAATACACTTGCAAGGACAGGGCTGATGGGGAAAAAAAGAGCAGGAGCCAGATGATAAGCTAGGGCTGGAAGGGCAATGTCTATTAGAACAATATATCTATAGCTCCCCTCACTTACACATTTTCTATTCCTACCTCTCCCAGGGTTTTATCATTTTATCTAGTCCATTTGGCTTGTCCATCCTGTTCGATTTTATATTGTGTTAATTTGCTTTGTTGTTTTGTTTTGCTACTGTAATTATTTTCTGTTGTAAGTTTTGTTTTTTGCATGGGCTTGGCCTCATGAGGGAGATGGTGGCAGGGTATAAATTAAAGTTTATTGTTGTTGCTGTTGTTGTTGTTGTTGTTGTTGTTATTATTATTATTACTATTTTGTACTGAAAGCACAGATGCCATTCATTAAAAACCTGCAGCTGCATAGCTTGCTTGTTGTTGTTCATTCGTTCAGTTGTTACCGACTCTTCATGACCACATGGACCAGCCCACGCCAGAGCTTCCTGTCGGCCGTTACCACCCTCAGCTCCTTCAAGGTCAATCCAATCACTTCAAGGATCCTATCCATCCATCTTGCCCTTGGTCGGCCCCTCTTCCTTTTTCCTTCCATTTTCCCCAGCATCATTGTCTTCTCTATGCTTTCCTTTCTTCTCATGATGTGGCTAAAGTACTTCATCTTTGCCTCTACTATCCTTCCCTCCAATGAGCAGTCGGGCTTTATTTCCTGAAGTATGGACTGGTTGGATCTTCTTGTGGTCCAAGGCAGTCTCAGAACTTTCCTCCAGCACCACAGTTCAAAAGCTTGCTTACAGCTTATGAAATGGAAGTCCCGTGGATGGTTTAAACCAGGGATCCTCAAACTAAGGCCCAGGGGTCGGATACGGCCCTCCAAGGTCATTTACTCAGCCCTCACTCAGGGTCAACCTAAGTCTGAAATGACTTGAAAGCATACAACAACAACAACAACAACAACAATCCTATCTCATCAGACAAAAGCAGGCCCACACTTCCCATTGAAATACTAATAAGTTTACATTTGTTAAAATTGCTCTTCATTTTAATTATTGTATTGTTTTACAGTGTTTTTTTTGCACTACAAATAAGATATGTGCAGTGTGGATAGGAATTCAATTTTTTTTTCAAATTATAATCTGGCCCTCCAACAGTTTGAGGGGTTGTGACCTGGCCCTCTGTTTAAAAAGTATGAAGACTCCTGGTTTAAACTATATACTTATAAAATAACAGCAGCAGGAAAGGAATTGCTGCTAACTTTAATAGCTGCATGGCTGGCAGATGCTTAATATTTTAAGCTACGTTTTGATATTCTATTGGACTGATAAGTGATCACTTGTGTGTAACCTCTTATAGAATAACAACAACAACAACAACAACTTTATTTTTGTATCCTGCTGCCAATCAGACATGGATTAAAATAAACACAGTACAATTTATAAAAGCAACATCATAAAACAACAATAAACAACCATCAACAAACAACCAATAGCCTGACATAGTAGTCAAATTACTAAACTCGGGCGGGTAGGGGCTTGTGCAATACACTTGCAAGGACAGGGCTGATGGGGAAAAAAAGAGCAGGAGCCAGATGATAAGCTAGGGCTGGAAGGGCAATGTCTATTAGAACAATATATCTATAGGGCAGGGAACAGTGGTAAAGTGCAAGACCCAGATACTGAGTTATGGCCGGGGGGGGGCAAAATTATCTAGTGAATGGTTTAATCAAAGGCACAGTGGAACATCTATGTTTTTAGGTATTTACAAAAAGTGGACAGGGTGGGTGCTAGTCTAATCTCCCTGGGGAGAGAGTTCCAGAACCGGGGAAGGGGACACCACTGAGAAAGCCCTCTCCCTTGTCCCCAACAGCCGCACTTGTGACAGAGGTGGGAGCAAGAAAAGGGCCTTCCCAGAAGATCTTAGAGCACGCACAGGTTCGTAGGGGAAGATTCAATTGCAAAGGTAGGCAGGTCCCGAACTGTTAAGGACTCTATAGGTGATACTTGCACCTTGAATTGGGACCGGAAACTTATCTGTTGTTTTTTTTTCAAATTTAGGAATACAATACCTGCTTTCCAATGAGTTTTTGCATAAACTTCGCATGAAGTTTGTCTGCACTGGTCCATTGGAAAGCAAAGGCATCACTATCTCAGCCATCTGCATGGATGATTTTGAAATTTTAAATAAGGGATGCTTAACCTGTAAATTTGTCACAAGCAATCACCCGTAGCTGCATATGATTGTCTTCCAATGGTAGAGTCTTGTCAGTTGGTCCAAATATGACTGTAAGGACCTATTTTGGATCCACATGCATAGTTTGTCACAATGAGGATATAGATTTCCATATGGAAGGTGGTTCCAAAGGCAATATATACACAGGTGGGATGGAGGGCTCAATCTGTTTACATATTAAAGGTCCTGAAAACCTCTTGAAAACCCTCATTTGAAAATGGCATTTTAGACAAGATATGAATAGAAAAGAGATGACTTGTCAGTAACAAGGCCAGTTGAAACAAAACAAAACAAAACAAAACAAAACAAAACAAAACGGCTGATTTATCAGTAAGGAAGTTTAGTTTTAGCTTTATCCCGAGTCTGCATCATAAGAAAAACAAGAATCTCAGGCAACAGCATGAGCCAGAAACCAACAAGTGGTCCATTCATGGTCCGCTGTGTACCTTCCAATCACCTCTGTCCTGGGAGATCAGGGTCAGTGATTACAACTTCATGAGTTAACTCCTCTTATTATCAGTCAAATAAAAGGGGAAAATACATGAATCATGTTCCTAGCTGAGTCAAACTGTTCTCAGATATACTGTTGCTTTCTCTGCTCTCCCATCATTTCCATGCACAAGGGATTTGAGCACAGCAAAGAAGACAAAAAAGAAAACATGCAAGTGCCGCAATTATTCAGGGACATAATTCCTTTTCAGAGAAACATTGAATCACTTCTATTAGCAACAAAATGTGACAGAGGCTCAGAGGCCACTGTGGAAGTGAGATTGCAACTAGCCACTGCCAGTGTGTGTTCAGAAGACAAGAAATAAGACTGGATTACTGTTTAGGAATACAGTAATATTTTGTTTCAGGCAAACATTGCTTTCAAGCCAGGGGTCTCTTGTCTCTCCCCAATATTTGTTCCCCCTGGGAGTACCTTCTGGTTCCTTTCCTTCTATGACACCATACTGTTTGTCTTCAAATGGTGTTTCTGTGTATTCTAGAAGAAGCCTGATTGCATGGGCAAGCTGCAGGAAGAAGAGGAAAGAATTAGTAGATGGATAAGACTGTCAACAATTACATGTTGCTTCCAGTAGGAGCCCCCAGTGGCATAGCAGGTTAAACCGCTGAGCTGCTGAACTTGCTGACCAAAAGGTTGGCAGTTCGAATCCGGGGAGCAGGCTGAACTCTTGCTGTTAGTCCCAGCTTCTACCAACCTAGCAGTTTGAAAACATGCAAATTGAGTAGATCAATAGGTACCACTCTGGTGGGAAGGTAAGGGTGCTCCATACAGTCATGCTGGCCACATGACCTTAGGAGGTATCTACGGACAATGCCAGCTCTTCGGCTTAGAAATGGATATGAACACCAACCCCCAGAGTTGGACACAACTAGACTTAATGTCAGGGGAAAACCTCTACCTTTACCTGCATTATGAGAAGCAATAGGATTTTAAGGAGAAATTGCTCAGGACACAAGTAGCAGTACAGAAATTGTTACATTTATGTCTTCCAAGTTGGCTTCCTAGTGGGACATTTAGCTGGTTTTTGTCAGGACAGAATACTTGCACTAAACAGGCATTAGATCGATCTGGAATATTCTTATGTTCAGGAATAGCTGCCATTAGTCCAGATTAGCAGATCACCTATAAAGCCCTATAAGGCCCTATAAGGTTTGGGTCCAACCTGCCCCTTTGGGGTGAGAAGGGTGGAATAGAAATGTTTTAAATAAATAAATGTATTCTTCGTGGTTTTTAATGCCTCGGAGTGTGGTGGAGGCTCCTTCCTTGGTTGTTTTTAAACAGAGGCCGGATGGCCATCTGTCAGGTGCTTTGATTATGCTTTTCCTGCATGGCAGAATGGGATTGGACTGGATGGCCCATGTGGTGTCTTCCAACTCTGATTCGGCAAAAGTATGATAGCTGGGACCTGGTGCTGGTAGTGCTATGCTGGTTACGTAACATGGCTCTGAGTTAGAGAAGGGAACATGTGTGTGAGACAGCGCACCAAGTGAGAGACACAGCTGCGGCAGGATACCAGTGAAGTAATGAAATACAGGTGGGATGGGATAACAGTAATGTAAGAGTGACTGGATTTGATTCATTTTTTAACCACTGCTCGTATTTCTCCCCTCCTTTCTATCCTTCCTTCCAATGCAACAACGTTTTTCAACGTGTTTCCATATGATCTCTAGATAGCCTACATCAGTATGCTTGGCTGCCCCCCCCCCCCCCGCTTTCTATACTTTGTTGACTCTGTTGTAGCTGCGTCTCTCACTGCGTGCGGTCTCTCGCACACGTGGTGCTGTGTCTGGCACACGGGTTCCCTTCTCTAATTCAGAGCCACGCAACGCAACCAGCATAGTGCTATCAGCACTGGGTCCCTGCTATCATACTTTTACCTCTGATTCTCGGAGCCCCCGGAGGAGCAGTGGGTTAAACCCCTGTGCCGGCAGGACTGAAGACCGACAGGTCGCAAGTTCAAATCCAGGGAGAGGTGGATGAGCTCCCTCTATCAGCTCCAGCTCCCAATTGCGGGGACATGAGAGAAGCCTCCCACAAGGATGATAAAAACATCAAATCATCTGGGCATCCCCTGGGCAATGTCCTTGCAGACGGCCAATTCTCTCACACCAGGAGCGACTTGCAGTTTCTCAAGTCACTCTTGATAGGACAAAAAAACCCCAAAAAAACCCCTCTGATTCTAAGATATTGGGGGTGGGGAGCTTTCAGTCCCACCACCATCACAAACATGGCTAGTGAGCCCCCAGAACGAGCTCTCTAGGTGGTTGTTCACACAGGCTGTGGAAGTCTTTGCCAAGAAAAGGTTGGTTGGTCCATTCTTTGCTCTCTCTTTTTGCCAGTAGGCCCTGGCAGACCATTGATATTTGCATGCTCTGAGTTACAGTGGCAGCTACCTGCCAATCCTTAGTAATATGATTGGGGCAAACAAGAGCAAATGGCTCTGTGCAGCCTGTGGGCTATGTGTAATATTGCCATATGCCTTTAAGTTGACTTTGACTAATAGCAATGGTTCCCAACCTGTGGATTCCCAGGTGCTTTGGCCTACAACTCCCAGAAATCCCAGCCAGTTTACCAGATATTAGGATTTCTGGGAGTTGACTGCCAAAACACCTGGGGACCCACAGGTTGGGAAACACTGACTTATAGTGAACCTATAAGAACAATTTCTTGACAAGATGTATTCATCTTGCTTTTCTTTGAGGGTGAGAGAATGTGACTTGCCAAACGTCATTCACTCATTCTATGATTGAGTAGCACCTTCTGAAAGCCAGCATGGTGCTTTGGTTTGAGAGTTTGATTATGATTTTGGAGACCAGGGTTCAATTTCCCACTTGGCCATGGAAACCCACTGGATAACTTTGGACAAGTCACATACTCAGAAAACCCTGTATCAGAGTAGCCTTAGGATCATCACATGCAAGACACAACCTGAAGCCCTCAGTAACAATAACATCTTGTGCAATTTTAATGCAGCACTCCAATCACTATACACCCAAATTGTGTGTTAACCAGGAACCCATTAGGTCAATCAAGCACAACACTAACTTTCAACACCTCCTCTCCCCTTCCTTAGAAGAGTAACAATAATACTGACTTTACACTTTATAATCTTATTAATTGAGCAGCCTAGATCATTCCAAAGTGCATGTTAAAAGTCATGTTACAAGTGCAGGCCATCAGTAGTTGTTTCCTCATATGCAGTTACCTAAGAAGCACTGTAGCAGTAAAACAGCCAACCTTTGCCCTCTCTCCAAATCAGCATAGTTGATAGCCTTTATGATGGCAGAGAGGGAGGTTCCCTTTGTATCTGTGTAAACCAGAATTACATAAGGCAATGAAAAGATCATTTACTCTACCCGCTTGTCCATGGGATGTGAGTTCTAGAGCTGATGTTCCCATTAAAACATTGGGGAAATCATGATCTCAATATGTTGCTGGACTGCAATGTATTGAGAGCTGCATTATTCTGATTCTTGCACCAGGCAAACATATTCTCCATGAAATATTCTTTTCCAGATTAGTGTTATTCAGTGTGTTATTCCTCTTCCCCACTACTTCAGTCTAAAGGCTGAAGCCAAGCCAGAGAGTAAAGAGAGGCGTAATCTGGTCCCAGTGTTTGGGTTGGCTGGCCAGGTTCCCACTCTCTCTCTACACACACAGAGAGAGAGAGAGAGAAAGAAAGCAGTATTTATGTAAAGTCAACACATGACATACAAGCATGGAGATGTCTACACCAAAGTAAGTTCCATTTGGTTCAGTGGGGTTTACTTCTAGGTAACCGTGAGCAGTAACTTTAGGTGGCATCTACACTGTAGAGCAGGCATGGGCAAACTTTGGCCTTCCAGGTGTTTGGGACGTCAACTCCCACAATTCCTAACAGCCACCTGGAGGGCCAAAGTTTAATCTGCTGCCCCTGGCGGTGCAGCAGATTAAACTGCTGAGCTGCTGAACTCATGGGTCAGCGGTTTGAATCCGGGGAGTGGGGTGAGCTCCCACTGTTAGTCCCAGCTTCTGCCAACCTAGCAGTTCGAAAACATGCAAATGACGGCACTCCATGCAGTCATACCGACCACATGACCTTGGAGGTGTCTATGGACAATGCTGGCTCTTCGGAGATGAGCACCAACCCCCAGAGTCGGACACGACTGGACTTAACATCAGCGGAAAATCTTTATCTTACTGTAGAGTGAATGTAGTTCAACACCTCTCAACTGCCATGGCTCAGTGCTATGGGATTTGGAATTTGTTGAGGCACCAGCACCCTTTGGCACAGAAGGGTTGTGATTCTACAGCAGAGTTAGAGTGCACGGACAAACTGCATTAATTCTACAGTGTAGAAGCACCCAGTGAGAGAACAAGACTTTTGAGAGAGAACAAGCCTTCAAAGGAGGCCCTTGCAAGGGCACTGGCTCACCCCACGGATGTCCCAGTAGCCCAGCGTGACGCTCATCTTCCTGGCCTGGCGATCTCCGGGCTCCCTGGACTGCTGGCGACGGGTTCCGGGGCAGAAGCAGAGAGCGCGGCCCTTGTCAGCTTCTGCCTCAGAGGAAAGGGGCGGGGGTGGCAAAGTCCCGTTTGGAGCCCGACAATAAAGGCCTGGCCCTCCCACTTCTGGGCGATTCGCCACCAGCCCTTCCCTCCCCCTTGGCCAGGATCACCCAGGACACGACGGCTAGTCCCTCCCCATTTGGCAATCTCTTCGGGTTGCCAAATAGGGAGATGCGGAAAGGCTGGGAAGAATACAAAAATCAATGTATTGTCGAAGGCTTTCATGGCTGGAATCATTGGGTTGTTGTAGGCTTTTCGGGCTATATGGCCATGGTCTAGAAGCATCCTCTCCTGACGTTTTGTCTGCATCTATAGCAAGCATCCTCTGAGGATGCTTGCCATATATGCTGGCAAAACGTCAGGAGAGGATGCTTCTAGACCATGGCCATATAGCCCGAAAAGCCTACAACAACCCAATACAAAAATAACTTTTTATTAAATTGGAGGTGTCTAAGGACAACGCCAGCTCTTCGTCTTAGAAATGGAGATGAGCACCAACCCCCAGAGTTGGACACGACTGGACTTCATGTCAGGGGAAAACTTTTACCTTTTATTACAAAGCAAATTGCAAGCCCAAGACATATAAATCAACCATCCGTCTCCACGGATCCCACCATCCTTTGCTTAGAGTTGGAAGAGAACCCCAAGGGCCATCCAGTCCAACCTCATTCTGCCATACAGGAACACACAAGCAAAGCACCCCAGCCAGATGGCCATCCAGCCTCTGCTTAAAAACCTCATTCGGATGAGACTGCATGACACTCTCCACTGTTGAACAGCACTTACCTTCAAGATCTTCCTAATGTTTAGATGGAATCGCTTTTCTGGCAGTTTGAATCAATTGCTCCCTGTCCTAGGCCCCTTCCACACAGCTGAATAAAATACAACATTATCTGCTTTGAACTGGAATATATGGCAGTTTGGACTCAGATAACCCAGTTCAAATAAGCTTTCTCCCTCCACAATGTGACATCATGTCCCTCTCTACCTCCTCTTCTCCAAGCTAAACACACCCGGCTCCCTAAGCTGTTCCTATTAGGGCTCGAAAATAAATCTCTCCCTCTCCCCCCGCCCCCTCTCAATGAAGACTATTTATTTCTTTGCTAAAGCTCTCAAGCACACCCACCTGCACAATGCAGTATCTTATTTCTAGTACGGAATCTCTCTGGAGATCAAGGGCACTAAGATCTTCCGGAGAGGCCCTGCTCTTGGTCCCTCCACTTTCACAGTCGCATCTGGTGGGAACAAGAGACAGGGCCTCCTCTGTGGTGGCCCCCTGGCTATGGAACTCTCTCCCAAATGAAGTTAGGTCCCCTGACCTTCGGAAAGCGATTAAAATCCTGGCTTTGGAATCAGGCATTCGCAGAGTGACAACGGAGACCGGTAAAGACTAAAGTTATTGGGCCACATTGTGTGGACTGAGTTGGACGATGTTTTTAACTTGGCAAATGGTTTTATATGTGTTTTAATCTTATATGTATTTTTAACCTATTGTTTTATGTATGTTGTTTTAAAATGTTATTTATTGTTGAATTCTTGCTGTTAGCCGTTCTGAGTTCTTCCATGGAAGTAGAGAAGAACGGGATATAAAAGTTCTAAATAAATAAATAAATAAATAAATAAATAAATAAATATAGTACCTGTTGGAATATTACAGAAAGACTAAAAAGCTTCAAGAGAATATTTTCATTGGGTTGTTGTAGGTTTTTCGGGCTGTATGGCCATGTTCTAGAAGAATCCTCTCCTGACGTTTTGCCTGCATCTGTGGCAAGCATCCTCAGAGGTTGTGAGGTCTTACAATCTCTGAGGATGCCTGTCACAGATGCAGGCAAAACCTCAGGAGAGAATGCTCCTAGAACATGGCCATACAGCCCAAAAAACCTACAACAATGCAGTGATTCTGGCCATGGAAGCCTTCGATAATATTTTCATTGATCATACAGAGTGACCTCATCCATAGAGAACAGGAAGAGCATTTTAATATTCCCCAATAACACAAACCAGAACCGCTTGATCCTCCAGTGGTTGCTATGAGTACCTGGATCTCAGGTCCTGGATTGACACAAAGCAGTGGATGCTATAGATTGTGGGAATTGTAGCCCACAACATCTAGAAGGCATGAAGTTGCCTTACCCTGCATTGCATGTTTTAGCAAATACTGCTGCAAGTTGTGTGTGTGTGCGTGTGCTTCTTTTGTATTACAAGATTTTGTGATTTTGTGCCCCCTGATGGCATGCAAATATTTCCACTCTTCACATTAGAAACAGGTGGGAATCGTGGTGCCTTCCAGATGTTCCTGAACTGCAGTTCCTTGCACTGTACACCATAGCTATGTGGTCTGTCCCAAAGGTAATGAGAATGATTAAAATATGTTATTGAACATACATGGAATTGCAGTCTACCTCCTTCAAAATAGGCTTGTGACTATGGTTCCAATGTGGCTGCCACTCTTCATAGCAATGGAGAACGTCTTCACATAAGAATTTTTTCAAAACACTTATTGTAGCTACTTAGACATTTTCGATGGTCCCAAAATGATGTCCATTGAGATGGGTTTGGGGCTTTGGGAAAGAAATAACACAGAGCCAAGTCGGGGCTTTACGTGGGAAAGCATTCAGAATGGCCTTTACATGAGCCACACTGTTCTCAGTACTTGAGGTTGAAGGAAACTGCTCCAGACTCCCTTGTATTTTTGCCCATGACAAGACATGAGGAGCCCCCAGTGGCGCAGTAGATTAAAGTTCTGAGCTGCTGAACTTGCTGACTAAAAGGTCAGCGGTTCAAATCCAGGGAGCAGGGTGAGCTCCCGGTTAGCCCCAGCTTCTGCCAATCTAGCAGTTCAAAAACATACAAATGTGACTAGATCAATAGGTACCGCTCCGGTGGGAAGGTAACAGCGTTCCATGCAGTCATGCCAGCCACATGACCTCGGAGATGTCTATGGACAACGCTGGCTCTTTAGCTTAGAAAGGGAGATGAGCACAAACCCCCAGATTTGGACACAGCTGGACTTAATGTCAGGGGAAAACCTTATATCTTACCTTACCAAGACATAAAAACTACTACATGCTTTGCTAACTTAATGATTGCTACAAAGGTATGAACTCAACTGAGAATGGTCCCTCAACCTGCCTCAGCCCTTACTTTCCTTTCTTGGCCCTTCTTCACTGCACAAAGATTTTTCGTTGCTTTTGGGACATACTACATATGTTGGCTAAGCTGCTGGGCATTACAGTCTATTAGCAGTTGGTGGGATACATTATTGCTCACCCTTGTATTAGCAGAGAATCGCTAGATAAGATTTGCAAAAAAAGTAATTTTAAAGTGGAGAAAACAGAATAAGATTATCCAGAGCATTGCATGATTACTGGCCAGAAAACTAAGATGTCAAGATGACTTTTTTGTACCCAACAGCTTTTGTTAGCTCATTCTATGTAATGTATTTTGGTTATTAAACCTACTGCATAACACTATTCTGAAGCATAAAGGGAGGGTGACTGATTCAAGACGCCTCACTGATAAAACAGAACAATACCTTTATTGGACAGTCAAAGTGCACAAATATACTACACAGGTTTTCAGAGCTTGACTGATTTTTTTCATAAGGAAAGGTATTATATTTCATTGATACAATGTCTAGTGTCAGGTCAGCAAGATCCCTGGTTCCTTCTACTCTTTCTTATTTCCCCACTTGGCAATTCTCCAGAAGATGGGAGTTCTCAGAAAACGGTCGGATTTCATGTAGGCAGAAATCTTCTCCAACGCCTGCAGAGAAAGCCAGCAGAAAGATACTTATTAGACTCCACTATCACTACATGTTTCAACTGTGTGCATATAAAAGAACGCTTGAGAAAACTTTAAATACTGTTTAGTATCCAGACTTATGCTGATTAATGTGGAGGAAAAGCAGCCATCTGTTATCTGCTTTAGACAAGAAGGGTTTTTCCTGGTGTTCAGGAAAACCTATCTGGAAGGACAACGGCAATTATGAAGCTTCTATGAGATTGTTTGTACTGAAAGAGGTAAGAAATACATATGGGATTCTCACTCTTCAGGTGAAAAGGGCAGGGTATAAATGCAGTAAATAAATAATAAATATACAGTAATGTGTGGGCCCCCTCGCAGCTAGCGGGTTAAACCACTGAGCTGCCAAACTTGCTGACCGAAAGATTGCCGGTTTGTATCTAGGGAGTGGGGTGAGCTCCCGCTGTTAACCCCAGCTTCTGCCAACCTAGCAGTTTGAAAACATGGAAATGTAAGTAGATCAATAGGCTTCAGCAGGAAGATAATGGCGCTCCATGCAGTCATGCTGGCCACATGACCTTGGAGGTGTCTAGGAACAATGCCAGCTCTTCGGCTTTGAAATAGGGATGAGCACCACCCCCAGAGTTGGAGATGACTAGACTTAATGTCAGAGGTAACCTTTACTGTTATACTGAAATGTGTATTCTGCACATGTTTTATGTACAGAAAAACACACACATTTCTCATGGGCAAGCATCCTCTTGGCGAATTATCATGGCATAAGTCAGATTGATACCAAATCACAAACTCACTTGTTTCATCCCTGGTAGGGGTCAACATTTATTATCAACTGCACAATGACCAACCCTACTTCCTCCAAAACAGTTTCTCAGCAGAAACCCCAGACTCTGGGATTCCTAATTGGCAGAGAGCAGGGGAGCAGCAGACAAACATCCAGCTGTTTTCTTTATTAAATTCTATCCCCACACAAAGAGCAATGACGTCATCTTCCAGGACCTTTGGGGAACTCACAGAATTCCCTATGAAGGCCTATGTGACCAGCGGGGGGCAGGACATATAAGACATATTTAACTGCACTGCCTGCCAAAGAGATGATGATTGTCACAAACTACACTTATGAGGTTTTATCCCAAATTAAAAATATTCCACAAAGTTTTTAATACTGGAGACTACATGGTGCTTCAAAAAGATGGACCCAATTTAAAATCACTATACAGTATTATCTATAACCACAAAACACCCATGAATGAAACTCTTACCCCTTGAAAGGGCAGGCTATAGGGTTTCAAATTATTACCACTAGAGGCCTCTCCCAGCACAAGACTTGCA